GATTACATGCCCCTCGCCGCGAAGCACTGATCAAAGTAGACGGTAAGGCGATCTTACACCGAGTTAATTCACTAAAGCTAACCCGTTCGCAGATGGCGGCTACTCGCTCGGACAGGTAATGAAGTTCGCCGCGCACAGGAACCCAAGAACTCTTGTCGGCCACTATCTGGACAACACAAGTAACGTGGACGGTGCCGCCGTCTTCCTGGGGCTGGAACCACGGCGGGACCTTACAGAGGACTTTCGCAGTGCGTCAATGAAGAGAAATCCCGATCTCCCGCAGTCAATCCCCAGCAAAAGTTTGGATGAACTAAAGCACCGCCCGCAATTTGTCGCCCTTTGCGAACAAATTGAGGACCTCTCTCTTCAACTCACCGCTGACATCACCGAAGAGGAGCGGAAAGCACTGAAGGCCAAGAGGCGCCAGGCTTATGATCGGCGACAGCTGCTGGTGGACGAAGAGTTGGAGAACTACCGCAAAGTTGAACGGCGAGTCCAGACCACTCAAAGTGAGGCAGACGACCACGGGGACTGGCGGCGTAGTTATTTCAATCGTGTCGTCCGCCACATGGTTCCTGAACGTGACCGCCTGGCCCGGACTCTACCGCTCGCTGTCCCTCTGCGAAGCCCCGAAGGGATCTCTACCCTCCGAGACCTTGTTGCTCTCCGAGCGAACGATTCTCGCGTTGCTTATCAGGAAGTGTTGCGGCCCACAGGAGATTCCTGTCCAGTTTCTTCCTGCAACCGGAGTATCAAAGAGTAAGTAAGAGACATTCCTGCAAACCATCGGCATCGTTCCAGCTGCTGACAGGTCAAATTTAGTGTTGCCGTCAAAGATAGGTGGAAGCACATATACGGGTGCTCCAAAAGCCATCACACCAAACAGTTCGGTTTCGCCGAGTTTTGTTTCCGATGCAGCCGTTGGATAACTAACGAGAACGATTGGGAAATCCACTGTCAAACTCACATCGACAATCTCGACGTTCCCTTGCGATGCGACCCGGTCACTTTCCGCCACGCGGTTGCCTGCACCGGGTATTGTTGCGGCTGTCTCAGCAAAGTCGGGCGTCCGGCAGCTGTGAGGATGCAACAGTACCTAAATCGAGGGATCTGGCAGCAACATATATCTGGATGTATCCCAGAATATGTCGCGAGTCTGAACTCCAAGGATTACTTTCCATGCCCACATCTGTTATGCTCTACGGTGCTCTTTTCGGACTCCGGCCTTTGGCATCATCTGGAAGACTTCCACGGTACTCCTAAGCCGCAACGCACACAAAGGCGTCAACGTTCGCCAGACCAGAGCGTGAATTATGAGCTTGAGCCTCCCGATGCTGCCCGGCGAAAGCGGTCTCGCCCCTTGGCCCAGTTGGAAGGCCGAGCCTCAAGACCAAGACCTAGTTGCAGATCACGGACTAAGCGGCACCCCTCTGAAGATACAGACGACCGCAAATTTGTAAACATCTCGGCCCTCAACTTTGATCCCAACCCCCCCGGAGGGATCCAAACGCTGTCGGTGATCGGCAGTTTCACTTCACGGTGTACAGCACAAGCGGATAGCGTTTGGGATGCGGGTGATGACTGCATCAGCATCGACAGTGCGTTGTCATCCCTGTCAAGTGGCCTGTTCGAAGCAGTGCCTGGAGCTCGAAAGCACTGTCCCTCTCCCTGGGCCACCCCGTCAGAAGCTGCCGCCGCCACGATCCCGATCGACCCAGAGATCATCTGTCAAGGGCGTCTAGCGGCAGACTTCGACCAGATCGAGGTGGTTGATCTCACAAACCCTCACGATAAGTCCGGTGGGAGGTTTCCAATACTTACCCGACCCCGCCGTGCGTATTGAATACTAGCAACTATGGTATAGCAATGCCGTAATCAAGATCACAGGCGACTCATCTCTAGGTGCCAAAACGAAAGATTCTTCAGAAATGGGCGGTGATTGCGAAATGCTAGTCTCGAACCCAAGCCCTCCCACCGCCGTGCCAACCCGGGCTGAGGTGGTGCAATTCCATACCGGTGTCCAAGATTTGAGTCGCAGTCGACCCGCTGTCATGAAACCAGAAGATAATCAGTGGAAGATCGAGAAATTGCTGGGCAAACGTCAGGTGAGAAGACGAGTTCAACATTTAGTGAAGTGGTTTGGTTATCCAGACAATGAAAGTACCTGGAAGCCTCCAGAAAACGTCCATCCTGACGATATTGGGGAGTTTGAGGCGCTATATCACCGTAAATCTTCGGGGTTTAGACATTCGGGTTGGACATATAGATAGAAGACACACTACTCAATCGACTGTTTGATTATCTATAGAACCTGATCTCGTGCTCCTGCCTTAGGCTGGTCTATTTGAGATCGAAGGCGAGGGAGTGATACTAATCGGAAATCGCCACTGACCTGGCCTGCACTGTTACGAATCGAATGCCATGAGTTATTCGCGGCCGTGGATAAACAGAACAGCTCGCAGGGCCTGGTCCTTATTTCAGCACGCAGGGCATTTCACCACGCCGAGATGTCGTTGAGCCGAAAGAAACACCCAAAGTTAGCCCTGATTTTAGCTCCTCGAGTACTGGGAGTACTTTGTCTAGTCCCTCGAAGCATTTCATGGCTTGGCCCGTCAAGTAGTTTGCCCTATCTGAGTACTCTCGAATTCGACCTTGAAGCTGCTGATTAGTCTCGTGCAGTCGGTTGGCTTCTTCTTCTGCAAGTTGTCTGCCTTTTGATTCAGCTGTCGCCTTATCTCTCCACTGGCATAGCTCGTGGAAAAACCGAGCGCTTTCATTTTCGAGGTGCTCGATTTTTGCGCTAAAGCTAGCTTTAGGGTCTTGTAACTGTATACTTTGTTAGGGAGTCTTGAGCAGACCGGGATATTGCGTCTCCATACCGATACAGCAGAATCCAGGGCGTTTGTATTCGGTGGGGCTGACGAAACAGCCTCAAAGGTTTTGTCCACTCCTTCGCATAGGTCTCGATAAGCTCGTATAGAATGATCACTTATATTCTTGGAGAAAAGCTCGGATAGAACGTCCTCCCTTTCAGGGATGATTTTCCATCTATACGGATCAGACGGTTTAGGCATAAGACGAACCTGAGACGGGTGTACTTTGATGCCTATTTTGCTCTCTAAGATGATCTTAGTTCTGATTCACAGGAAAGGTCACCTTTACCTACCAATGTGCTTCGAAAGAAGCTCCCGGCACTCCTCTCGTAGTCTCCGGCGTTCGAGGTTGCTGAGCCTGACTTTAGCCATTTTGAGGGTGTCCCACTAATTTGTAGAAAGCAGACGAATCTCCTCTGTATGTGAGGAATTCAGGCAAAGCTCAGGTCTTATCCATTCAAAATGGGAAGGGGCCCAGTTTCGGGAAACGAGGATCTCGACCTTTGCCCAAGGGCCGGAAACTGGGCCCCTTTCCCCAGTGCTAGAATGTAAGCTTTGTTCTTGCAACACCACAGATACTCGCCGCCGCCGTTATACAATAGCTCGTTCTATGCCGCGTTTGTTTATTTCATTTGTCTGGTTAATTAATCAAATCTAGTTCTAAGCTCGACAATGCCTTCATGGCCCCGGTAGAGATCCGGCCATCTGACCTTGTTATAAATCGTTTGTCGAAAGCGCTATGTACAGATTAGACCAGTAAATACACTGAAAGAAGTACCTGCGCATTGGTAGCAGCGAATTATGTATGAATGCTACTAGCAAAAATCCCACTGACTATCGCCTCAAAATAATCATCCCAGCAACGGCTTCATCAGAGACTCTGTGTCGCTTGAAACCCTCGTCTTATAAGCGGCGTTATCGTAGGGCAGTGTTGATGCTTCGCTATCTGACCGGGCGTCGTCGTGGATGTCCGGCACGAATCCGAAATTTCCGTGCTCACAAGAGTGATATGGCGAAGGGTCTCGATTGTAAATGATGGAAGAATTTAATTCTGCACGGGAGCGTAGCCAGAACACCCTATCGTATAAACGACCAAGGGAGGCTTTCACCCGAGTTCGGAGAAGCGTCCTCGGCTTATGAGAGTTTGTAGCCCGTGATAGGCGTTGTACGAAGCTAAAAGCACGCATGATGAAGTTCTGGAGTCACATTGTCTAAGGGCGAGAGAGCAGTACAACTCTATAGCATCATCCCTTATATTTCAAGTGGGTACCCAGAATAGGGCACCTCAAGGAGCGGGTTGTTAGAGACGGCCTTTCGTGCGACCCAGGGCGGGCCCAGGGGAAGGTCTGCCGGGTAGCCCGACAGGAAGCAAGGAGCGACAAGAGGCTAGGTCACGTGTAGCACGTGACTTCCAGGAAAGGCAGGACACGATATGTTGATATGTTGGCATCTGCCATATCGCCATATCAACATATCAATATATATCAACATACCATTCCTGGTTGCCTCTTCGGGGTGGACCTCACAAGTATATAGCTACGCTCATTACCCTTCCATAGTCACACTCTCTCGTAGCCAACTCATGACATCTGCTTGACTATACTGTTCTTCAGTTACTGGACTACTCATACCTTGCGTCTACTGGACCCAGCTAAAGGACCTTTGACTGAGGAAGCTTGGTTCGCCAAGCCATACAAGAGCAGCCCTGACACGAAGACACTGGTTTGGCCAATTCGTGAGACGTTCAGCGGGATGTGTATTAGCAGGCGGTTAATATAGCAGGAGAACTGCACTCGTACTGTCATTAAAGCTGCATTCTGGAGGAAAGACTTACTTGAGCCTGCAAAGAGACAAAGCGCCGAAAGGTGAACGCCATTACGGTGAAGCTAAATGCTACATCGGAAGGAGAGTTCTCATCTTTGACGGAGAGAAAGTAGTGAAGTAAGCTAGTATTTGTGCGATGGAGATCGAGAGAGAGAGTCTGAGTCGCAACGAATCTGTCTCATCCTTGATGCCTTACAAGCTGAAATATCTTTTCGACTTTCTCGAACAGCTCTGTATATCTTTGACTGAACCTCTCAAAGGTTTCCGGGTGATGCTTCTTAGGGTTCTGGCATAACTCTCGTATTATTTGGATGAAAGGTTCCAGTTCCGCTCTGGAATAGCCCAACAGATCAACTTGTTGCGGTGTCTAGCGTCCTATTAGAATCGAAGTCTTAAAGCCGCAGAGCTTGTGAGGACTTACCCATATCGATTGCCCTGATATCTCACTTGCGAAGCAGTATGCAACTGCAGCTGTAAAACTAGGTAAGCTACTCACGAATCGTTCATCTCTTAACATTACCTCCAGGAAGTAGTGGGCTAAGACGGTTAATTGTGTCTCTCCATTGTTGATTTTGTTGATCCTCTGTAGGAAGCTACTTGGCCCTGGCCAACCAAGGTCGTAGTCTAACCGTTGAAGGATAATACGCTCCGCTTGACGCACTTTTTCTGGTTCAAGGTCGAAAATTTCGATAATATCCTGCATTGAATAGTCAGGGTACTGTTGTTCATACTTAAGCGATATGATCAGTGATGCAGCTGCAAGAAGCATTAGTCGGTCAGGAGTTACTTCCATCAAGGACATGGAGCGGTCGATAATATTGACGGTCAGATATAAGACCTCATGAGGGAGGCCGAGGTGGTTTCGAACCGTGACCAACCACGCCACTAGTTGCGTTCGCATCCCCCAGTCAAGGCCACGCTGTTTATCTAGATAGTTTGGATCTGGAAGCATCTTGGTTTCTTTACGCTTAAGGTATTCGAAGATCTCATCTGCATACTCTTGGAAGACAAGAGTCTCCAGAGACAACATTTTGATTATTGTGATATGATTTCTTTACCGGGTGAGGTGGATAAAGTGTTCAGTTTTCTACAGGAGAGATGATAACACACTGCCGAGCAGCAACTAAGATCGAAATATCTCAAGTGGAGGAACCACTTTTGGGGAACTCAGCAAACTAGAGAAGGTTCCGGTAAAGGGGAACCCAGTAGAGGGTGTAGTCACAGGTTCTTCGCTGAGAGGGTTAGCTTATTGTCATGTCATGATTCCATGTTCGTTCAATGCTTGGCGATGGCGACGACGTTTCTTCTGTATTATGTATATCTTGTACTCAGGGCTCGGGGAATACCTCAAATACACTCTACAATATTTGAAGTTAGGTCACTATGAAATCCATCTATTAGACTGTATTCGCGGCTCCGTTGATATTAATTAATTTCCCTCTCGCTCAGATCTTTTTGATTTCTAGGTAATATCAAATCCTTTGCTTTGCAGTTTGTAGCGTCAGTAGGTCTAGATAATCGACAATATAGTTGCAAGGAGTACGGCAGCCACTGCCGCCCATGTCATGCCTAAGAACATGGTTCCTTTATCCGCTCCAATACCGATATTGTCCCCATATTTATTAACAATGTCGACGGCTTTCGTGATGATCACAGTTGAAATAACGGATCCAACACTGGTTGCCAAAAATGCAAGCTAGCGGACAGTGATGTTAGAACGGAGAAGAGAAAACAACGGGATTGAAGCTTACCGAAAGAATCCCTAGAGTAAAACATCCAGGAAAACGCCCAGGAAAACATATTGTCCAGAAGGAAGCGAAAATTGCTGCACTTTCAGATATGATACCGATGATATAAAACATGCTCATTGCCATGCCAGCTATGTTGAGAGCACGCTCTGTATCCTCGATCCCAGTTGGCCAATGAAGATCTTCTAACGTAGTACCGTTTGGAAGATAGGAATCAATGATCGTAGTCGGTTTAAAGTGAAATAGTGCTGTGTGGTTGGAGCAGCCCAGAATCTCCCTAGTCGGGTCTAATACCGTTGCATTAGGCCTATACATACCTTTGCAATATCCAGTGAGAAAGATCAGGAAGAAATCAGGTAAATCTAGCGCGTTAGCAATATCAGAACCTACATCGCTAAAGAGGTTATTGATATCCCCTTGGATGTCGTTAGCGAGATCGCCTAAGATGCTCCCATCGCCATCGGAAACATTAAATAGGCTGGTGTGGCCGATTCGTGATATGTTCAACTAGATTCTATCAGTAGATGGATAGCTTTGGAAAAGTCTATTTTGCTCGTACTGTCATTAAATCGGCATTCGGAAGAAATGACTTGCTTGAGCCTGCAAAGAGACAAAGTAACGAAATGACGAATGCCGTAATCGTGAAGCTAACTGCGATCACCGAAGAAATTCTCATCTTGGACTAAGAGTGTAAATTAAGTAGCGTCAGAGCATGTTCGATAGAGCTTTAGGATAATTACCTTGAGATGGAGGCTTTCGGGCTCAAAATAAAAAGAAGCTACAACAATGGAGGACGTAGGAGGGACCATTTTTCGGGACCTCCTATGAAGTCAAAACTGGGACCGAGAAAGAGAGGGGTATTTCGACAGTGTTTATTCGAGCTTGCTCGAGGGCAGGTTTGGGGACATCCATTATAGCACGGCACCAAGACTTATTTTCCTGTCTGGGTTTGATGTTGGAGGTAGCTAGATGGAATTGTCCATTGAAAAGAGAGCATAAGTTACTCTCTCTGAGCCCTCATGAGATTCCAGATGAGGTCGACATGGCTCTGACTTTCAAACCGAAAATCAACGGTCATGTATTGAATCAGATCTTTATATCCTTTAGATCTCTTGGAGAAGCGGATTATCGCCCGAGAAGTGGTAGTTTGTACGATGAAGCAATTCCTTTCGAAGATTAATGGGATCCCTTCCTGTCGAAAGATGCGGCGCGTCCGTAGTGAAGAGCAGTCCAAGACCAAGCCTTTGGAAAGAGGTATAGGATTGTCATGAACCAGAACAAAACGACAAATTATAAGCCTTACTTCTGGTGGAAGGTTCCACCATCGCTTCTATATTACTACTTGGATAGGTTGCCTCAATGAGAATCTCTTGTGACTTGGGAGCTCGGGCCCAAAACTGGGAGTTTCTTTTCTCGACCCAACCTTTAATTACCTGGCGCATCATTTCGCGGGAAAGGGCGCAAAATGGGGCCCCCCACCCCCGGGCCCTAGAAAGCTTTATAGTATACGTTAAAAACATCTCGTTTGAATTTTTGGCTTTCTAACATCCGTCATGGGTAGCAGATTTAACGTTGCTTCAGCCGGTCCATCCCAGATTGAGGTTGGCAGAACTTACAAGGCACCAACCATGCAAACGCCATATATGGTAATGTCGCTTCAAGCCAGAGAAGCGCCGGTGCGGGACAATATGCTTGCCGCAGGTTTCTCCTGGATGATCCTCGCTGGCTTCATTTTTTTCCCTGGTACGTTCACCTCTTTGGAAAATTCTGAGAGAATTAGAGAGAGCACAAACGACAAGGCAGTGCAGCACGCGGTGCAGAATACATCACTCCTACCCTTTGCTGTTGTTTCCTGTCTCGTAGGAATTGTCGGCTCCTGCTGGCTGTGGTGGAAGTGGTGCAAGAATTATGTCTGGCTGGTGGAGAGAATATTTTCGTAAGTGTCAAAAGTGGCATGTGCGGAGATAAAACTGACATTATCCGACAGACCAGGACTTTTTCCTTCAGCGGCTGGCTTAACCACAACCCTTATCAATGTTTACACCGCTCGGCATGGGCACTGGTCGGTAACGGCAAAAATTACCATTATCATCATTACATTATACTTTGGGGCCACATTTATGCTGACCATAATATACAAATTTTGGCTTATCGAGAAGGTGAAAACGCCACACGACAAATCGCTCGCAAAGCACATTCCGCAGTAGAGTTATATTAGTGCTGGCGTTGAGACTATATTTCTTAGAACTATATCGAATTGATTTGCAGTGTGGTATGGAAGCTCACCATACAAAAATCTCGGATACTTTGCAATTGGCGATGCCGGTGCGATTATCGCCAAGTCTACTACATTCATTTATAGGCCAACCCGCCCCTAGCTCTCAACAGGCACTCATGGCCGCTGCAACTAGATACACGAGGGAGGCATCATGTGATGATTAGCTTAAACTGTTTTAAGTTTAGCGAACATTTTTCGTATCATTCTTTTAATCCAACTTCAACTATGGAATGTCAACCTCGGTGGCCGTGAACGTGACATATCTCTGATCTCAACTACTATACCATAAGTCACTTGGTGGCGGCCTTTCGAGTTGGCCGTTGAGCCACTGCCGACGAATTCATCCTGCGGCGCTTCTTTGACTTCTTAGCGCAACTCTGCTCCGAATCGCTCGAAGGTTCGGCGCACTCGTTCGTGTATTTGCTCATAGCGTCCGCCTGTACAGAAGCGTGAAAGCCTTCCACAAGCTCCATCTTCATGCGCTCGGGATCCAGCACAATATCCCATCCTCCGATGGAGAGACCATTCGACAATAACTTGAAATTCCAGACAACCCTGATACCACAGCTCCAGGTTTCGGCCTGCTGTGGTGTAGGCTATTCGCCATATGAACGTCAATCCGGCGACAAAGAAAGTACCCCGGGAGAGCAACACTCACCGCTTCAATGTACGCATATTTCAAGTCTGCAAACTCTTCCTATATTCGTGTCAGGACGACTGTCGTTCTCAACATCAAGGAAGATCTCACCTCTACCAGCCGAGCGACCCTCGTCTGCTTTCCACTACCATTGATCGTGGCTTGATCCGCCCTTGAGTCATAGTGACGGATTACCCTCTCCTGATCGTTGATCTCAAGTAGCGTGAAGTGTGCACCACAATGGTTTAATGGGCAGAAGTGTACCAACGGAGTCGTACCTTGAAATCTATTTCTCTCTCCTCCACGAAGGCGGTTGATTCGCCGAGCCCAAGCCGCGAGTGGTCGAATGATAGGTACTACCGTTCTGGTCTTCCCGACTTTGTCCAGCGGGACACTGTAGCCGTGCTTTACGAAGTCGGGCTTATCTGATATATTCATAGCGAGGTTGATCATGTCGTCATTCAGCCATTCTCCGTACCGAAGTCTGTCGAATGTGTCACAGGTCACCGATATGTTGTTCACCGCCACAGCGTCGACGTCTGTGAGCTTATGCTTTCCTAGGACCTTGGTGCTGACGTCTCCGATCAACCTGCGGACTGCTATATCTAAGGTACCTTTTGGCATCGGATCCTGCGCGGAAAAAGGTGGTTTTAATTGATGGGGTTCCTAGGGGATTTCGATTACTCACCGAATCTAAAGCAAAGGTTACGCGCAGGTGCTCGAGCTCCTTCTGCGATACGAGCATCTCTTGGCGCAGTCCATCGTACAAGGCGTGGAGATCAGGTTGTCCTTCGCCGACCAACCGCTCGAGCTGTGCGCCGAGGATTCCGAGCAGTTGCATCCGTCGCGGATCTGACTGAATGTTCCCGATCAACTTATCGAGCTGCTTCCCCTCCATCTTAGTGTATTCCCTGCGACACGGCGTTCAGCCCATGCCGAGTGTTGAAGCATGGTGAGACTTACCAGATTTTCGGGCTGAAAAGAATCCCTAGGCTCAGCTCTTTGACTAGCGTCTTGCTCAATTTTTGACCCCTGCTGAGTTGCACCTTTATTCGCCTCCGAAGTTGTCGATCCTTCGTGACGATGACACTCTCGCTCTTCTCAGTGGAAGAAAGATCGGCGGTGTTCCCTTCATTCTCAATTGTCACACTGCCGACGCCACTGATCCATTTCCCTCGAGGTCCGGCTCCGGATGGCATGTTCTGCATGGAATCCAGTACATGGGTAGCCGCGCCTTTATGATCCACCAACTTACCCTTTCGGGTGCGGATTGTCTTCATCGCCAGATGGATTTGTTCATCGTACCACTCCCAGAACCCCATATATTCTATCATACTGAGGATCGTACCCTTCTGATTCCGTGCCGACCCATTTTCGAGTATGCGGATCCACGTTGATCCATCAGACCACCTTTGATCCAGGGTCAACCCGGAAGCTACCTCTTGACTGTTTCTCCGGTGTGTCTGGAGAATTCTGGAATGGACCCCCGCCGCAACGTCGTCCGGGTACTTCTTGAGCTGATGGATGACCCCCACTGCCTCAATGACGAGGTCCATGAAGGAATCGGTTTCGAGCGAGGGTGATCCTGATTCCAACACAGGAGGTGACGCAACGCTTTCAAGTGGTGTCAAGATTCTCTCTCGATGAATCTCTTCCGTTTGTGGCGACGCGCCCTCAACCGGCTTCATGGGAGTGAGCACTACTGGATCGGTCTTTGCGAGAGGCGTCGACAGTCGAGGCAAGACAACCGCTTGCGTGTTCTCAGCATAGTTGTGTGCTTCTTCCGTTGTCTCAATTCTCTTCTCCATGTCCTTGCTTGCTTCAACGGCGGTTCCTCGGCGGTCGGCGGTGTCTTCGTCTCGGTCAATGACATCCTGAGTAAAGCCTGGTTGTTGATCCGGCAGCGACGTCTCCTCGGGTCGGGGTGCATTGACACCCTCACTCGACCCGTCCATATCGGCCCCAGCGCTTTGAACCGATGACGATTGGGTATCATTGGCGGCAGATTTTTCAACCGAGAAGTGAACTTCACCGGTTTCGGGGGGGCCAGAATCGCTCTTGGAACTGAAGTCTGTCGTCTTGGCCTTTGCAGACTTGGGTGGTCGGTAGGAAAGATCCTTGCCCGACATGCGCCTGCGATTCGTGGCGTGGCTGGTACTCTTTTCCACCATGTTGTGATTTTGCTGAAGAGAGTTGTTGATGCCACTCCTCGCCTCCTGGATTGCCGTTGCCAATGCATCAGCGATCTCGGGGACCTCCTCACACAATTGTCGAATTATGACAGAAAACTGCCGCAGCTTATCGTTAGTGCCCAATACCAAGAACAACCGATACCAACGCACGTACCTCTTCTAGATTTCCGAGATCAATCGTCGCGTCCGAAGCCACCAAATGGAGTAACCTCCGAAACAGCCCGAGCACTTCCGCTTCAGTGCTTGTCAATTGACGGTGCTCAGGTCCGTACCCAGAGCCAGAGTCGGTGCTGCTGGAAGCCATCATCAGCGGTGCAGACAGGAAAGAAAAGACAGATTGTCAACTTTGATGTACACAAGATCAAAGGCTGCGCTGCTAAAGAAGAGAGCAGGGAGGAGGAACAGGAAAAGACCGGATGAGATCATTTAATACAACGGTAGGATGTCCTTTCGGAATCCCAGGATTCCGAAACGACTTATGAAAAGATCAAACTGAGGTGAACTCTGGACGTATGCGGAGCTGACAGTGATCGATGACGGCACAGTTCTCAGCCGTCTAGCGCTCTCCATTTCACACGAACAAAGGTTCCAGAGTGACAACCATCCACCAGGATCTAAATGAAGCACACCGTGCTCTATACCCGTCGAGGAGTAGAGTGCTGATGATCATCCAAAAGCTAACTAGAATTCAACCCTCCCGTCTGCCCGTTTGTCAATTCTCCTCGGAGATCAGGCAGCTCTGGAGCTATGATTTGCTGTCAACCCTGATCCCGGCATTGATAACCTGCCGCACCAGCCTGTGGCATGTTACCGCTGATCCAGCAAGGCAGACTCTGGATCAAGGCACCGTGCCTGCTCAACATGACAAATCCCTCACTTCAACAGGGGGCCGGGGACTTGCGAGCCAGTGCTCGAATGACCGTTGAGGCTTGCAAAGGCTTCTGAGATCCACCAAGACGAGGCGTGTCATGTGCCATATGACGTTCCATCAACAGGCCTCCGAGGACGGCAACACGAAGGGAGCTGCCCCCCTAGCAGCCCTCTCCAACATTTCCGGCCAGCAAACGGACTAGTTCAGGAGGCGAAAATCCGGGAGAATGCAGGACACACTTCAGCTGCACTCGCATACGGTGTCACCCTCGTCTCCTCGACTCAGAGCCCTCCATCACTTTCGGTCCTCCCTCGGAGCGGCCCCTTGGCGTGGCGACCATGTAAAATAAGGAGCAAATTCAGGGCAGTTTGTTGCCTGATTGCTATGAAGACGGAGTGACGGTGGTGTCATCGGCGCCCAGGAAACTCCGCACAGCCAACTCCTGTGGATACTCTCGAGTTGAATTGTCTACACTCCATGGAACTCCCCATGTGCTCACAGTTGATTTCCAGCCTTCAACAAAGAACCCAACATCTCGAGAGGGCCTTTGGGCAGAACAAAGGTCCTCGCCATTTTCGAAGGGTTGGATTTGCCCCATACAACGCAAGCGGTAAGTCTTACAGTGCTCAACGTTCGTCCGGAGGAGTCTGGTAGATAAGTACTGCCTGTGGTATTGCTAGGCGGCAACAAATACCACCCTGGGCCATGTCCTGAGAAGCTAGATCTCTTCTAGGAGTGATATTCAGTTGTGTTGCCATCATTGTCCCACGGATTCGCTGAAGGATCGCAACCCTGGCCACGAGAGCCTTTGAGGCAGTTTGCCTTGCAGTACGCTGACAAGTGGAGTTTCACTGAATGAGCGAACACGGAACAAATTTGAGGTATAAAAGGATGCTCCAGTTCCCGACCTCTCTGCATTCTCTTCTTTCTCCTCATCTTTCTCCTCATCCTCATCCTCCTCTTCTTGCTTTTGCTAGAACACCCCTTCTTCGCTCCTCTACAAAGGTCAACCACATTGTGTGTATTGTGGCAAAGACTGACTGAGAACGGAAGCACAATGGAATCCAACATCCTACACGCCGAACACGATGGTACGTATAATGTGCAACGGTTGAAGAGTGTGCGTGTTGGCTAATCTCACATCTCTACAGGAATCGAGATTGAAGAAAGCGACTACGAGAGACCTCCTGCCAGGGACATCACGCGGGGGCCATATGTGATGGTCCTTACCAGAGACAGCGATGATGAGGTAGGCGCATCATATGATCACTATCTACCCATGATCTGCATGATAACTAGCTGATACTGAGGTTTAGGAGTACGAGGCGCCGTCCAACCCACCCGCGGGTAAAAGTTTCAGAGAAATGCCCATGAGGTTGCCTGTTGAACCAACCACCTCGAAACGTTCACCGTGGAAAAAGATATCACGGTACTCGCTGCTCAATCGCCGTCACGAGAAGGACTATGGACCTGATGACGGTATTCGGCCTGATAGCCATGTTGACTTCCCAGTCAAGCGAGTGATATCAGCCTCACCTGCTGAAGAAGTGGACGATGGCCCTGATCCCAGTGAGCCGTGGGCATCCAGATCGATCGATGACAGGCAGCATGATGACGGAGAAGGGGAGAAGGGCCAAGAGAGTGAGGCCGGATTCAACAATGAAGGTGATATTCGACTGCAAAACGTTAAGCCTGGACTTCTTCAATTCTTAGATATGTTTTCGGTTCGAGTCGTCGAGAGCACACCATGCTCGATCACCGGAGCAAAGTATATCTTCGAGCTGCAGACAAAGTGGGTCTCTTCCGAATCCATTATCGAGGCAGTCGGCCACGACACCTTTAAGAAGTCCGTACTAGAAGCTACGCGCCATTCGACACTGAGAGGAAGGAAAAGAAAGCGGGAGAGCTACTGATTGAAGTGAACACGAAGGAGTGTGCTGTATATTTGGACATTCATTAGGTACTGGCGACATTATGGATTAACCCAAGGATCATTTTAGATGTCAAGTTGCTCTGAGAAGTCCAACATATTACTAATTCGCCGCCCATCTAATGGCGATGTAACAAAAGCCATGAGCACAATACTCCAACGGTGTGACACTCTTTAAATCTTAATGCTTTTTGGCCCATCTCTGTCAGGGCTCTAATCGATCCAGACGCCTTCGTGAAGTGTTCTGTACTCGTCCTCATCCTCGTTGTATTTCTTCATTCCCTTGATATTCGCACTTGACACCCCCAACGCTTTAGCCGCCCTTACGACACCTGTCACATTGGTAAGCTCCTCCCTTAAAGGAGTGGTAGATCTTGGGCTTACGTCGGTATGCGTCAGGGGCCTTGTCATCTGGGTTAAAATACGGGTGAACGTCTTTTCCTGTTTCCGTAAAGCCATGAAGGATAACTGCGTCGGAACTACCCTCTCGTATACCAAGGATCCCATAGTTATCACCATCTCTTTGACTGAGAACTCGTTGGACTGCAACCTGTTGTCTGTGAGTCGCCAACGCGTAGTCCTGGTCGTCGCTGTTATCACCGAAAATATCCATGAAGATTGGCTTCGACTGAACAATCAGCTGCCCTGCACCCGCCTGTCGCTTCATTGGCAATGCCTGCGCTTCTGCTACTTTGCAGCGCTGGTCGACCCCGTCCCCGGTCTCGTTCGCTCCAATATTGACTGGACGGTTTTGAAGAACAGTCTGCGTTTCCCGGTCGACCTGTTCAAGGTTTTCACTGGTCTTCATTATGTTAATGGGGCAAGGGAGAGAGCAAACTTCTGTTGCTACTAATTGAAGTATGTTTTGATATTTTGTTGCTTGGATTGTCTTTGATATCAGCCGCAATGGAGCCTCTGTCATTTATACCTAGAACTCGAGAGCCCAAAAGAAGTCACTATTTATTTCGTAAAGTCCCATTTTTGGGACCATCCAGGACCACGACTCATCCTGACCATGCTTACCCTATCAGGCGAGTACATAATTGACCGTACGAAATTTAGGTCTAGCACCGACTTCTCCACAATTTTACTAGGCACTATCCCTTTTAAATCCAATCGCACATGATACTATTTACGTATGTGGAAGTCCGCGACAATAGGGATTCTCAAATGCGGTGTAAGTGACTAAATAAATTTTGTCTCTTTAAATTGGCGCCACGGCATTGTGAGCTTTCCTTAGCGCATACAATACGATCCACGAAAGGTAATGAGGTTTTGCAAGATCCAGAAATGAATGCGATGACAACGCTTCGTATGTGCTATCCATCGTCAAAGATAGAAAGCTTATGGCCTCCGACGACCAAAGAGATGGGTTCATTATAGAGAATTTCCCCCTTTCGACATGTTTTTTATTCATGACACTCATCACGGCTGAACCTAGCGCAGCAAGATCCTGTTTTGCCGGAGCTCGTGCGCCGTTTTGGCACAGTTCAAGATTTGCTGAATATAAAGTGGTTAGTGGTTACGAATGTTCGGCACTGTGCAGACGTACCAATTTTCACAACTCCTTCTAGCGACACTAGGATATTGGAGCATATGATCTCAGAGTGCCGAAGACCGTGAGTAGCGAGATATGCGATGCCTTCGAGGGACTGGACAAATTCTCAGCCATGGACAAGGTCAGACCTTGTGGACTTACCTGAGCGAATATTGAGGCGAGCTGTGCCTCGTTGAGTGATTTGTCGCACGCAATAAAGTGGTTTAGAGAGATGGCCTCGTGATTGGATACGGTGTAGTATACACCTTCATAACTAAATACCTCATAAGTCTGGACCAAGTTTTTATGTTTCAGCTCGCAAAGGCGTTTTATCTGTTCCTCGGTGATAGAGGCGCTGCTGAGGGTGAACTGCTCTCCTGTGTCTGATCTGAGAACAACGGCGACGGAACCACCTAGCTCAATACGGTAAGCTCCTTCGTAGAATAACCAAGGGGAATCTTCTCTCCAATTAACTCCTTGAGTCTTGTATTTCGACGGAAGATAAAGGTCGCGCAGACCCGACTTCGTCGTACTCTTCACAAGAACGCGAGAGTGTCTAGTAGAGCTCTCTACCTGACTCTCTGGGAGATTAGAGTTGTTGGGTCTTTGGATGTTCGCCAGATAATCGCCGCCGCTCCCTGGGAAGACTGTGTCACGGTTAGAGGCTTTCTGCATAGGACTCATGACTGGACAAGGATAGGAGATGACAGAACGTGTTTTGGCAGAGAGAAAGAAATAAACAGGCTCACGGAGAAATGTAATATCACTGGTTATCACTGGGAAGCCGAACGCATAACTCATCCTCACAGTTCCCTAGAATGGGCCCTTTCGGGCCCGAAATATGGACCTGAGAGCGCTGGTTAGGTCTTCATCTCACTCGAAAATGGATATAACCTCAGTTTAGACTGGTACAAAGGAATACTTTTTTTCTGCTCAACGAGCCAGGGATCAGGCAAATATGCAGATTGCGAGCCGCCATCATGGTCAGTCAAAGCGAAGTAAATGACTATCAGCGAGATATTGTCAGAGACAAAGCGTCCAACTTTCGAGGAAAAGCTCGCGTCATGCTCAACGTTCTTCGATTTACGCCTGAGAATATAAGAGATCTCGACAGGGCAAATGTCGAGAGACTGAAGGCTATCTACGAGGAGGAAGGGTGCCTCCGAGAAGGGCCAGAGCGTCACGTGCCTGCGATCATCTCATTGGCTGACCTGACACGCGCCATCGAGTTCACAGGAACCTCAGAGGTATCTCTCGATAGACTCCTGGATAATCCGAAAGAGCTGCCGCCGCTGCTTAAATTTCCTCCCAATGTACACATTGAATGCCTGACAGGGAAACATCGCATCCAAGCTGCCAGAGAGTCGGCAAAATTGAGAGCTGTAGACAAGTGGTGGATAGTGGATCTCTATCTAGAAGGTAATGTCCAGCGCCTGCCTATCTTTAAAATCTCTGCTAAGGCCCGTAGGATTGAGCGACAAATCAAAGAGGGCTTTATCAGAAGAGTATTCAAATTCTCTAAATTTCTCGGACGGCATTATATTTCTGAAGATCATATACTACGAGTCTGCCGGTGACAAGTTTGCCGAGTTCCAATGCTGGGCTCGTCTCACAAAGAGTAAGAGGGATATTCTAAGACGTTTTTTGGCTCGCAGGGATATTAGTGCCGCTTTCAAGCGCCTCCTACCCTTTTATGGACTCTGGACTAGCAGCAAATATGGCTTCAACATTGGGACGCTTCATAAGATGATCGGAATGAATATGGAACCAGTCAGTTACCCTGTAAACAATTGAATCTCGTTCTGACGATTTGTTAGGAAATCATCCACTATACCGAGCTCATCTTCGACACGTGGAAGAAAATCTTCCGTGAGAACAGAGAGCTGTACTACCTTACGGATCCAGACACCGTTGCGGAGCTTCAGTCAAGGGCTCCGGGGGCGTCACCGCATGACTTAAATAAGGTCACGCAGCTGATGTCCGAGGGTCAAATATTCCGAGAGATCAGGGACACGAGACATCGCGGCGATATTCTAAGACAGTTAAGTTCAATCCCCTACCCAATTCCGACGTTCTACACCCTACGACAAGATCTCATATACATCAAACCATGCGCCGCCATTCTGCGGAGACTATTCGTGAACTCCAAAAGGAGGTCCAAGTATTCGATCCGAGAAGCGGCAGAACATGCCTTCTCTGGCGTGAACCAGACTGACGGGCAGGTCGTCCTCCAAACTTCCGAGTCCTCTTTCCAGTCGGTTCCTGGAAGCCTCACCCATCAAATAACTGTCGGGTACCGGCAAATCGTCGCCTATGCGATGCGCTTCGTGCTGGATATGGTTCCTCAGGCAGCGAAGAAAGAAGCTAGAGAGGCAACGCCACAGCCACGGAAACCCAATCCTGCTTTGTGGCGAGGTATCGGAACACTGGCTTACCGACTAGGTTTTGAATCGGAAGAGATCCACCGGTTGAGGACCAAGGATGCAGACCGAGCAATCGCCCGCGACATGCTGCTCATGGCTCGCGACCCGAAAAGATACAAATACCCGGATGGGCTCTTGGAGAACTTTGAAGATCAGATTGCTGAAATGATGAAGACGGCAACGGAAATGTCGGAGGACAACCCAGTTTCCATCTCATCCGTGGACGGGTCAGGCGAGAAAATCTCGCATCGCCGAGGGTGGATTGTCAGCTCCGCCTACGAGAGCAGCCAACCATTTTTGTTCTTCAAACATCTCAACAATATTGACGATGATCTCGGTAAGGGAGTGACATCTTTCCTTGTTCGAAAATCAGTCTACATTGCCTTTTTCGGGATCGTGAAATTGCCCTCTGAAGAACCACCGTCCGCTGAGCAGGACAGCCAACCCCCAAATCAGGATCCTGGTGAGAATGGTGGCGAGCCCCACGATCAAGACGTCAATATGCAGGATCAAAGTGGCGTCGATACAACCCATCAAGAGTCGCGTGAACAGGACGTCAACATGGAAGGGCAGGACACCAACGTAGACGTGCCGCCAGGGACAGATGCCCAAAGTTTGACCACTAGCCTCAAGAGAGGAAGGTGGAGTGACCCACGTCCACCTTCCCAATTCCGGTTCGTTTTCGAAAGCCCGCAAATGTATCCCATCGATACAGGCCAGGCAAAGAAGATAATTCTTGGCCAGAATCCGAACGCGAGCGCACAAAGCAAGTCGGTAGTGAGAAAGAAGCGGCAAAATTCACCGGCTGCTCCCGGTCACGGAGGCTCGCCAAGACCCACACAGCAAACCTCTGGCCCGAGTGTGTTTGGATCTCTACCACCGGCATGCAGGTCACGATTGATGTTGGAATCTCCCTCACCCCAACAGGTATGTGGAAAACAATGCTTCACATCTTGGGGAAACTAACCTGACGCAGGAATCTCAACCTATCCATGAACAAACTGTGTCAATCTCGATCTGGGAAAATGGCAAATGGAATCTTATGGAGAGCGACTGCAAACGGGACGAAGTTGGTGAGAAGGTGACGCGCCATCTGTGGAGGAACGATGGCCTACATCCCTACGATGAGGATGGAAGAGGTCTATCTGAGGATCAATTTTTCGACGTCGTTGTCAATCAGCGGTCGAGGATGATTTACCTTGCTCGACCTCAAGATGAGTCTACTGCTTTCGAGTTATGAACTTTTATGTTACTGTTGAACCTATGAAAAGTTTGTCAAGCCAGCAAGGTGTATAGTAATGACCAGTTTGAGGTATATAGTACTGTGTGGGAATTTAAATGACATATTTATGGAGGCTTTAAGGCTTTATGCTACTAGCCATAGTCGTCTAATATTATAAAGGAAGGAATGTTATTCTCCTAAAGCAAACATAAAGCTTGTACAGATCTCGCCAGGGACAGCTGGCAGTAGAAAGCCTTGTGCACAGAAATTCCCGGTTCGAGTAAAGGGTAATCGTTCCATTATGCAAGCTAACTACCAAAAATTATGCGCAAGACACGCTGCAAATTGGCCGTGCGGATCCTGCCGACGGCAAATACAAACCGAGCCAAAACCACGAGTGGAATCAGGGACACCTACGCCAACACCAGACCAGGAACACCTAATACGAGGGGCTAGCCAGATAAACACCAAACGCCGGAGAGAAATCGTACCACCTGAAGAATATACGCCAGACATCTTGATTCTGTTTCCCAGCTTCGTCATGGAGGGAACCAACGTTGATCTTATGTTGAATTTGCCGAGGAGCTGTTTGGTGACCCTAGAGTCAGATTTCTGAGGAGCACGAGGAGCTCCTTATTGATGGAGGTTTGTTCAACTCGATCGCGATCCATGCTTTCTTGCATCTTCGTCTGCTGCTCCTGTTGCTTTAAAATTGCCTCATTCATCGACATCATCGTACTCTCAAACCTTGACTCCATCCTTTGTACATGTGTTTGAAGCGAAGCGATGGAGCTCTGGAGAGTCGTCATCACGTCTTGAGCCACTGCATTCCCACCATTCAGTGGTAGCGCCGGGGCATTTGAACTGACTAATGATTGCGCACTCAACAACGAACCTGACCGCCCGGCGGATAGAAGTTGTTGTCCTAGTGGAGTATCCGCTGACAGCTGTAGCGTTTTGGGATTCATCTCCCATGGGGCTAAGACGCCCATGGATCTGCAATACTTCTCGATGAGCTTTCTTTCGTCGTCGTCTGCCACACTCTTGAAGTGGTTTCTGGCCATGACCGCGAACCGAGCACCCTGAGCTTTTTGGGGGTCCTTCCACAGGACGCAACATTGTGTATCAGCGGCCTTGGGCGTTTTACCGGCTGTGCTGGATTTTCGTGGCTTTGACGCGACGAATAGCAGATCCTGAAAGTTGTCTTTCTGTCTCCAAGTATACTTCGGTGTATTGTCGTCACCTTTGTCAGTATAAATCCGATATTTGTTCCCTAATTCTAGGTAGGCTTTAACATTCCGGCGACCGATCTCCGCGCCCGTCTTGACCTGAAAGTGGGGTGTCCTCGGGGTCATCACTACAAATTCGTAGGCATACGGGTCCTTCCCTTCTTTGGAAAGAGCCTTGTAACACAAGATGGCATCCCCGTCGTCGGTGATGTGGATGTCATGCTTCTGTTCAGCCCAAATCTGGAGTACCTTGCTCCGAACCCTTCCCACCTCTGCTGAGGTGGCTGGTGACACGGTGATTGGATGGCCTGATAGATTTCCTGCCTGGCCATCGATGTCCGTCATGATCTGATCAGCGCGCTCTTGTCCTTGATCCGTGGATGAGCCAGCTTGTGCGTCGTTATTTGGAGTGCTTTCTGGCGCGGGAGCCCGACGCTCTTGTCCTTGATTCGTGGATGAGCCAGCTTGTGCGTCGTTATTTGGAGTGCTTTCTGGCGCGGGATCAGCGCGCCCCTTTCCTTTGCTTCGCTTTCGAAGCTCCTGCTCAACTTTCTCTTTGATGCCCGCAGGATGCTCGATCTTCCAGTCTTCGGGGTAACGGAAAGACCTTTTCAGCTTTTCGAGTTGCTCGTCCAGGTTCGCCAAGGTTTCCACCTCCTTCTCATTGGTTGGCTCTTTATCCAGGGTTCCAAAAGCATTAGCCAGTCCCTGGGCCATCGCCTGTAGAACGTTAGTATTAATGTAGAACTTAAGATCCCGGACATTCTCCTTCTTGTTACGTGTCAGTAATTGCCCATTCAACTCTTTGAGTTTGTCAAGATCAGCAGGCATGCCGCGGAGAAATTGATTAACAAACGGCGTTGCCTGTTTGTAGATCGCCAACGTCAAGTCGTCAGGTTCATCACTACCCCCATCGTCTTGGTCGGACATGTCATCGTCGGTTGAGTCGTGCGAGTCGTATGGGTCGGCATCATACGCGTTGTCAGCAAAACTCGCAGACACATCGTTAAAAAGGCCCTCGGCGTCCTCGACATTCGGCTTGTATGTCATGCCCTCTCTGTCGTAACGCCTCCTGTTAACTATGCTTTCTAACACCTGATAAGCGTTCGAGACTCCTATAGCTCTGTTAGCAGTCAAACTTCAGATCCATGAATTGTAAGCTGACTTTGAAATGCATCCTTTGCATGACTAAAGTTGGTCTTGTCTGGATGGGTCAAAAAGCTGAGTTTGCGGAAGGCCTCACGAATTTCGTCCTGCGGAGCTGATGGCGACACGTCAAGGATTCCATAGTAGTGATTTTCTTCGCATTTCATTATCCTTTTGATGGTTGCTTTTTGAAGTCGTGTATGTTTCCCCGACGCTTTCGCTTTCGCTTTCGCTTCGCCATGGTCACCGGTTTTTCCTGAACCCTGTCCTCCCTCTCCTTGAGCACCGTTAACTAGAGGTTGACCACCCTTATCCTGAAGGTTTGGGGACGATCCTTGTGGTGGTGAGGAATCTGAAGCATCTGCAGGATAGATATTTCTAGAATGCGGCACGATGTCGTAGCTACTTGAAGGTTGCCCTTCCTGGCCTCCAGACCCCGAAGACGCCATTGAAACGGTCTGATGAAGGGTTGTCAGAGACCAAAAAAAAAGAGAAATCCGAAGCCATCCTCACTTTATAGTCATTCTCGCACCTATGAAAGCCCCAGAAAAGAAACCTCGGACTGATTTAAGGGACCTTGATGAGCTCACCGGGGGACCTCTTTTCCGTCTCCCTTCCCATACCCGGGGTTTATCCCCCATAAAGGCCGGAAAACAGGACCCATGGTGAACCCCGCGTTTGTTGGTCTTTATTTGAAAGTTGAATTATGCTGGATTGATGAGTTTTGGAGTTTGTTAGACGTCTGGGTCTTTGGATTTGAGCCTCTTCGGCTACAGTTGCAGCGTTGCGGAATCCCGTTGTCGGGAACCTCAAGGTTCCCTCTTACGGGCCCGTTTCAGGAATTAAAGATGTCTGCAGACACTACTGTAAACATGCAGTACTTTCTCCAACTTCTCAAAGACATCTCTTGAAGTTGTTTCAGAGTTGAACCTAATTGTGAGTGGGACCCAATTGACCACTATGCGCTTCCTCCTGATAGCACCAATCGCACTGTCTCTTAGACATGTACTCGCAACAAGTCCAGCAAGACATTGGAACATCAGTATCCCCGAGCCAACCTCAACACTATCGAGTAATGCTTCCTTTCGCACACCAGTTATCACGCTCCAGATTCAGATAGGTGACCTAACTGGCTCTGGAACCATCGCCCTGAGCCGCCCAGGAGTCGCAACGTCTTTCGCCAATTCATCTTCGATAATTTCCCCTATTGCATGCACCACCGGCCTTTGTCCTATCAACACTAGCACTGGTCGTCCGTTAACCAGCACTAGCACTGCCACTTTCACTGCTTGCTCTACTGCCACGGGGTTTAATGCATCGAACCTAACATATGGCTTCAGCCAAATCCCTGTATCTACATTTCGTTCATCCGCTACAGCGATATCAGCAAACGAGGACGCCAACATCTCTACTGGGGGAGCAGCCCAATCTCGGCCGGATCCTTCCTATATCTTCGCAGTTATTTGCGCCATTTTCGGAGTGTGGTGTTAAACTACATGGTGTTCGCAGATTGGCATTGAATAAATCATAAATAGGGCTTGTAATGCGTGTTTGGAAGTTAGCAAATGTCAGTTCTTATTGCATAGCTATTTCATTTGGTCGATCATTCAATATGAATGTGTATTGCACGATTTGGCTGATACAAATCGATTTCCTACCTTCATCCGGAGCCCACTATCTCTTAAGCCCTCTGACTATATGCCACCTCCAAACCGCTTAAAGCATTTGAGAATCACTGAAATGGAAATATCGCTTTTTGTGTTTCTGGCATTTTCATTCGCTAAAACTCTAGTGCCTGAGTTGTTTTGAGACTTGTCCGTTGGATCGACATCCGTGTAAAGTTGACCCAAACGTGACTTTCCCATCCAGCTGGCAATGTCCACTCCTGGCCCGGTTCTGGGTCCCCGCTTCCTGTGCATGAACAGATGGGGGTTAGCAATCTGCGACTATCACTAAGGAGTTCCAAAAACCGGGTCTCAGTAGATATATATCAAGAGCCAGGCTTTTAAAGTTCGGCTCTAGACCGAGAGCTCTACATCCTGAACCCATTATGCATTGGATATTCCTTCCCACTACGATTCTGCTTAGTCAAGCTCTTGCTCATACGTGGAATGAGCAGCTTACGTTGGTCGAAAATGGGTTCTTCACCGGGAATAACGGTTATCCTCGCGGCTATGTGTCTCGATCCGATCTAGGTTTTAACGATAATATGATGACCTATCTCTTGCCACCGTTAGACTCAGGAAGAACGAGGGTGGATGATTCGGATCTCGTGTGTTCGCCCACTCAAGAAAGCGCCAATCAAACGGATGGCTACCCCCGTCTGAGCGCGTCACCTGGAGCTTATGTGGCCATGAAATACCTTGAGAACGGCCACGTTACCCTCCCTCAAATCCAACCTGGCAAGCCGCAGGGAGGCGGGACGGTCTTTGTCTTTGGGACCAGCCAGCCCACTAACAACGACCTATTAATGGGGGTTCTCCAATGGACAACAGATGGCACTGGAGGGGATGGCCGCGGTAAACTCCTTACGGCTCAGAACTTTGACGATGGGAGGTGTTATCAGATCAACGGCGGTAGCATATCTGAGAGTCGCCAGGAAGAACACCCAAATCCCACTCCTGACCAGCCTGGGTCTGTCAATGAACAATGGTGCGAGACTGATGTCCTTATACCCCCAGATTTACCGATCAACACTCCATACACAATTTACTGGGTATGGCAGTGGCCCACGGCTCCAGGAACTCCGGGGCTTCCTGACGGGAAAGACGAGTACTACACCACTTGTTCTGATCTTGATATAGTTGCCGGGCCCATCAGAGGCGCAGCATCGAACCCACTGCCCCAGCAGGACCCTCAAACTGCGGCTGTGTCAGACTTTCAATCTCGTACAGCGTTCAACATTAATCCCCTTACATCTTCCTAGATATTCATTTAGATAGGATACATAGTATGGCGCTGAATTTGTCTCCGCTGGTTTGGCGAGCGGCATTATTTTACCAGTTCCGCATTTATTCTTTCTATCTATTGTTACCTCGATGGAAATACCGTGATTTGGGACAAGAATTCTAGTTTACTCCACGAAGATACATGATATTCCGAAAAGATATATCCCAAGCCACGGCTTTTTGATTGTCCTCTTGCCGCCGAAACATTGTCTTTGCGTAATACAAAGCGTACATTATCCAACCGTATACGGTGTACACTTCTGAACTCGCTTTTCTACACTCTCAGAGTACCGAGAAATTCCTAAAGTCCCCTCAGATTTCAGAGTGGCGTGTCTGGCCCTTTGTATTATTGTCATGGGCTAGGTTTTCTTCGCCATCGGGTTCCTATGAGGGCCCAAGAGATTTGGGCAATCGATCCTTGCTGAGCTTAGGGATATGTGTGATTGTGGCTTTCTGTGCGCATGTGGTAGACAGATTTTGGGGGTACCATTTCGACAATACGGTGTGTTATAGTCTAGTCTTCGTCTAATGGATACCTCAGTGATGCCTGATTGAATCGCCTCGGCTAGATTATGCAGAAACAAAACATTTTAATTGGTCTTTTCAAGCTCACTGCGAAACCAAATGACTTTTCGGTTGAAATGGAATTTTTGAGGAATAGAACAGCGGACGTCCAGTCAAAGTGAAAGGCTGTTTCGGCTATGTTTTCTGCCTGTGACAAGTGGGGGAGGACCCAAGTATGGTCCACTCTAGGTTCCTTTATCGAGGAACCATGAGGCTGAATCTTAGTTCCATTGCATATCGGACCTTTGGGATATGAGGGATGCCGTTCCTAGAATATAGGCATTTTACTGTAGAGTTCTACAGAGGAAATTATTCAACCCCTCCACATTATCTCCTCTAGGCCTGGTCCGAACAGAAAAAAATCATGGATGCCGAGTCTGTCTACGATTCCTGGATCCCGTCAACGGTACCCGCTACTCCAGAAGAATCCTTCTCAATCGACTCCTTAATCCAAAGGGTAGACGAGTTTCAGCGACGGGACTACTTGGAAACGCTCGACAAGCTTACGTTTGAGAATCATCACCTGCAAAAAAGCATTCTACACTATCAAAAAGAATGGTGTTCGACACTAGATCTGCTCCAGTGCGCCAATGAAGCTCTGTTGAGAATACAGAATGCTCTCGGAAAATGCTTTCAAGAGCAGATAGAAGCTGAAAAATATTGGCTTGCTTCCTGGCGTATCGAGGACAGTGCTCCTGGCAATTCCAGCTACAGCCCTTCCGGATGGATTTAGCATTCGCGAATTTTTTGTATCATACAACAAAGACCAACTTGATTTTTAACCACCGCTATGTAAACCTTCCTAAAATCCAAAACGTATGTAGGGTTTAGACCAGGTGTGGTCCGCCAAAGAATTTTCCCTTCTAACACAAAGTTAAGCGTGTTCGTGCAGAGAACGGCCAGGCCATTAGCATATCGAGTCACGCGCGATCCGTCTCTTCGCACGACGGTGCCCTATTCCTGGCCTTTCGGCTTACTACTGTAAGTGTTGCCATCTAGGAAGGCTCAGAAAGACTGCGCCCCTTCATCAGCCTCACACTGGATGACAGAAGCCGGCTAGAAATCTCGCGCACCTTGCCTGGAAGAAACGAAATAATTTGTGCTAGGCATTGTAGCAAGGAAGTTCCAATTTCCGGGCCACATCAAGAGCGCCCTGAATAGGGAACTCATTATTACAGAAGCCGAGCAGGAAGGAAGTCCTAGACGAATTGGTGTGAATCTTTCGCCCCGGCCGCCCCCCTAGGGGCCATTCCGGGGCCCGGAAGGGCCATAATCTGTGACAGGCGCAAAACTACAAGCAAGCACTATTAGCTCCCGATACGTCCTCTCTATTTGAATGTGGACTTATATATATTTCACCGGTGGTGCTATGGAGCGCATAAGTACTTAATATGATCTACAATTTTACAGTCTAGACATAAGAAACACCGATCGCACAACTATCTGTTAATCAGAAGAACAAATTTTCATCGTAATCTCTTCACATCGCCTTTTCACAACACTGCTACAGACCTCTCTTTACGTCTACATCCAATATGTATTACGCCGGCATTGTTACAACAATCCTTGCACTCACCCCGGCGTTGTCCCTGGGTACACCTATTCTTGCCGCCCGCCAAATTTCAGCCTTTAACGTCGGCATTGCGCAGTTAATTTGGGCCGGCGACACCTCCCGTGTTTCTCAATTCTTGTCTATGGCACCCTCGCTCAGTGGCCAAGACTTGGTAAACGCAGCGGCATCAGCTCTTGCCGCTGAGGGCGATGAGCTTAACCAAAAGGGCGCCCTTGATGCAGCGTTCCTTGACGTGGACAATCTCGACCCGAACGTTGTTGCAGCAAACACAACCTTGGTTAACGATGGAACACTGCAATTTGTCGTTGATGGGTTGAGAGGTCTCGTGGCTAACGGAGCAAGTTTCACTCCAGACCAAGTCAATATGACCGTTACCCTGATCAACGGCGTGCGTTGTGGCACCGTATTGCCCGCTATCGATGCATACTTACAGGCAGCGGCCGAATTGTCAGGGAAACCGCTCCCTAACGCCGCCGTCAGACCCAATAACTGCCCTTGAAGGTACGCCCAGTGTCGATGACTCTCCCAGAATAAGTAACTCGGGAGTTCCTCTGCAAGTTTTTGGCCTTAAGCGAAGTGCTATACGGGTACTATGTATTTCGTTCTCAAATCTACTATATTCTCTTGCCCTTTGAGGTAGAGTACACTGGCCTTGAATCTACCCAAGCTCAATCTTTGTAGGTGGTATCCCTTTCCTTCCTAAGATAGTAGAAGAACCGCATCGAACTATACAAGAATGATGAAAGATCGTAATGAGAAAGTGCTGAATGCGTAAATAGTGCCTTATACTGTTTAAAACTCTCGCTTCGTATATCTCCAACCGTAGTTGTTCAATCAGAGGCCTATCCAGTATCGCGACGGTTAAATAGTATGGCCTAGGCGTGCTGGAACTGCAGAATCAATTTCCCCCCTTGAGGTCCAGCAATGAATCCATCGGTAAGGTTCATATCGCGTTGGCAGACGACAGTACTGGTATATTTTGTATATATTGCCGCAATGAGGTACTTAGTTGCTGGGTTAAATGTTCAAAACAGTTTCAATCGTGCAGCGTAGAGAGGTTCACTCACTTATGTTTGCGAAATGGTTCCCGATACACATTCTCTCGCCACCACCGAACGGCAGCAGCCATTTTCTCATCGTTTCAACCTTTTCAGGACCAGAGCAAGTCCAGCGTTCGGGTATCCAAGCATCTGGCTCGGAAAAAACGTCGACGTTGCGATGCAGTGTATAGGGGTAGACCTGGATCTTGACATGACGGGGGATGTTCCCGTAACCCTCCAGCGAGCATACTGTCGGTGATAGTCGTGGCCGAGTACGTGCCACGGGCCACACTCGAAATGTTTCCAGTATGACTGCATTTAATAATGGACAGGAGTCGACTGCTTGAAGACTGGGAAGAAGAATTTCGCTACCTCCCCTGCATGAAGATTGAATAGGTACGAGCTTTTGAAGTTCGGTACGCAATTTTTCCTGGACTTTTGGATGACGCGACAGCTCAAATTGAATGCACGAAATAGCATTTCCAATGGTTTCGTGAGCACCCAAGTTGTGGTCGAACATTTCGCTAGCAAGTTCGTATCGAAAAGGGTAGGCAGACTGTTTCTGCGGCGAACTGAGATCCGTAATCTCTGAGTGGAAACGTTGTAGTGAGACATATAGTTGCGCCAAAATGACAGGGTACTCCCTCTTCGCCATGCCAATCCCACTCGATTCTTCGGCAATGATAAGCCCCACAGCCTTGTCGCACATTTCGAGGTTCCAATTCTCAAGCTCGTTGAGAGCCTTCTTGATCGACCTCGCTCTGAAGGGAGCGCTTAGCCGAGAGAGGAGAGTAAGAAAACCTGGCATCTCTGTCATGGCAAAAAAATAGGGTCTGCTCCGAAAATATCTCGTAAAGTACCATTGACGGCGCTTCATGTCTTGGATGAATGTTGTTTTCAAGGAGGACCCGTACTGGTAGCTTGTGAAGATATCCATCGCATATGCTCGATTTAGATCGCACACTTCTATTGGTATCCTCGTGGTGGAACTCTCTTCTATGAGTGGCAAGAGCTGCTCTGAGACCAGAACATTGAACGTCTCTCGTAGGGCGCCGGAAGACAAGATAGTTGATTTAGTGTAGCTTTTCGATATCATCTTTTTCCGTTCGGCATGTTGTTTTCTGTCCATCATGGTGAACATGTTTAGAGCTCTAGTGCTTCGTGAGTAAACCTGGATGAGGTAGAAGCTGTATTTGACTATTACCCGTAGAATATAAAGTGAGGCACATAGATGTCATCCTTTGGAAAGTCAAGTACCTTCCTGACCGCATCTATAGAAGATACACTGATTTCGTTCGGGCCTATCCTCACGAGGGGTCCGTATCTCTGATGCAGTTCATGGATATACTTGTTCTCCGAAACCCTGGGGGACCAACGAACGTAGAGTATTCGGAGCCGTGAAAACCGAGTCATCCATGGACCCGGTAGCTTTCACAGCGGTGAGACGAAGTAACTGTCAGTGATAAACTTGGACACGGCAACAACACAGAGCAGCGTAAGTATGTAGGCCGCCAGACTCGGAGGACTCATGTCGGGAGTTTCACAGGGCAGGGTGTACTTCAAATGGAAACCGGCTCAGGCATAAACACTGTTCAGATTGCGGTAAAGGAGGATGGAGAACGGCTTGTGCTTTATACGCTACTAGGAAAGCGATAAAATCTTAGCGTGATGACGGATACGGATGGATCATCGAAGTGATGATCACTACCATTATGCAGGGATTCAGTCGGCGGAAAGGGCAACACTAAAGCTAACATCTTTGGAGGTTAGTTAGTAGCCGAACTACGTGTGCAATAGCGGGGACGTCACTCAATAGCTTTTGCCGCCGATTGCGTATTATGCCTCCGCTCACATTCCGAGCCTGGAAAATGCACTAGCAACTAACTTGGTCGAGTCCTCTTCAAGCATCGGCAAGGCGGTCGCCTCATGGCGATGCAACCCCCAGTGAAAATGCCCGTTGGAACCACCATCAACGCACTGAGGAGGGCAAAAGTCAAGGTCATTGTCTTCCACCCTGCGATCTTTTCGACAAAGCCGCCCCAGAGGGGGCCTATCAACAAGCCACCAGAAACAAATACATAATAGAAGGCATAGGCCTGCGCAACAGCCCCCCTAGGACCGAATGCTCCAGGGCGAGTGTGTTCGATTGCCTCGACCGCGAACGTGATCTCCGCCATCAACGGCGCGCCGACGAAAGCCAATCCCGTGCTCAAGAGGAGGAGTAGAGCACACAATAGAACGACCTGGCCAACAGTGTCTTCTTCGATCAGCCGTAACATCAATAATGCGGGGGCTGCAGCCGAGAATCCGGCTATCACAACCCATTTAGGGCCAACGATGTCGACAATACTGCCTGCACAAATCGCCAGGAGAGATGGGATCACCACAGGGATGAAGATCAGACCGGCGCCTTGCGGTCCCCAGGAGAATATTCTGTGGACAAAAAGAGGGAGAACGGCATCCAAGGAAGCGATCAAGGTGACTTGCACAAGACTCGCCCAAAGGGCAACCTGGAGCCGGGCATCTCGTAGAATGATTGCCCATTGGGCAAATTTAGGCAACGCGTGATTAATATGTTGTGATGTAATGGCCGAACTTGTATCTCCTGGTGAATCTTCGGGCTGTAGAGTTCGTGTCCCCCAAGAGAGTGACTCTACGTCGAAAAATTCGTCCCTCTGACCCAGCGGGACTATTCTGGGCGTGCCATCATCTCCGTAGTCAAAGGTCCAGTAATTCCAACGCTGGGGGTCGATATTCTGAGTATCGACGTTTCTTTCCATGATCAAGAGCCTCCAGATAATATCAATAGCGAGGAGGCCGAATGCGAGACCATAGACAGATTGGTAGCCACGGTGTTGGAACAACAGTCCTCCCAGGATAGGACCGAGAAGCATGGCTAGGCTCATCCCTAGGCTACAGAAGCCCATAGTTCTCCCCACTTCACTCGTGTCCACGGTTTCTGCCGCAACGGTGAGTGCTGTAGTCCATGTGATGGCACTCGAGGCACCCTGCAGAAGTCTTCCAAGGACAAAGAGGGCCGTTGATGAGCCAATACACAAGAGCGTGGTGGAGCCGGCAAGGACGAGAAGACCGAGAATGAAGGTGGTGCGGCGTAAGGTGAAATAATCTGCCAGATAGCCAGCAACCGGACAGATCGCCAAACTGGCTGCCGCATAGCAGGCCAATAGTGCCGATGTCCATGGTCCGACTTCACATGGTTAGAAAGTGTACTCTCAGATGCGGATCCTGGACATACCATCACTCTCCTGTACTCCTGCCCGATTGACCAGTGCGAAAGGGAGGATTGGGACCACCTTAGTAGGAGTCAGTGGATAGGCTGTTGTCGCTGTGATTCTACTTACCATACTATAGAGGTACGAGTCAGTGAAAACAGCCAGGGCGCACGCGGCGACAATGAACATCTTGGACGATCGCGCCTTCATGCAGAAGGTGGATTCTGATGTTCTCCTTTGCATAAAGCAATCTGAAATCACTTTTACAAGCCAGCCAAACATGTTTTTGGCAGAAAAGGCTGACGGAGTGGAGGGATGTTTAGATAAAGGCCTGAATTCAGAAACGCTAGAAGGCGACGGTGATGCAGCTTGTGCCTGTGGACAGCGACGTCTTCTAATACTAGTAGGCTTCCGTCGGTGCTGGGCGAGTTTACCATGTATTGGCCCTAATAGGTATCGATTGAGCAAAGGTCAGGTAGCTGATGCCTTTCTTGTTGATTCTTTACCAAGGCTGCCGATAGCTCATTTAGCACTCGGGGGCCATCCTGCAACCTTAGTAGCATCACTTTCTTTGTTAAAGTAATTACTGGGTTTATTGACTCTTGGCGTCGTGGCGAAGGCTAGATATCTATCCGTTCGGTAATGGCATAGCCCAATCGAGGGCACCTTATATCATACTAAATACTAGCGCGGCCCGGGCCGGCGGCTAACGGCAATTCATCGTTCGTCACCCACACTCACTAATCGAAGGCTCTCCGGAGCTATGCGCCGCCTTAATTCCGGCGGATCGAGTCTGAATCCCTGAAACTATCGCTCGGCTACTGCGATAGACCGCAGAGACTGGCCCCATGGCGCCATCCTTGCCGGTAATGGTCGGCAGTGTATGTGGCCTACCCTGACAGGCGTAGCGCCCGCTGTCCTGATTAGAGCTTCGGCCCCCAACTTCCAAGATATGCGCTACCGAGCTTCCGTAGGATGCAGGGACTTGTTTCGGGGCTCCCTAGTTATCACTCTGAAGTGTCGACTAGACACGATATAGTAATACGAAGTATAATGCCGCTAGGCCTCCCGTTAGGGGGGGGGGGGGAAATGGGTCCTCAGCCGGGACGTGGCCCCAATGCTTGTACTGGGAGAAGGCATGTGCCCGACGTACCCCAATGCTTGTACTGGGAAATAGCATCCCCCTCCGTACCAGGACTTACCTTTTCCTCGTCCCCCCTCTGTACCAGGAACTGCCTCTTCCTCGTATAGCGTGTTGCCCGACGTACCCCTCCCATCCTTGTACCGGGAGATAGCATTTCACTACGTACCCCTCCCATCCTTGTACCGGGAAATAGTTTAGCACCACGTACTCAATGCTTGTACCAGAAATAGTATTACATGATGTAGAGAGGACCGGAATATGATTCATCGCCCGACAAACTGCTTCATGACGAGCTGCTGATGACGTGCACACTATAGGAGGATATTCCCAGTATAGGTTTAATCTGGATCTGGCGTAAGTGCAGATCAATGATTCGCGCAACTTAGTCCGTTCAAATTGTTCGACTCTGGAGACGGGTTGAGTAATGAAGCTAGTCTATTCCCTTCATGCTGATCCTCTACAACATAGTGATCCTGTTCCGGCTCTAACGCGACGTGATAACCCCAGCCTCACTTAGTTCCTCGACTAGGTTGACAACTAACTGCTTCAGTTCTGCATTCCAATCCTCCAGGTTTTTAACGTTCTTTTCAACCTCCATGCACAATCTACTTACCAATTAGTCATGGGTCATCAAATTTCGAACCACTTTACCTTTCCCTCTCCTCCTCTCGCCTTTTAGCATTGCGTTAGCCTGACTTTAACCATTTCTGCTGAAAGAAAAAGCTTACTCATTCTGGACATTCTCAAGTTCCTTCTCGAGTCGTTCTATTCTCTCCTGAAGCTTGAGAACGACGGTTTCCAGCTCCCCTCCCGCTTTCGGGGCTTCATTGGTCATGTCATGATTAGCAGCAGTAGGCTGTGTTTGTAGTGTGAGATCTTCTCCCATCTGCGCCATATGATCCGTTCGCTGTGCTCCGTAGTCTAACCACTCCATTGTCGGTAAGGGTGGCACGTCAAGCGAATCAAACGCCAAATTCGACTGGCATTGCTGTTCAAGGTCGTCGGATATGAAATCATGCGGACAGGGATCAAAATAGGAAAAGTCCTGACCAAGTTCTTTCAGAAACTCCTCGTTGATATCAAAATGATCTACTTGGGGGATATCCTGGTGTGACATGGTCATCACGTTGCATGGCTCCTGCGTCTTGTTAAGACCGATCAAAACCTTTTAAACATACACTAAAACTCCACAAGTACGCAAGGAGAATAACTATAGTAGCCAGCTGCGCGGGTGGCTTAGACCTATCCCTTGATAGTGAGGTACAGATTATTGCTTTTCAAGCGCCTTGACGGAACGACCCGGGGAAGAGGGCCCTCTTCATGAACCATCCTAGTGCGTCCTAATTTTGTCATACATATGCTAATTAAAGGAACATTGAAGGGCCTAAATGCCCGTCAAGAGTCGAATTTTGGGAACCTCAAAGGGTCCCAAAAGTTGAACAACACAAGATCTTCTTGCCGTGGTAACTCAAGATGGTATAAGGTGCGGCGTCAGATGGAGCAGATTAGTTCCCGGCCCCACTGGGAAGGAAGTTTGATTGGCCATTGATGGACGCCCGCCAACTTGAAAGACAATTACGGGTTTAAGCCTTGATATCTGCCGTCGTCGCCCCAAGAAAGGTCCTTTCATTTTGGGCCCCAGAGCTCATCGTATCGTGTGAATATCCTTTGGGGAGCAAGGTCTAGGACTCAACAGGCCTATATAGGTTCGCTGATCTCCCTCTGCTGCTGCAAGGACCCCCCATCGATCCAAGACAAGAAAGTCACTCATGAGAGGAAAGCAATTGACACTGAATATCCCCTCAATGATGGCTGCTCAACAGCTCAATCCGACGCCGGTGAGGCTCCTTCTGGTGCAAATGGCGTAAAGCCGTCTAACCTAGTTAGTCAATTCCTATCGACAAAAGTAAGGAAGCGCCACCTCCCCACAACAGTGCATGGACCGACCACCTTCCCGCCAATCAACAACTTATTGAGGTCGATCAAATGCTTTGCAACATGTCTACCATGTTGGGGGCCGCTCGCAGTACTATTTCAGGTTTCTCTGACTACGCCAAAACACACAAGGCATACGAACATGCCTATCATCAGGAACGTAAGATGCGGTTCGAGTGTGCCCGAGCGTACGAAGACCTCCATGGCCAATACAACGGGGCGATCAACGAGCTCAACAGCATGTATAAGAATAATCGGTCACTCCACAAACAACTTGAAACCGCTCAACAAACCATGCAAACCCTTCAGGCAGCCGTCCAGGAGCAGTCCGTCAAAGCTAACAATACCGTCGTTGGCGAGTCAGACTTGGATCGGTTAGAATGGGCCTTGGAAAAGGAGCGACTCGAGGCAAAGATTGCAGACCTTGAGAAAGAGAAATCCGCGATGGCACAGGACCACCACATTGCGTTGGCTAATGCCGCGGACCACATCCGTGAGGTCACGCAGAGGGCCGATGAGCTTCAGAAGCTGCATGAGGGGTCTCCCGACCAGCTTCAGCCATTAGCTGTTGAGCCCAATATGAACAACGGTCGCGATAACGCGGCGCCCTCCAAACCGACGGGACGGGCAACCCGATCCCGAAAGCGGAAGACTGCCCCGAGGACCGCCTCGAAATAGGAAACTGAGGCCTGGAGCGAGATCTGACGGTTTAACTGGATATTTGTGTACCTAGGTTGGGCAAGTCGGCGCAAGTTTGATTGTCACAGTCGAATGTTGTTCCAATTTAAAATCAATACTTTGCCGGATAATCTAGATCCAGCATTCCTTTGAGGAGCATGATCCAACCGTAGAGCATTCTGGAGTGAACTGACAACCTGTTGCCCTAAGCCCAGAAGAGGAATATCCCTCGAGTACTTGACCTTAGGAGAGCATTGCCCGTTTACCGTGGAAGCAAGTGTAGACTACGTGATTGCCAGGTTTATCCTTGGCACCCTCTTGCCTTGTCCACCCAAACGAGTGCATCAAACATCCTAGTCTGAGCTCCCAGGTCGAAGTTGCAGTGGTGCCCACAAACAGGCCCCGGCCAAGTTCGCCCCGGGATGGGTTGAAAAAAGGGTCACCATATTGTGGTGACCGGAGCGAGGGCCCGAGGTGGGACCCACAGAGTAAGATAAACGCCCAAACCTTTCCCTCCTCGATGGACGTGCTCGCTAGCAAGTTCCAGACAGGCGCATTGAGCCCGACTATCGACAAGCGGCCTATCCTCAGCGTTACTATAAAAAACCCTTCTGTTGGCGGTTTGAATCGTCCTTGATCGAAGCTTCTGCGATATGCTTCGACATAAACGAACAAAGTTCCGCTTGCTGCCTGGCAACATCAGTGAACCCCTACCAAACCCTCCTGCAGCCGATGATCCAGTAAACATCGAGGAGGCTTCGGAAATACGGCAGGCGGCTAGTAAAATCCCGACCTCTAACCTCTCTCAGATGATAGAACAGCGAACTTGGGAAAATGAGCAGCTCAGAAGAGAGCTCGTCTATCAAAAAAGAAAGCATGGGGCAAGCGTATACCTTTTGGAAGAGGTTAAGCTCGCGGTTGAATCTCTTCAAAAAGCCTTGATAAACTTCCAACAATGTCATGAGGATATTGAGAATGATGGCGCAGGGATAAAACGTCGAGGCTGGACTGGTTGACTTTCGTCAACATAACGCTCAATGTACCCAGTACGTAGCTAGCCATCTCATCACGGATCTTTCGCGTGAAGGCCCTGCCCCATCTTCTAGCTAGCGGAAAATTCACCAGCCGTCGCACCCACTTCACTTTCGTTGTCCTTCCGCTCATTCCTGTTCTTCGCCTCTCGCCCCCGCTCCTTTTAGAAACAACCGACATGTCTCTGACATGTGATAGGAAGCACCCGACGTTGAATTACTTAGACCCATTCTTGGGGCAGAGGGCTTGGACTCTGTGGAGACGCAGATCTTTGTCGCTTTAGTCCACCGCGTCGGGTTGGCGACATGTGTGGTGTGACTGGTTCGATGCACAGCCCGGATGACTCGCATTATCAAGCACAAAAGGACGCAATCACGGGCGGGAAAGGTGTGCATGCTTGTGTGTGTGAGTAGCAATGCCAAGGCGGGAAGACAAATAGACGAGGGTACCATTCGTTCTAACTGGCTCGCCCGGCGGCTGCTGGGCACTCCTTCCCTGTTCAGCGACGTGCATTAGTTGCGAAAATACTGTTCTACTGGACCACGTCTGCCGTGACTCTTCACACCTGGGCGGCGCGTGCCTTGCTGCCGACCGCGAACATCTCCCTCCACCCCTTCCTTCTACCTCTAGACGACGCAGGACGAAATTCAAGCTCTTCCAGATGAATGTTCGTATCCAATTTACCCCGCACAACCCCTCGAACCTTGTCACTCATCTCGTCATTGGTGCACACTATTGTTTCTTTGTTAGTTGGTGACTCGAGAAGAAGATGCGGCCGTCACTTACAGGAAACCACTATACGACCAGGATGCCGATTTTCGACCTCTGAGTTGATCAGATTTTCGGCGTCCATGGCCTGATACGCGATATTGATGCGCTTTCCAAGCTGGGCCGTGTCGCCTCGGTTAGTGTGGACGGAGAGGAAGAATCCCACGACGAACAGCTTAATATCGAGAATCTAAGATCACCAGTTAGTACCTGGTGATGATGGTGACTATGCTCTGTCGTACTCGATCCCTATCCTCATTCAATAAGTCCTTCATCATATCAGCCACCCAGGCGGCATGTACTAGAGTAATCAGTCGAAACGTTCAACATCATGGGACAAGATTCATGAGGCTTACGCTCGGAATCGATTTCCCAGAAAAGACGTATCCTTTGGGTCTTGATCCCACCGCTTCGATACCCTTCCAGAAGCTGTGTGACATGAGCGATCTGGCCGGCGATGCCGATGTCTGTGGCGAACAACATGACCGTTTCATATGATTCGAGGTTCAGTTCTCTTCCGTATGGTCCCTCGATTAATGCTCTCCTCTCAGAGTGCTGGCTAGGGTCGTCACTGGCGCTGGCGTGCATGCGTAGGTCGTTTGTAAGACCTCTCCTTCTCTGGACGATGAGAACGACGTAATCATTCCCTTGGTGTTGGTACCACCAGGCAACGTAAAATGGGTGCGACTGTGCAAAAGAGGTGTAAGTCAACCCGGGAATACAGAGATACACGTACTGACCGGCGCGGTACCGCCACGGTCTTGATGGTCTGACGTGCACGTGGACAACGTCGGAAACTGGTATGTCCCTGGAAGAGTCCCTCTTGAAAATGACCGATCGTATCACGGCTCGCCCGACCGGCGTTCTGTACTTGACGTTTCGATACAGGACTTCTCCAAATCGCAGTCCACGAATCAAAATTTGAAGACAGATCGCGGAGAGCAAATACAGGGTCGGCGTTGCTGTTAGTCTTTTGGATTTGCTGTGGATGAATAATGTGGCGATCAATGCAGTAGCAAGTATCAGATGGAGTTTGAGGAAGATTTCGTAGAAACGGTCGCGGACGCTTGACAGGGAACAAAGGACCAGTGTCACCATAGTGGCTGTAGCCTGTAGATCTCTGTCAGCTCATCGCCCCCTTCTTCCCAGGGATCAGAACGCAAACTCACTGTCAGCCCTGCGATGTCCGGGAGCACATGTAAATCGGGCATCTGCAAAGATACCGCCGCGATGACATGAACAAGACCTTCAACTACGGCTACCCTTCCCAGCCATCGGTGAATGCGGCCATAAACATCGAGTCTAATCCCACAGGCGTTAGTCAGGAAGTTCATATGAGCCCCTCCGGATAGGGGGATGAGGTTAATTATAGAAATCACTCCGGAGCGTCTTCTCAGCCCGGCGGTATCTTCGACCCGAATCGTCGTAGAGCAAACTATCCCGATCAAAAAGATGATCGTTAGTAGGAGGTCAAACCGAGTCGTTTTCTCCGAGCCCCTCAAAACCTTGGGAATTTGAGGATAGTACACGTGCTTGAGAAATTGACGTTTCACATGGGTACCGATTTTCTTGATCTGAAATTTCGCTCCGGGGCCAATTTTCTTGAAGATTGTCAGGAGTGAAAAGCTGATGACATAAAGAGCAACGAGCCCACCGAGGGCAGTTGCGTACCACTGTGTAACATCCATGGTGATATTGTGGGGTGGTGAAAGCCAGATATTGACGAAGAAAAGTGGTGCAGAATCCTTATTATATAATGTTGTTCGATTTGGCCAATAATGAAAAGGGGGGTTCCCGAAATGGGGACCCTTCCTACCTATACGCAGTCGATATAAATCCGCTACCTCTATTTCCCACTGCCGTAGATGTCCTTCGCATTCCAAGACTGCAGTGATGGCCAGACTGTCAATTAAACTTCACAATAAAAAGCTCAGACGACGGCTAGGAGGGCTCAAGAAGAAAATATATGAATACGGCGAACTGGAGGACATCGAGCTTGCGTTCCTTGTCCGCAATCGAGTCAAAGGGACCCTCTATTGCTACACATCGAATGAAGAAGTGTTGTCGTGGCTGAGTTCAGACATTGTAAGTTAAACGCTCGAGATATATACACATGTATATTTCTAACCTCTGAGAAGCTCTCTCATCCCAAGTCCGAACACGAAGGCCCATCAGATATAGAACACTTTATTCGGAGGCAGCGCCTCGGTTCTAGCGGTGCAGCTGAGAAAAAATCGGTGGTTTCACTACCACGCACCAACAAAGAATCGAAGGCTAACAAGCCAGCGTCGGATGAAACTGTACAAAGATTGACTCGAAGGCAAGCACGTACTATTCCAGACCCGCCGCCGTTTGATTTAAGTATTTTAAGGAACAGGAAATGCTGGAAAAGATAATGGTGGTCCCGACAGAACTCGGCATGCATTTCCAATGATTTACTCATTGTGCAAGTCCCTGCTTTTGATTTAGGGGGTGAGGCGGAGATGATGATCTGTATAGATAGGACCACTCAGACAAGGATAGACTGTTCGTTTACTCTCAATTTTTTCCATTTCTGTTCGCTCACCTTCATCTATCTATCGCGCAAGTTAGTAATAATGCAAGGTAGGTTTAGTATGCCTGTTCACAGGAGGGGGTGACTCCTCTCTCATTGGGACCAGCCGGCCCTGTGCGCGCTTCGGTTGAAAACATGCGTGGAGAGAGTCGCCAGCCACCTCAGCTCGGCCACTTAAGGAACTCTCTCCGGGCAGTTCGGGAGTGTCGGTTGGATGGGCGCCCGCTTCGAAACCGTCGCCGCGGTGATAGTAGTGATGGACCTCGACTAAAAATTGAGGATGACAATGCTCCCATCGCTTGCTGTGCGCTCGTGTACATTCTGGTCTGGAACATATCCCAGGTTCCGGGATTTGGCCCGGTAGCAAAGGGTGTTGTCTTTGGTATTTTCGAGATCGAGGTTTGCCACAAAGGGCGCACAGGTGTATTTGACCTCCTTGGATGAGGCGGGTGTAGGTTTGATCTGGAGAAGTTCGAGGACTTGTTGACTTGTTCGTCTTCCAAATGCTCATTCTCTGCACCCACTGAGGTAGTAAAATAGAATTTGTCATGATAACTCTAACGTCCTTTCCTAATGGTACCTTGCGCTCGAGACCGTAAGGTGTTCTGCACCACCAGTCAATTTAGATTTGCTAGAAGCCATGGTAATTATGGTGGCGTTTGCGCTAGACTGGGAGGATAACCGGTTGGGACCCCCGTTTGGTCCAAGGAGCCCAATTCCAGAGACTGTCTGAGAGTGGCCCTATTTCCCGTTTCCTGGACCAAGACCAGAATCTGGGTGTAATCTAGGAGGGTCCCATTTTTCGTCTGGATTCCGATTTCGCCGCTGTGAGCCCAAGAGAATATATATGTCATTCCTCTAGAGGACTTTGCACTACTGTTACATTTCTTCAATCCGCATCCTCATCATGAAGCGCTGTGACCATAGCCATTGGCTCGGACTTTACAGTCAGGGTAGTGAAGTCGCCCTCTTAGCGACGGATAGGCTTCGCACTCTTACGAAATATATCCAATATCCTGATGTCCAGAAGCCTAGCTTACTTGTGCTAATTGGGAATGTAGCAAAATCAGTCGCCCTTCGGGAACTTTTTGGTGTGAAGCGGGCTTCTAGGTTGAGAAGCAAGCAGAGTGCCGATGGAGTCCACCTTCATCTCGACCCTTCCACAATTTTCCCCGGTAAACCAATCTTCCTGGCGGACCTCGATTTACCTGGTCAACCTTTGAAGATAAAGTCAATCCCAAGAGAGAAGTGCCATGAGACAATGAGCCATGCTATTGAATGGATTACTGATGTACCAGGCGTGCCGCCGAGCGATCTCGCCTCCAGGATCTACGCACGTCTGCTGTTCCCCTTCACTGACGTTTTCTGCTTCTTCTCCACTGATCTAGGCGGTTTTCGACAGATCGCGATCCAGTTAGCGGCATGGCTAGAGAAAGGTACCTCATCGACCCTTCCTAGATCTACGCACCCGAGGGTGATTATCATTAGTGATAAAATACCTCCTGGAACTGCAAGCGAAAACGAGGCTAAAAGGGCATTTTTATGGATGCTCTGCGAGGAGACGACCGAAGACCCACACGAACAGTTTTCGGACATCAGTGTGGTAGCGCTTTTCCCTGCTGGTTCGATGTCCGTCGAAGGTCGACATCGACGACTGAAAGAGCGACTTCTCGATGCATTGGATCACACCCGAACGACGAGAGATGAGACACGCCACCTGTTCTCTGCAACTCATTTCGGGGCTCTGTTCGAGTATGCACGTGCACACCTCGCAAAAACGATTGAGCAACCGTTCAGTTTTATCAAGGCGTCGAGGACGTACAACCCAGTTGCCCCGGACCTGGGGGAACATCTACTAACGTTTCTTAAACACGTCAGAATGCCTATCGAGCTAACGGAGTTCGCAGTTCCGATTATCGCCTCTAGCTTCCTTCTAGACAGTTATCCTCCGGACGCCCACAGTAAGCCCACTTCCTACCCTATCCGAGAGTGGTGTATTTTCTAACAGTCGTACAGTGTTCGATCCACGAAGCGTTTTTCAGGTCTTGTATAGGGATATCCTACGCAGGTTGAGCAAGTCTCGCGTACTGACCTTCGATGAATCGAGGGACGTGATCCTCGTGAGTGGCTTTATTAATTTGGTCGAGGATCAATTTGTCGAATATTTCGGGCAATCCATTCAGCGAGGGGGCAAAGCCTCGGCAGAAATTCACAGAGAGAACCTTGAGCGCTTCCAGGACCGCTGGCTAAGTATCCGAAGCGACAGTACCTGTTTCTCTTGTTTACGCCGCAGACCTCAATACAACCAGCACTGTGGCCACTGCGTCTGTCAGACTTGTGTGATGAATTTTGGCGATCAGAGCTCGGATGATCCCTGGGACTTCAAGGTGCGTCGATGCTCCCTGTGTAATGTCTTGCTGCCCAGAGAGATGGTCGTCAAAGTGCATCCTCCTACAGCCGGAGCGGGAGTCCTGTGTATTGACGGAGGTGGGATACGCGCCGTAATACCGCTGGAGATCATGAAACGAATACGGGATCGTATTGATTTGCCGATTCCCTTTCAAAAGTTCTTCAAGCTCGCTTTTGGGGTGAGTTCAGGTTAGTTTCTCCCCCGCTTTAGGGAGTTCGATACTAACGATTTAAGGGGGTTTGATTATCCTGGCTATGTTCCACAAGGGGTGGTCAATTGAACGGTCATTGGACGTGTTTGAACAATTAGCAAAGCACACTTTTAAGCGCCGGAAAGGTTTAGGTATCCCCCTTCTTTCTCGTCTTCGGGAGCTTATAGGGTCGTATTTGGCCGACGGCCTTTATGCGGCCGAAAATATTGAAGGCGCCTTGAAAGAGGTATTTGGTACGGAGGGGAGCATTCTCGACTATTCGTACGCAACATCAATAGGGACGAGGATCGGTTTGCCTGTCGCTACGGTTCACGACAGGCCGTCGTGTCGTATATTCACCAATTACAATGGTGTTGGAACACAGGATCGACACCTAGGTGAGCCCGTGGAGCGCTCGCCTGCTGAAGTAGCTGACGAGGCCACAGACCAAGTCATCAAACCGAAAGACGGTCTCGGAAGAGTGCCCGTTTGGGAGATGTAAGTCTTCATTAACCTGCCTATGGGCACCACTGACACTTGAATAGAGCACGATCAGCCTCAGCGGCGCCTGGGTATGCTACCTAACCCTTCTCCGTGGAGTTGCTAACTATCTCACAGCTTTTTCCCGCCGAAGCACATCGATGAAGTTGGCACGTTTCAGGATGCGGGTCCTCTGGAGAACGATCCACTCATTTCCGCTCTGTCCGAATTCACTTCAGCGTTCCCGTTAACTGAAGAACCAGACTTTGTTATTTCTCTGGGCACTGGCCAGCCGAAGAGTGACACGACGTCTACTACACTTACAGCCCATCCGTGGAAGAATAAAGCATTACCGAGACTATATCGTTTATTCTGGGAGAAGATGCGCGACAAGAAGGTCAGACAGGCTTTCCAAACTAATCCCCGATATCACCGTCTCGACGTTGAATTCGACCGAGCAGAACCTAGGTTAGATGATACGAAGACCATGTCCGAGCTGAGGTCAAAAGTTCAGGTCGACGACTCACTATCCAGAACGATTGATAGTATCGCCCGCCACATGCTTGCCTCCCTGTTTTACTTCGAATTAGAATCTATACCAGAGAAACTTAACGGTAAGTTTGTAGCGGTCGGTTACATCCAATGCTCGGAGCGTCGTCGGGGCGAAGCATTTTCTCTCTTACTTCACCGGTTGTCAGATTGCTCTGCCACATTTTTCCTGGACGAGCACCCAGTTACAGGAAACTTTGGCGACAGCTCCTTCCTCGACGCGGACGGAAACTTTCGAAAGCGTGTGGAGCTGAGCGTCTCGGATAAATTCACCGTACGCCTCAAACAAGGCCGTTCGGAGCCGTGTAACATTAGCGGCTCGCCATACTCACTACAGAAGCTAATACTGGCACAAGACCTTGCCGCTCACTTGGGAACGGCGAACCACCGGAAGAGGAAAAGGGAATGGGCCTACGGACAATGTGCAACAAAAAGGCGGCGTGTAAGCGGGGCTGACGTAGATTGAGCCTTGCGGTAGGTTCAGTAGGCTCCGAACGTCCGCCTCGCGAATGGAAGGATGGAGGGCGAAATGGTGGGGTCGACGAACTCGATCCGCCGCGTGGTCTCTGGAAAGCCATAGCAACATACCAAATTCCAGGTTAACCCATAGAGAGTCATGAGGCGGTGTCCAAGAAAAGACGAATAATTGGTATGGCTGTCATCTTTTACGTGTTAAACAGGTCCAGCCAATTAGAGGTCCCCGACAAATTTTGTCGGGGACTTTTGATTGGCTATCATAGGGTTGGGGTTAAATCCATGTAGATAGACATCAGCCCATGCGTGTCCTCCGCTTTGAGTTAATTTTGGCGATATGTCACCGCCTCACGATCTACAGGTGGGTCTGGTTTGATGATCGAGGGTAATTCTGACGTTTCGAGGCATGTGCAAGCAAGACGAAATTCACCTCAGGGGTGAGGAAGGGGCGAACGCGATCAGCACGTGAGTGACACGCCAAGACTGTTCTGTATTAGTTCCTTCGCCCCATCGCGTGCACGGGCCACAACTCCGTTGAGGGAGTTGTGGCGCGTGCAGTTCTAGTCTACTTATGTTTTGCCAATCGCCACATCCAGCCGTTCCCGTGCACATCAACCTTTCTACCCGCAACCCACAGAGACGGGCGAATCTTGAACAATCCGCTCTCAACACCACGCAAGTTTCGGATCGTCATCCTTCTGCCATGTCAAATGTCGAGGAGAGAATTCAATGCATGGAAGAGATGCTCCAAAAGCTCGTGATTGTAGTGGACAAGCATCTGCCCCGGCCCAGGCACCCGTCCGCCAAATCGCGCAAGCAAAGCCAGTCGCCCTGGAATACGATCCGGCCCATGCTTGAAGCGCTAGTGAAGGATGTCAAGTATGTCAAAGCAGTTGTCGAAGGATCAGATGTCAATACAGGTCACGATCGAAACACAGGAGCTCATAACCGAAACATGCCTCCGGAAGCTGCATTACAGGTCTTGACTCCACCACATGAGAGACAGCAACTTGGGGAACCCTCTGCAGACACCGCAGCACCAACTACTGTTCCAACCACTGTTCCGACCACTGTTCATACCACTGTCGAAGCCCCAGAAGTCGAAGAAAATACTACAGTAGACGTAACTATGCCACGCCGTTTGCGCGAGCCTGTCTCGTCGACCATGCCTCCATCCGATGCTTCAACATACAGCGTATCTGAAATTCCTCGGAATCCTGGCACCATCGTCCCTTATCGAGAGGAGCACGGCATTGTCGTTCTGATGCCATTGAACATGGATCAGTGTCGCGACACCCGCTTTCTTCTCTCGCAGGCCGAGATGCTTGGTGCGCGGCAAACGGGAATATTCAAGTACGTCCTGCCAGGTGATTTTGATCTCAGCGCAGAGGCTGCCCACAGCGTTACGACATTTGTCTCCAGCTTTACGTCCAGTCTCGGTCAGGACGACATTTTTTGTATTTCGCGGCAAGAGAAACTGGAGACGCTGGACATTAGCCATACCGGAACTATACCCACAGAGCCAGATGAATTGGCCGAAATGTTGGAGCGTCGTCTTGCCGACCCGGAAGCCGTGAGCAAGATGCGCTACTGTACGGATACTCCGGCCTGGACGGCCGAAGATCGACGACGGCTGGGCTTACCTGCGGAGTCCCTAATCTGGCCCTTGAAGGATAACCTATTGGATCACACAAAGTATATCGTTGACGGGCTCCATCGGCCGTATGGATATTTGTCAGGCGAGGACGGGTCTGTCTTCACCATACATTGTGAGGACGCAAACTTAATATCGTTAAATGCCCTATACAGTGGAAAAGAAAAATCCTGGTGTGCCGTGGCTCAGAAAGATGGCTACCTAGTCGAGAATGCAGTGAAAGGTGGGAAATGCGCGCAGAGAGTACGACACGCCTCTCGCTGGATCCCGCGATCGAAGCTCAAGGCCATGGGGGCTTCCTTTGTCACATTCGTTCAACGTCCGGGCGAAGTCGTCCTGGTGTGGGGAGATATCTACCACCAAGGAGGCACCGTTGGTCCGACCACCGCCGAAGCCGTGAACTATGGCGGCCCCGAGTGGAGTATCAAGGGCTACTCCGATTGCAGCCGCACTTGTCCCGGACCCCCCATTTCGAACGCGCTCTTGGAGTTCCGTAGCCCAAATGAACTACAGCGCGAACAAGATGACGTGGTCTCCACGGGATCTTGTAGCTCGATCCAGTCCCAAGGACACAAGCAGCTAGCTAGAAACCGTCGACCAGCTCCGACCCGGAGCGGTGAGACGGCGAGGACAGAATTTGGGATCGGCAAGCAAGGAAAGGGACCCCGAAAGAGGCACGGAGACGTGCAGACCGCGCAGCAGTCCAGAAAAAAGGCCAAGATTCGGACCACACCCAGTCCAGCCGATACGATAATGAATGAAACCAAGGATGTCGCCGATCTTGTCTCACGGATGGTGGCGGCTATTCAGAGTAGAGATGCTATCAAGCAGTTCTTCGATATCGTCCAAGGTCGTCGAGACACCGAACCAGGATTCAGAATGAATTCCATCACAAGTCCTTCCAAAAGACAAATCCAAAGCGAAGATCCTACCCGAATGGTCGAGAACGATATGAATGTCATCAGCATGCTCTCTCGTAAGACAGCCTTTCATGGCTTTCTTACTCGGTTATTCCAAGTCCGTCTTGCCGATCATGTCGACAAGCTCAAGGGTGACCGTCTGAGGAGTGAGACAGCCGTCATTGCGGACATCCTTCGGCGCACGGGGATGTCGAATCGCCAGTACTCATACCACCGAGAGAAGGGCGAGAAGTGGCGGAAATATCACGAGGCCTTTCCCGGTATCCTTTGCTTCATCCCCGTTGGAAATCGACGATCTGGTTTTTCTTCAAGCTCCTGGCTTGACCTCAACGAAAGAATATTTGCCTTCCTATGTCCTCGTCTAGACGACGAGCACACGTCTGCTCTCTGCGTCGCGGGGAGAGCATTCGAACACTCATTGGACCCAACAGCAGACGATGTTGATTTCATCTGGGAGAGTCAGAATGTATCTCTGGATAAAATTTCGAAGGCAAAGTTGCTCTCTACTCTAGAGCTCTTCCCAGCAAAGCACGAAAACGTCTATGATCCTAATGCGTACCCAGATTGGCCCAGACCAGACGAATGGCCCGACGATTCGCCGTGGCCGGTTGATCCAACGTCTCTGCCTCCTTCTGGTGGGGTTGAGTGCAAGGTGTGTCATCGGAGCAATTGCCCGTGCGAATTGTGCCACAGGGGAGATTGCCAGTGTGCCGCCATCCGTCACAAGACACAGCCTCGCATCCGGGACTATACCCGTAAATATCAGGACAAGAACCGAGGCTTACAAGCCGTCGCGTGGGAAGCGGGCCAAATCGTGTATTCGGAGGGCGATATTATCGGCTTCATCACCGGCGAATTATCGCCTCCCGATATGTACGCCAACGGTCGATGTATACAAGTGGACCGGAACGATATTCTTGGCGAGCCCACAGTCGCCCAGATAAACAGTGCTAAGTGCGGCAGTGTCTACAGGTTGGCTAATAGCAGCTGTGATCCATCGGCCCGCTTCAGGGGGATGAGGGTATCGGGGAAGTTTAGGATTGCAATCGTTGCTGCCCGAAATATCTTTGACGGGGAAGAGATCACGGTCTACTACGGCAAAAGATATTGGGGAAGGGCAAAATGTCGATGTCCAGTATGCCGAGCCCGTCTACTCTAGGCGTTATGCTTCATATCGCCCAAAACTAGCAACTTCCTCCCGTGGCTGGAATGGAGACCTATCTGTCTGTCGATCGGTGTTGGGGCCCATCACGTTGCTGCCATGACCCTGTCCTCGGAACAAGTGGTGTAAGCCTACATTAATTGGTACGCAAATCTTCGATTTTCCCTGGACAACTTCGAATGACCCAAATTGTCGCTCCCACAGATCCCCACCACGGTGGCTTCGAGCTTTTCATATCTCCACAACAACCTCAAGGCCGTAGTTGCGAACCTCCAGATATATTTAAGCAGTAGCCGGACCATGTACAAGTGGATGGTTAAATTGTCTCCCTAGGCTTCGGAGATGTAGACTGGCAATCAAACTATCAGCAGGACTCTTAGGCGTTCAGGAGGAGTCTCAAAATTGGGCCGGCGTCAGCATTTGGCTGGAAGACAGTGAGCATTCACTTCGAAAGTCTCGTTAGGGTATATCTATCTTGATGAGTAGACAAGAGAATAGATTGAAAGTGCCGCAACACGGCTATATGATTTTATGAGGCATTTGGGTAACCCAGGATATTGAAATGCCTCGCCAATATTTATACCGGGCTAGTAGTGATTTTCAGTCCATAGGTAATTTCCATTTCGTATTTTCGTAAGGACAAGGGCAGCTAGGAGGCCCACGATAATGGAGCTCCAATGATACTCTGGCTCCCAAGTCATGTCGCTGGTAGGGAAACCTTTCCACTTCACGTGGTACACCACAGCAACGCTTCCGGATTTGCCTTTTGGAGGCCAACAGGACCGATAAGAGTCCCATATATGTTCCTCCCGTGCGGAAGCGTTCCTGCAGCTGCACTCTCCTGGGATAGTGGAAACATCCTGCTGAACTACTCTGATACCTCTGCCCTGAGGACTGTAGGGGTACGGGTGGGAGGTTACTGAGCTGCGTCGACCCGGTCATGGTCACGCAAAGATGGTTGGGAGAGGAGAATGGAATATCACGGACGGAGCACAGATTTCCGTCCGCAGATGAATCGGAAGATTGACTGGGCCTACGAGAGTTTGGATGGTCCCTGTTAATATAGGTAGGTAGTAACAGGCTCCGAAGGTACCCAATTCAGCTATGCATGAGTTATTGATAGTAGAGGTGCTAGCCACCTCAAACGGCGCTAACATGTCCAACGATGCTCGAAACCCACATTCTCATTGCGTTGTTTGTGAGACGAGCGATTTATTGATCTAACTTTCCCATGAGGTCTCGCCTCTCGATGAGTAACGTGCATCCCTACGCAATGGAATGCCCTGGGTGTGGACCCACTTTTATTTCACATGCCTGCCCGTCCACCGCACCGGCGAAGGTCGCTCATGGGAGGGTGGTAAACTGATGGCATAAGCACTGAATTGTCCATAGACCAGATGTTCATATAAAATCACCAAATCTGGTGGCCCATAACACGCAGAAAATGCACGGGAGCCTTTTGCAGTCCACCGTGACGGCGCCTCGGCGAGAGTGATATTGAGAAATCTCCCTTCAAATAATTGCGCCGGCGGGCTAGTGTGCCTCCTCTCTCGCACCTTGTACACATCCGAGAGAGCCTCCCTTCGTCGTTCGTGCACACGGCACGACGCGCCCTGTCTCATATAGATGGTTATGGGTAAAAGTGGACCCGCGGCCAAGATCCGCGTACAAAGGCAGTAGCTTGGCACGAACCGCGGGTCGGGATTATTACGCTACCGCAACATGCGAGACAGTGTCCGGATGGTGGCATCTACTGCGATTTCTACTCTTATTATCTGTCATTTGAAAGTGGCTTACTGCTTCCCCGTAGTCATTTAACTAATCCTGATCCATCTCTGCAGGCCCGCGACGCCACTACTGCCATCATGGCTGAGGCGGTGCAGCGCCACCCACCTAGTCCTCGTGATGCCACCTGCCATTCGCCCTGTACGCGCCCGCTGCCTCACCCAGACCAGATGCGCTGTCGCGAGTTACACATTCAGCCTGATCGAGCACCCTTCACGATGCTGGGCGCAGACATCTTTAAGCGCAGGCATCAGCCTCAGATGCGCTCTCAATCTGTCTTCTTTCCTCTATCTTTCCTCTATCTTTCAATCAGACTTCCCTCCCATATCTCCTGGCGTCGGCCAACCTCATGCAACAACCAGTCTCCGCCGAACGGGTGACGGGGGGCCCGCCCAACCCGGTCGACCACACCGGGCTCTGTCTACTATCGCTCGACGGCGGGGGCGTGCGTGGTCTGTCGACCCTCCATATCCTCAAGAGCCTCATGACCCAGTTGAATTACGAACGTCAGAAGAGCGGAGCTCCGGTACTTAAGCCATGCGAATTGTTCGACCTTATCGGCGGGACCAGCACCGGCGGGTGCGTAGCATATGCTCCCTCACTCATTATGACTCTCGTACTAACACCCAGTGCGACAGCCTCATCGCCATCATGCTCGGCCGGCTCGAGATGGACGTGGACGAGTGCATTACAGCCTATAACCGACTGATCAAAGCCGTGTTTGAAGAGAAGGCGCACTGGACACCGTTCAGCTGGTCAGGACGAGTTCAACCACGATTCGACAGCAATAAACTCAAGGCCGTCATCGACGACGTCATCACCCGTCAAGGTTACTCTCCGACGGAACCGTTCAATGACGGGAAACCGCGCGGATGTAAGGTGTTCGTATAAACGCATAAGCAGACTAATTATACTATATACTCAACGATTATCTAGGTTCGTCTGTACCGCGGCGAAGGACCCATACGGAATCATACGCCTCCGAAGCTATGACCTTCCCCAGAAACCGAACGTGTCGGCTACCATCGGTGAAGCCGCCCTCGCTACGTCAGCCGCCACCGGCTTCTTCGATCCCGTCTCGATTGGAGCCCGACAGTTCGTGGATGGCGCGTTAGGGGTGAATAACCCAGTGGAAGAGGTGGAAGAAGAAGCGGCCGACATTTGGTGTGCTGAATCCGGCGACGTCAAACCACTGGTGAAGTGCTTCATCTCGATCGGGACGGGGAATCCCGGTAAGAAGGCGATTGAAGATAATTTGCCGACGTTCTTGTCGAAGACGCTAGTCCAGATCACAACGGAGACCGAACAGACGGCTAAGCGATTTGCGTCGAACTGGCGGAAGCACTTGGACCAGAACCGATATTTCCGTCTCAATGTCGAGCAGGGACTCCAGGATGTCGGCTTGGCGGAGTACAAAGAGCAAGGTCGCATCGAGGAGGCGACGCATCAATACCTGGACGACCAACATCAGATCTCCCGCGTGCGGCACTGTGTGGCGAATTTGAAGCAGAAGCAGAGTGTGTACCTAGAAGATTTCGCATAGCTAGCGGCCGTTCTACCACTAACGCTTCGTGATAGGAAAGACGGAGAATTCACTAGCTGGTGAAGTCGAGGTGAGACAAATCTTGTTATTGGGGAGGAAATGCTAAGTTTACCTAGAAATATATCATTCAGCGTATTCGCAATCAGTCAAGTATAAAGGCCTATCTTGCGCGGAATTGACTCACGCTCACACTTAGATCTAGGTCGTACGGTACTTCCCTGCTATCATATTCCCCTTCCACGGAACATGCGCTTTGTCGGCCGGGAGGAGGTAATTAATGCGCTACGGCAACAGCTATTCACATCCGACGCCGGCAATAAAGTCTCTCTTGTGGGATTGGGTGGTGTAGGAAAAACCCAGGTGGCTTTCCAAATCGCCTACTGGACGAAAGAGCACAAGCCGGACCATTCCGTGTTCTGGGTGTCGGCCATGAGCGGCGCGAGCTTTGAACAAGCCTACACCGAGATGTCGAATAAGCTAGCGGTGCGAAAGAGCTCGGAAGACAAGGATGTCCGGGAATCTGTCCGACGGTGGCTCGAGTCCGACGAAAGTGGAAAGTGGCTCCTTGTGGTGGACCACGCGGACGACATGGACGTCTTGTTCGGCTCTCTCGAGAACCCCGACGGGATCTTTCAGTACCTGCCAGAGCGCGACCATGGCCGGATCCTATTTACGACGCGGTCCCGGGAGGTGGCCAACGCCGTGGAAGGCGAGATGGTTGAATTAGCCGAGATGAGCGCCGACGAGGCGAAGAGCCTACTAGAGAAGTCGTTAGAGAAGTCGTTAGTGCGGGAGGACCTTCTCAGGAACGACAAGGGAGTGGCGGAATTACTGCAGGAGCTAACCTACCTCCCACTAGCGATCATGCAGGCAGCGGCATACCTGAACAGGAACCGAGTGACGATCACTAAATATATGGAACTGCTCCGGGGAACGGAGCAGGACATGGTTAGACTGATAAGTCGAGAGTTCCACGATTCCACCCGGCCTAGAGGTTCACGACACGCCGTGGCCACCACGTGGCTAGTATCGTTCCACCAGATCCGACAGTCCGACCCTGCGGCCGCCGATCTGTTGATGTTCCTCTCGTGCATTGACCCGAAGGCCGTTCCACAGTCCATTCTGCCTCTCTTTCCGACCGAAGAGGCAATGGTATTTGCCCTCGGGACGTTGGATGCATACACATTCGTGGTGCGGCGGGGAAACTCAAACACGTTCGACACGCACAGCCTTGTGCACTCGGCCACACGGATTTGGGTTCGAGAAGAGGGGATCGCGGCTCGGGTGGAGGAGAGTGCCGTTCAGTATGTGACGAGTGTGTTCCCATCGAGTGACTACAGCCAGCGAGATCGGTGGCGGGAGTACCTGCCGCACGCGTTTCGTCTCCTCCGGCGGGACGATACGATCGACTTAGGGGAGCGATATGATCTATGTATAAAGGTGGGGCAGTGTTTACAAGTTGATGGTCGGATCAAGGAAGCGGTCCGATGTTTCCAAGAATGCTATGATTGGCGGAGGGCGCATCTTAATGAGGATCATCCTTCTCGACTGGCATCGCAGCACGCGTTAGCCGGAGCATATAAGGCGAATGGACAGGTGAAGGACGCGGTGACGCTACTAGAGGAGGTGGTGCGGATTCGAGCGCAGACACTAGCAGAGGATCATCCTGATCGACTAGCGTCGCAGCGCGCATTAGCCGGAGTATATGAGGCGAATGGACAGGTGAAGGAGGCGATGCGGCTACTGGAGGAGGTGGTGCAGATTGAAGAGCGGACGCTGGCGGAGGATCATCCTGATCGACTAGCGTCGCAGCACGAGCTGGCAATCGCATATCGGGCGAATGGGCAGGTGAAGGAGGCGGTGCGGCTACTGGAGGAGGTGGTGCAGATTGAAGAGCGGACGCTGGCAGAGGATCATCCTGATCGACTGGCATCGCAGCACGCGTTAGCAATGGCGTATCAGGCGAATGGGCAGGTAAAAGAGGCAGTGACGCTGCTGGAGGAGGTGGTGCGAATACGAGGGCAGACACAGGCAGAGGATCATCCCTCTCGACTAGCGTCGCAGCACGAGCTGGCAATCGCATATCAGGCGAATGGACAAGTCAAGGAGACAGTGACACTGCTGGAGGAGGTGGTCCAGATTAAAGAGCAGACGCTGGCAGAGGATCATCCTGATCGACTGGCATCGCAGCACGCATTAGCAATGGCATATCAGGCGAATGGGCAGGTGAAGGAGGCGGTGCGGCTACTGGAGGAGGTGGTGCAGATTGAAGAGCGGACGCTGGCAGAGGATCATCCCTCTCGACTAGCATCGCAGTACGCACTAGCAATCGCTTATCGGGCGAATGGACAGGTAAAGGAGGCGGTGACACTACTGGAGGAGGTAATATGGATTCGTGGGGAAACACCGGCGGAGGATCATCCTGATCGACTAGCATCGCAGCGCGCACTAGCAATGGCATATGAGGCGAATGGGCAGGTGAAGGAGGCGGTGCGGCTACTGGAGGAGGTAGTGCGGGTTGAAGAGCGGACGCTGGCGGAGGATCATCCAGATCGACTGGCATCGCAGCACGCCCTCGCAGGCGTATATCAGGCGAATGGGCAGGTTGAGGAAGCTGTCTCACTGATGCGGCACGTGATTAAGATTCGAGAACAAGCCTTGACGAAGGAACGTTTTCCTCAATCGGTCGGTAGTCCGATGGAAGATGATCAGAGTGATGGCAATTTGTCGGAAGTTTCTTCAGGACCTCCTTCCTTGACCAGCGCATCAACGGACGATTCCACGGGGGATGAATACGGCCAAGCGGTGGAACATCTCGTTGAAATTTTCTGCTCCGATTCAAACATTGGGCCAGTCTACCGGGAAGCTACCAGACAATTGGGGGCGCGAAAATTCAGCCAGAATCATGATCAATTACTGAAGCTTTATTTCAGGGGATTGAGACATGAAGTCAAAAATGGGACTGAATTGGCAACTACACGTCTACTGCGCACCAGGCGGTACCGAAACGAGATCACTTCTCTTATTCTAACATCCGTGGAGCTGTTGGAAGTTGGCCAGGGTCGACTGACACCGATAACTTTGGCAGGACGCAAAACAGAACGCAACTACAACTTGAATCAATTCATCCGCAGTCTCACCATCCCCGACTATTACGACAATCATGAGGAGCCGCTTGATGAGAAGCAGCTTGTTGGTGGCGATGTTTCCGAAGATCTCATCTCCGAGAGCGACGGATCATCTACTGAGCCTGAACATGAATCTTCAGGCGACAAACAATCCCCATTACAGGCCATTGACAGTTTCCTGACCGGTGGCAGGGCGTTCAACCAGCTACAAATTAACCTTACGAGCCTGCTACGACCTCCTCACGCCCTGAAAGATGCGCTGCAATCCAAGAGTGAATTCGTTGTCAAGCAAAGCATTGCTCGGATCATAGATGGCCAGCCATGCAAAGACCGAGAGACAATTCTCGAGCTCCGCAAACAGAACCTATCAGTTACCGAGATCGCAAGAGTTTTGCTCGGCAATGCACTGGCCCTGCCACTTGAGATCGCAGAAGATCAGAAACCTACACTAGCAGAAAACACCATGACATCTGATGCATACAGACCGATGCATGATGCTACATTCACCAAAGAAAAAACACCGATCATTGAAACAGCGGTCACGAAGTCAAAATTGGACAATCTTACAGAAAGCCAAGTATCACAAGTATATGACGAACCCCGTCTTGTCGCCTGGACTTGTTCCTGTGGAATGCAACTTTGCGACTATTATACAGAGCTAGTTCCCGGAAGCTTGGAGCAGCTGCAACAGCGTTTACGGAGTGAGCATTCTCAATCGACGGCTCCTTGGACCAGTCTTTGGAGTGGCCTCTTCATTTGGGCCACCTCAAGATCGCGTGCGACGGGCGCCGATCAAAATGATCACGACAAAGCTTCATCCGAAAACCCATCAGCCCGAGTGACCCAACACACGACACGGAGCAATGCTAGCATGTCGAAAGATGCCAAAGAAACCATTCCTTCCGGATCTCACGGGCCCTCTCCATCGACTGACACTTTGACCAGTACCCAGCTACATCAGCAAGACTCTACGGTATCGTATCTCCTACTCTGTTTTCCCGAAGGATTATCCGGCTGGAGATTGTATCATCAACAAATCTTACAAACACCAGCACAACAAGATCACCCAAACCGAGTCACAAATGACAAGCAACTCTTTCACCTTTTACGAAAGAAGTATGCCTCTGAGAGGGGAGTCTTTATGTCCACCTTCTGGCCTAAGACAGTCGTCAGGGTATCACTGGCCTACTTTCTTGTTGACCTATCTGAGTATGTAGAACTGAAGCATTACGCATGCCAAGCTGGCGGAGCCGAATGCCGGTGCATTCCACCTCCAGATATGATACGACCATCTAACAACGCTCAATACGACTGCATACCCAGAGAGCCACCGCGAAAACCACCTCTCGGCCCGAACTATCTCACCCATTACTTTCAAAATCCGCATTGCATTAAAAACGAGAATCTTGTTTACACACTAAATCAAGTCCCTAAACGTCTTGGACAATGTATGGTAACATCAGGGGCCGAGAGATTGGAAGCATGGGGTATCGAGTTCGAAGAAGGTTGGGATCGAGGCCGGCTCAGAAACTTTGTCTTCTGCCTTATCACGATCGGGAGTTTGGTCTTCGCAATATTATGGTCCGTCCTTAAAAAAGATATACAAGGTGCCTTTGGCATGTCTGGATTCATCGTTGCGACGTTCGCAATTGTTAGCGGATACATGGCGTCCTCAGAACCGAGAGTGGTCCATAAGTGAGAATGACACCTCCTTGCTGCTTTATGTTGCTTTATGTTTCATGAGTTACGTGATGCGTAGGCGAGGTAAGATATCGGATAATATTCAGCGATTGAAACTCGATTCTGCTCTTTGGAGGATTCTATGAATGCTCAAGATCCAGTCTGGCTGTGTTATTAAACTCCCCTGCTTCGTTTTCGTCGAGGCTCGCGATAACGCTGTGATACTGATGATACTGATCGAAACTCGCGTTTGACGCTGGCTGTGCATCGTCGAGACGACTGACCTTGTCCGAACGACGTACCATTGCACAAAGAGGATATTTCTTCATTTATGAGAAGAAAGCATCTTACTTTCATCGTTGGACCGACAACCGCCACTGGAGAAGGAGTCGTTTGTGACTTTCTCCTCTATGCAGAGCAAGCTCTGGCGGGCACGTTATGAGTACATATACGACCTAGAAAAGCACACCGTGCCATACGTGGGTTGAAAAAGCTTTAGTGCTCGTTGTGAGCCGCTGTGGGATGCTCCTCTGACAAGCTTTGCGGGCGAAGAGAGGAAATGTGGTGGTTGCGACGAAGGGAAGGTAGCGGCGAGGTTGGATGGGAGGCGGGCGCGGTAAACGCGAGACATTGATGGGAGACTGGATGTCTTCGAAGACAATCAATGCTGGAACATGGCCAAGACTACCCCAGCGATTATACAGACGCATTGTGAAGAATATCCGATCAGGCTGAAGGTATATGTTCAGACGGCGGAGTGGCCTGCATGCGGCAGCGTGGTGCCTGTGTAGAGAGTAGGCACGAGGATGGGGGCTGGAATGTGTGGCGTCAACCCCAACACCGCCTCTGCGATTGTGGCGTAAACAGACGGACTGAGTAATGGTAGAGACAAGCGTGAAAGCATCTTTAAATGACCGCTTATACAGTTGCGACTTGACGTGGTCGCCTAAATCAGATGGCCGTCCAGTCCGTAATAATACCGCAACGGCACGGTCATTACGTCCGCGCCAAGCGATCTCGGCTGGTCCTCGGTTCTTGCCGGAGGCCCACTTTATCGCATGCAGACCGTGCACTAGGTAGGTAATGAATACAGCACCCACCAACGACTGGGTCAGTCCATCTCGGACATTATTAACGTGCAAGATAAATGAGCTGGCAGTCCATGAATGCTGTCTACGATGCTGAGCAAGAGAGTATTGGTCTGGCCGAGACGCCGGAAAGGAGGAGAGCCGAACGGGCACGACTGATTTCCGAGCGTAATGGTCACACCAGGGTGGTAATTTTATACATTATGCAAGTATATAGGTAATTCAATAACCATGTTACCAGCTCCTTTCATCCAATGAACAGTGTTCGCATTTGTGTTAGATAGAGAAGTCTGCAAAATAAAAGTGGGTCCATACCCAGGGCATTTCATCGCGTAGGGATGCACGTTAAGGGATCTCCGAATGACCTGCAAGCGGGGTCGATGCCATCTCCATTCACTCCAACTATACAGAATCACGCGGCGATGTATCCACCAATGTCAAAACAGACAATCTCTCAGCAATTTTATAAAGATTGGTCATATTAGAGAGCTCTGTGTGCTCGATACCGCTATTATTATAGGCTGGACGTAATGCTTCCATATCTCTCGATAATATTTCGTCAGCAGATACTCCTGGTCGCTGAAATTGGGCCTTCAATCGTTGGTGAGCCGTGAGCTTCCGGAGGGAGCATTTGTCTTGGTAAAGTTTGTGGTCGATAGTACACTGGAGCTGGTAGACTTTCGAATCTGCCATGGTGAAAGATTGTGCCGAATTTCCGATCCCCTCACGTAGAGAGATAATTTCCGCTTACAGAGTTCAGCAGTATTATTATTATACCAACTTAAAGAAACATTGGGGGCGGTACTTTGCACGGGAACCAAATCTGGGAACTCTTTATTCGACTGTGATTGCTCCATGAATCAAAAACGGGACCTCTCTAACTTTGAAAAGTGTTTAATTAGGGGTTAGTAGATTGCGTGGCTGTAAGTCGGGGCGCAGCGCGATGCAGGCCTGGCAGGTCACCAAGAGGCCGATATCGATCAGGGCAATGATGTTATCTATTCCCGATTAGTCTACCAGCTCGTAGTTCTGATCACAGCGCAGAGGTAAAAATAGAGCTCCCTGACTTATCGACGTGGCCTTCCTAGGCTGGGAGGAGAGAGCTTGTTGCGCTGCAATTCACTACCTATGGTCTAAGCCCCGAATTTTCGCCCCACGATTTAACGAACGCTAGAGCTAATGTTATCCATTTAGCCAGCTTGGGTAAGGTCCAGCGGGTCTTCTCATACGATCTATACCTATTCCTGTCTATAAATTGGCGGGCCAAATGGGATGATCTGGGTGGCCCAAATTCGGGAGCTTTTTACTCCCCCTGCAATGTAGCACTCAAACTGAATACGGAGAATGATAGCGAGAAGAAAGTTACTATACTATGTAGGCAATTAAAGGAGACACGATTGAGACGCGATGTTTTGCAACTGACCTCGCTAACAAGAAGTTGGCCCTCATTCTTGGGGGCTGGAGATTATGAACTTTGAGTCGTGAGAAGGTATCCCGCCGGTTATAAGAACGTTGCACTTCCGGCAGATAGAGACAGTCCTCCATTCCACAATCTTCCAAATCAACGAAGCTCGATTGCAATGTATCTCTTTGAACTCCTTTCTTTTTGCCTCCTTGAAAGGGCTGTTGCCCTACCACAACAATCGGTCCCTCCTGTGGTGGTCATATCTGATACAGTGGCGTTGACCACGCTCTTCGCAACCATTCCTGTACCTTCAACAACTACGACTACGGAAGTCATCCCCTCTCAAATTACTGCGGTTAGCTGTGCTACCAACGCACCGAACTTTTTTCGAGACAATGTTTGTCTTGACTTGCCCGGCAATGTGGACGCGTCGATCTGTTGTCCTGCAGGAACTGCATGTGAAGCTGTCACTGGGCCGGCACTGGTGTTTTTATGCAATTAAGGAAAGACATGGCAATCAATGATCAATAGGATCACGTACTCCCCAAAGACATGAACTTATTGTTACGGATTTATCGACTTGAGAAAGGGTGGAGCAGCTTGATGGTGTTGAAGGTGTGGTATTGTTTTTCATTCTTCTTTAGCTTTTGCAATGTCCAGGCATTTATAATGACGGCAAACCCTACACTCTAAGCCTTCTTCGTACTCGAACTAAATGAACGCTGAACGCCCCGTCTACTGCCAGCATCATCAGATACTGGCCTCTCAATTGTACGGCGTCCTAGCAGAATCCTGGGAAAGGGAGGGTTGTTTGGTGGTATACCTTGGTGATGAGGAGGGCTTAAAGTCTAGTTCCTCAATCCCAAATTCTAGACTAGCCTAGAGAAATTGGTGATGGAGACGACGATAGTTTCTTCATAAAGAAGGCACTCTGGGCTACCTTGCCGATCAGGTTCCCAGTCAACGAAGCGCCAGAAGGAGATCAGAGAGCAAAAGACCGCGACAAGGTCTCACGGCCCCGATCTCAGTCCATAAGTGGTTGCTATAGAATACCTTCTGAGACGTGAGAATTTCAGTTGGCTTCTGGAGACGTTTGCAAGGGCCAGAGTTCAGAATGCCTCCCTCGTTTGTTCCAATAGCTCCGCGTGGCTGCCTCTTTCTCCGATAGAACCATCATGTAACACAAGGATGAGGTTAGTGTCCTTGACTGTTGAGAGCCAGTGGGTAATCATAAGCGTAGTGTGGCCGCGACATAGATCGTGGAGAGCCTTCAGGATGCAATTCTCTTTGCGAGAGTCGACAGCTGACGTTGGCTCGTCAAGGACTATGAGTCTTGGCGTTTTCAGCATGAGTCGAGCGATTCCTATCCGTTAGCACTGCCCGCCGCTGAGTGTGGTGCCCGTTCACTGTGGTGCCCGTTCACCAACCCTTGTCTCGTATCTCGCTGGAAATTTCATAATGGCATCGTGCAGTCCTACTGCTTTGCATGCTTCGATGACCTCCTCATTTGATGCTTCAGGTCTCCCGAATTGGACGTTTTCCATGACCGACCGGTCGAACACCTCGATATGTTGAGGAGTGATGCTGATCTGCTCCCTCAAGCTGGAGAGGGTGACATCTCGAATGTCCTGACTATCGATCTGAATGACACCTTCTTGCACATCGTCTTTGCGAAGAGACTGACGAGAGTGGATTTACCACTACCACTTTCTCCAACTATGGCGTCGCTCGATCCACCTGGGACTGTAAAGGTGACATTTCGAATTGCTCTATGCTCACTATCGTACGAGAATGAGACTCGGTCAAATGAAATGTCTTCGGCCTGTATCTCCAACTGCTTGCTTCCGTTCACGATAGTCGGCTGCTCGTAGAAAATCTGGACGAGTTTCTCGATCGAGACTAGTCTTTCCTTGATATCCTTGTAGGTCGCTTTGCCAGTTTGATAAGATCATCTGATGTCGAAGCCCAATAACTAGCGAGGCCAATGAAGCGGCCCGGTGATGATGCGCCTTGGACGGCGTCCGCGACAAAGATAGCTGCTGCTGCTAGTAGTCCCAGCCGTAACAATAGCCTCCGGATGTTGGCAATTAAATAGTAACCTTTGTGGTGTTGGAATTGTGCCCTAAGAAACTTGTGCAATATACCTGACAACGCCTTGACCTCGGATTCTTGTCGGTTAAATAATGAAATTACCCGATAGTGCTGGAACGACTCCTGTAGAAAGTTTGTCATTCTCCGGTCCATTGTGACACGATGTCGAAATAGCTTAGATCCAGGAAGAGCCTTGATGAGCCACCGATAAATAGGAAATGGTCAGAAACAGCTTCACGAGCACGGTTATTCCGATAGAGGTATATCGTAGCGACGAGAAGGCCGACCAGCGGGGAAATGAGGCCGGAGGCCAGCTCCTGAATAATATTACTGAAAGCTCCACTAGGTTCGAGGGCTGATAAAAGCTCCCTAGATGGTTGAATACGGTGAAACTCCATGGAGAGATTTAAGATATGAGCGTGGAAGGCTTCCATGATGTTCCTGTGGGTGAATTGGGATGCATGTGTCGCAGCTGCAGCCTTGAATATGGTAAAGTCTTGAACCAGTTGGAGAACAATCCAGATGCAAACTTCATTCATTGTAGCGCCTGTACCGGTCATACAGGAGCTCTAAATATGGACTCGAGGTGAACCGACCGGAATTCAATCCCAATGAAAAGCAATCCATGATGCGACCCAGTTGGCGAGGTATCGACACTTGTAAAGCGCGGTCTTTGAAGAAACGAAGCACCAAAGTAAGAGAAACTTTTGATTGCCGTCCAAAGACAATCGCCAGTCAGGTCAGATCTTGCACATGCGGTATTCTTTGGAATTGTAATTGCTTACAACTAATCCCAAACCCCCCAACGGAGCTCTGGAGTCAATGGTATCAGTGGCGTTGCGCGACCGAGAAGTCTTGCGGTACTTTTGCGCAATCAAGCACTATAGGAGATAATACAGAAGCTATGAGATCTGCACTTCTCCACGGAAGCGCTGAGGGGTCTCGCGACTTTGCTACCGTCAGCTAGGAATGATCCGTCGGTTCTTTCGTATCTCTCCTAAATACATCTTTCTGGGAATAACTTGATGGCTTCACACTATCCATATCCATTATGAACTAAATCCCGTCAATCATGGCAGTTTGTGCAAGTCCAGGGCCAGGTCAGTTAAAGAAGCTACTCGTGCAACCAGGAGTTGGGCGTCGTGATTTAATAGAGGAGGGGATTGAGTTAATAACGGACACATTTGTTCAGGAACTTCTAATATCTTTAGTGCAGCCTAGGCTCAGGTTTAGGATACCTCCTTGATTCTTTCGAATGCCGTTATCGATTGATACAGATACGTATCCGGGAGAGACCCAAGTACAGAATGCCTTCTAAAATGTGCGAATTTCGTACAAGCCGTAACTGGACGAGTTATCATCTGATGTGTATTTCTTGAGCTGCTCAACTTTACGTTATCACGTTCGCTATGTCTCGCTCATTCAGTCCTGCAACTAATAAATGCGCCTGCCGGAAATGTGATACGCCATCGTTATCACAACTCTTGGGTAGAACTCCTTCCTGTCTAACGACTGCTAATAGGGTGCGTAATAGATCTTGGAGTTGCCGTTTTTCTTTCTTATTTAGTGGAGTTCGAGATACGCGCTGGCTGAGAACGTCATTAAGTCGCTTACTTGATGACGCCCACTGTCTCAAGAACGCTCGAGAAATACTGAGGTGCCCGGATAGCGCGTGAAGCTGTAATGTAAATAGGCGGAAGATGTCGACATAATCCTGTTCTAACTGAGCCTCGAGCTCATATAGAAAACATTGTAGACTGCTAAAAGCACTTCGCGCGGAGAATGTGTTAATGCCAACAAGTATACCTCCTTCGATACAGATGGTGGCGTGAATAACGCCAGCCTGCATAAAAAGCCCCCGAGTTGAGTCGATTGAATCTAATAATGGGGCTTCAAACTGTTTCCAGAGGGGTACGGGTGGCTTTGGCTGTTTAGTGTATTGTAGAAGAAGCTCTTTATTATAATCGGAGAGTGGCCACATTGCGACTAATTTTCGGCACTTCCCAAGAACCGTAATAAGAGAGTCTCTAGTCTGATCAATATGCGGGTGGATAATAACGTAGCGAGGAGTGATATTGCAGCTATGAGATGTTTCGGTGTTGTAAGGTTCGAAGTCGGGGTAAAGAATTCTAGGTATGTTCATTCGACAGTCTGGCGAAAGTTCCACATATGCGTTCATCAAGTAAGCTGGATTTTGAGCGTTCGGTTCGAGAAACTGAAATAATGCTGCGTCTCTACTCAAGGGGTCGAACTCGGTACCACGAAAGGCCTGTGGCGACTCTATAATCCTATTAGTTTAGCCGTTAAGTAGTGATATCGAACTTACCGTTGAGAATCGAAGAGAATAGCTCTTCAGTTATCGGTTGAGTCCCGACCCAACAAGAGTCAGAAGGGATATTTGTAGGTATTGATATTGATGCTAACTCCCAGATGTCGCGAGTGTCCTCGGCGATACAGTCGAGAGTAGACCAACGAATTTGATAGAGAACCTCTTTTATGTCTGGCGGAAAGTCCGGTGCGCTCTCTTCTAGGCACTTAAGAAGCTGTTCTCGTGGATGAACTTCAGGTATTCGTAGTATTGGGGTATGAAGCTGAACTTGACAAGATCGGAGGTGCCGTGTCTTGTTGTGCACGGGTAATGTTTTCCCACAGTGAGGACACGTAAACGAGATCTTTGGAGACTCGACGCGTAATCTGTTCTCGCAAGACCGGAGGTGCCGTGTCTTGTTGTGCACGGGCAATGTTTTCCCACAGTGAGGACACGTAGAGGGGATCTTTGGAGACTCGACGCGTAATCTGTTCTCGCAAGACCGGAGGTGCCGTGTCTTGTTGTGCACGGGCAATGTTTTCCCACAGTGAGGACACGTAAACGAGATCTTTTGGGACTGAGGTTCTGTTGATATGTTTCCTTGTTCCATTGGTGGAATAGTAAGTAGTGAGTAGTAACTAGTGAGGATGAGGGTGAGGATGAGGATGAGGATGAGGGTGAGGATGAGGATGAGGATGAGGGTGAGGATGAGGATGAGGATGAGGATGAGGATGCTAGAGGGAAGGTTATCCGAGGCATCACCGTGGGGCGAGCGTAATGGTCTCGCGGTGTAGGTAATACCGTCCAGATAGGTCAGGCGACCCGAAAACGCGCTCTTTTCCGTCACCGTAACACGAAGCATCGGCAAGCATAACTAATCGACTTCGCAGAGAAGCTGGATAGGTATGTATCTGACCACCCTGGCGCTACCTTGAAAGCTTGCTATTCAGATGTCAAGCTCGCCCTTAAACTTGCAAAGACGACGATTGAAAATTTCCGCGTTTAAGGACCTCCAGAACGCCCTCAATAATCACTTCGGCAAAGTGAACTAGAATCTAGCTATCATCTAGAAAGACCTCACAGTAGTGACAAAAGCTACAGCCACAGTCACTACAAACACTAGCTCGTTTAGATTCAAGAGATAGGCTGACATCGCAGCCAGAAGTCTAGCGCAGCCCCCTCCCACGATCCGAACCATCAAAGATAGCTCGATAGCTGCCTCTAACGACCCTCAAGACTACGAGATCATCATCAGGACTAATCGGCCCGAGAAAGCTGAAGCAATACAAAAGCTCGGATCCACGGCAATAGTGACCGCAGTGAACTAGGTAACGACCTGGCTACAAAACAGGGACAAACCTTCAAAGGCATCAAGGTAGTGGCAGTATACAGCTTCCGCAGTGGTGACATTAAAATCATCGCCTGGAACGCCAAACACTTCGAACTACTATTGACCCAAGAAAAAGAGTGGCTGTCTGCCTTTGATCAAGGTACAAGGCTCAAGGAAGAAACCTTTCAGAACGTGGCACACAAAGTCAATATCGAAGCAGCGGGAAAGACATTCGTCGAAGGGTCGGCGGCGATATTTGACGAGATCCTCAAGAAGGACAACCTAGAAGGGTGAGTAAAAGCCCAGGAAGCACAGCTTGCAGGGGCCTGAGGGCTGCTCAGCACGGATCGTGAATGGGAATGGTCACATTGTCTTCTCATTCAACCGAGCCTGTGTTACCGCGATTGAAGAACGTATAAAGGTTATTCGGAGTGTTCGGAGCGTTCGATGTCTAGACATACCTGTGTCAATGTGAGAGCAGCGAGGAGAGGAATCTCTGCTATATGCACCAGCAAGTTGTAAGTGCGAAGGCCAGAAACCTTCCAGGGAACGACAGCCCTTTTCCTGTTTTTGGGAAGGCGGCCTAAATATGCTCGGCAACCCAGGGCAGGGCACAAGCTTTAACGGCCATAATCGCCATGAGGTAAGTGAAACAACATTCAGGCCATCTTTCCCAAACATTTCCTGCATCCACACATCCTTCACAAGAGCCCATGCTCTTCAGTCAAGATTCTGAAACCTTCTAAACATCTTTAATCTGAAGTCAAGAGGTGCACTCCGACCCGAAACTGCTGCTTTGAGTTCAATTTGTCCCTCTTTTACGACGCTAGTGTACGTCACGCCTTCTGGTCTTCTGAGCAGTCACACTGCCTCGACGTACCGTGGTTGCTCTAGATAAGGGAGAAAGGAATGAGCAGCTTTCATGGAGTTGATAGCGAGGTTGCGGTTGCAGTCGGAACCGCCAGAGCTAGGGTGACATGTGACATCACATGAAAGAGGATGGGCCAAAGGGCGTCTTGGCAACCACATGATGCTCGCTAAACCTACCACAACAATCCCCGACCAACAATCTTTTCTTTCCGCTGTTTCTATCTACGTATTGCGCTCAATCGCTTCTGCGATATGACAATTTGGAAACAAATTCCTACACATGTGACTTTTTCAAACGTTTTGCTGATCAGCATCTTCAACAGACAGAATGATGAACCCCCTACCACCCGATCCTTTAGCTTTCACAAGACCATTTCCCCTCGCTGATCTCGCGCCACAATATATGACGCGAGAACAAATTGAATCGGTGGTCGCGCACGCTCCGAAGCTCTTTCAGACTGGCGGAGATTTGCCCAACGATGGAGGTATTCCTGCAAAGACTGTTACTCGCGTTTCAAACGGTACTGTCGTCAAATAAGGTACCCGGATTTCCCTAGGTCAGGGTCGAACTAAGATGAAAGTTCAAGAATAAGTCTACATATCTATACCAGAGGTCTATAACTATTAGACTTCCGAGCAGTATACAGACCGTCAAGCTCACGAGTCTATATATATTATTATGCAATATATACCTGGGAAAATTAAGTAGAGGCGTCCCGTACTTCGAATGTCAAACAATAGGGGTTATTCCGGGAATCGGGCGTATCGCTCTGCCTGGCTTTCGAGCTGATGCCGTTGTGAAGCGCCGCAAGGTATATAAGCCTCGCCTTGCCGTTCTCATGGCAGGATACAACTCTCTGGACCACCACTATCGTCGTCCATATCGCCAGGGTTTCCCTACCAATCCAACCCTCTGCGTCATCGCGTCCACCGGTCTTTACTCCTCGAGTCCTTGCGTGTTGGCTTTCAGCATGCCTTCCTCGACCACCATCGGCATCATATGGATACCTCCCGAGCTTCAGCAGCATGAAAATGCTATAGTCCGAGAGATCTACTTCGTGTGCTATCCCCCACATGATGTCGACGACCCGCCCACCAAGTACACCAATCATTGGACCTTTTTCCTCAAGATCAGTCACTCCTTGCAAACCCCAATCCTGCTCCGATGACGAACAAACTTCGACTCGAAGTTACGCTAAAGCAATATTCTGTGACGGCCCGCGGCTTGTTTTACGTTACCCTGAACCCTGTGCCAGATCTGACAGTCAAGGGTGTCCTCAATCTGATCAGAACCGATGGCCTTGACAAATACATTTTCGATGCCGACGGCAACGGATGTCGTTATTGGACCATGCAATTCGTAACGCATCTCGATCAAGCCGGCAAAGTGGCGAATTCAATGGAGGCTGAGTGCTTGGCAGAACGGCTCGGGAAGACCTGGACTGCAGGCGTCGACGGACAGGCCGTGGAACTGGAGCTTCCGCGTGGCACTCCAGCCAGTCCCGGAAGGTTTTATTGAAGATTCAACCGCAGCCAAGAGCGTCATATAGGCGATAGTGCAAGAAGAATGAAGTCTGGCGGATACCGATGGCGGCCGTATAGGCAATAGGCTCTAACTCACGAATTGCGATAATGCTAGGGAGACACATGCGACTTCTCGTTCCGGTCGAGGGACTCTCCTGTATGGCGATTCATTTTGTGCGGAGACGCACAGTAGAACTTCATAACTCCAGCCATTTGTGGGCGACTATAGACAGAATTCCGCCAACTATATGGAAGTCACCATTTGCCAGCACGAGTGAACCGGGATTTTTCGAAGCAATATTTTCTGCGTGCTGTACCGCAGCAGGGATCGTAAGCTGAATTTGAGAAGTGTCATCAAATGCTCGCCAGTGGTTTGCAAGCTTCTTTTCTTCCATCTCTGATACGATCAATTTGTAACAAAATTTGCGAAGAGCCTTGAGGGAATCGATCCTTTCCATTCAATCCCAACCAGTCTACCAAAAGTGAGTAATCATCTCCATTGCACTGTAATAGGACTTACCCGATTCAAAGTTATGAGTGCGTATAGCTTGATAAAGTCATGGCACCAGCCCCAGAGAATAGCAACCGGGATGAATATCATGTGCGTCCAGTCCTTGCGATACAGAGGAATTTTCTTCGCTATTTTGGCAAATAACCACCAAAAGAAAAACAATACAGTCCATATTCTCTGTTGCTCGTAGGTAGCAGTGACTCGTAGCAGAAGCCGCCAGAGTATAATGTCGGGGGGGATGCCATAATTCACGAAGCCGGAGATGTACAAGGAGTAGGTACCCCAGGGATACTTTCTTATTATTAATTAGCACGGCCCGGACCTGTAGGATATCTCTCTTACCGCCAATTTTTGAAGTTTCGTAAACTTTTCGAGTTGCTCCTCGGATTGCTTCTCTGCCATCGCACAAATCGCCAGAGTTCTTGGGTACTCGTACCGAATATTGTTTCGACCTGGCACTCTCTGTGGCTTTGAATCTTGATGCTCCAGTCGTTCTCTAGTAGATAACGTGTCCAGAAGTTGTCATCATCAGCGTTCAGCGATCGACCGTTCCATGTCTCACCTGTAAATCCGCGGAGGAATCGAGGGTCTTCGACTATCTCCGATCGGAAGCTAGCTATTCGCCCTGATAGGCATGAGACCGAACCATCTATTGTTGAAGTTGCTAGAATTTCGAAGTTTCGACGTTGAATATAGTCACAAAGGATCCCATTAACTATGCGATCCCCGAGTGATCCAGTGACGATACTTCTAGCTCGCTGACAGGTCCCTACTCCACCAACGTTATCCTTCTCAAAAGCTGCAAGCATCCATCGCACGGTATTCTCGGGAAATAGTATATCGTCATCAGCGAACACGATAATTCGATGGACCTGCTTTCGATCTTCAGGGATCTGGGCAATGGCGGATGCAAGTTGTTTTCGCTTATTGGCATAGCTAGCCTGGCACACATCAATTCGAACTCTGTCGTGCTGCTTTCCAATTTCAATCGATAGGGCTTGAATTTCTTCAAACGTATCAGGAGGCGTACAGATCGAAATGTACTGGATTCCGGCTTTTATATGGCACTGAACTCCTTCGAAAAGTGCATCGGGACTTTTACCGAGCGTTGCAATCACAGTCGTCACATCAGCCGGTGTAAGGGCCGGGTTCTTCGGGATGGGAATGGGTCTATATCTGAGATAGGCTAAGCCTTGAACGACAAGCCGAATATATTTAAAAATCCTAGCAAAGTCAGCATAAACATAACGGATACGGGTAGGTACTTACAACAATGCAAAGAACAGGAGTGTATCGTAGGTAGCCATCAGGAGGCCGGGTTCGTGATGTTGACTGTTGTGACGGAACTCACAACTGGGATTCGAGGTAGCTCCTGTGGCGATGAGGTCCATTATATAAATCGACCGGGACAGGGAGGCTCGTTTACCGTCAATATCACCGGGCCGTATCAAGCTAACAACCACCCCTCTGGGGAGAGAAATATGTGCTCCCTAGCTAGGGCACTCTACGATACGCCCATCGAACCACCAATCCACTCATTTATCCACTGAGCGACAGGTCCACCCGTGACGTGGCAGATGATAAGGGCCAGGACGAGGTGTAGAAAGGGATCGCGTTCTTCGAAGCAGTAGTAAAGGAAACGTCGAGTTGAAGGGTAAGGAAAGGGCACTATAGTCATCAAGCTAGGGTAATGTTTGTCTAGAGACTACCATTCGTATAGTATCTGTGTCTCACTTCTCTCTATTCAGTCTGTCACCACTCCTTTTCCTCCCTTCTCTACATCACTGAACAAATAAAAGCATCTCCCTTGTTCCTTCGCTTGTTGTAAACACGCAGCTCGTTCAGCTTTTCTTCTGAGCTAAGGTAGTGTGATCGTGATGCCCGGGTAATTTGTTGTTTACACTCATCAAGCGTATTCTGGCACCTTCCATCAATGATCAGGCTAGGAGGTATGGTAGAGTGCCTCGCTCCCAAAGACGTGCTCTAGGATGTGAGGCTGAGGGTATCTTTCAGTGTAACCTCTCGGATGGGACTTAGCATGAAATGATGCATAGTTTCAACAGTAGCAAAATCGTTCAGTTCAGCCGCTCGTACAGGCGGATGCGAGGCGCAACCAAAATGTGACCACCTCACGTTCTCCGTCATGGTAGGCCACGGAAGTCCTGAAGCCATCGCTGGTATGCTATCATATTATCTGGCTTCTGTCCGCAAATGTTGACCCTAAGCTTATGGTTAGGACAAGCAGAAAGAATGAGAGGCTCTTGTACTTACATCGTGGTGTATGCGTGAATACTAGTATTCTTAACGTCCTTTCTGACCTCCGCCAAAAAGACTTGTAATCGTTCCGGGGACCATCCCAGAACATGGGTAAACAACCGGAAGGACAGCGCCTCTAAACCATCAAGAATGATTCCGTTGTTGAATACACCGACCTCTTTAAGCTTCTTGTCTTTCGCCCATCCGTTGCAAGGCAATTTCTTCTTTGTCACACGCACGTCAATAAATCCAATCCTCCGTAAGATGTCTTCGCACTTCTCTGCGAGGTAGGCATCGCGCCGGATTTTGCTTAATGCTTCGCAAAAACCATCAATCCATTGACGATATGCACACCCTTGTGGCATCGAATTATCGTCGGTTGTCATCGGAGTAGTATCCTGGATTTCGATCCAACCCCCAGGGGCAAGGCTCCGGTAAGCCTGTTGGAAGAATGCTTCTGGGTCTGGAATTGAGCCAAGCATATCGCGCGCGTAAACCAAGTCAAATTTGCGTGGAAAGCTCCAGGGATCTCGGTGATCGAAAAGCTCAAAGTTACAGTTGGGTGGTATAGTGTCGGGTTGGATAGGACTCAAGTCAACCCCCGTGACAATGGCCTGTGGGTAGTGATCCGCCATCTCCACAGCCCAAATACCTGTACCCGTGCCGACGTCCAGGACGTTTGTCGGCTCAATCGGAGCAGAATGCAGTGGGTTCCTGAGAAGCTTGTGGATGTGATGCAATCCGTCCAATCGTTCCCGTTCATGGTCATCGTTGGGGAAAGGATAGAAGGCACTTGGGTGGTACTTGTGGTATTCCCGGCCGTTCTCGATCGGGAAGTCATAAGCAGAGCTCGCCAGTGATTGTGTGTCTGTTTCGTCGCCTATACTCGCCGCGTCACCAATTGCTGAATCGTAGTCACTCTGTTCCATCGTAAAAAGTTGAAACCCGATGTGGACAGCTATTGATGTAGTCGCTTTGGAAAGCGCATTTGGCGGTTGGGCTGATTCGAGAGATGTACTGTCGCACACGAGAACGATACAAGGGAAGAGGAGCAGATCCAAGGGCATCCAGATTGGAAATTCCCGCAGCTTTATGCGAAAAGCACTTTGGCAGCCTTGAAACTGATAGATTGTGGTACATTTAAGGTGGTCTTTTTGGGGGTCGGGGTGAGGACAGGCGTCAACCCCTTCAATCATGCGAGATCATCAAATGTAAAAAGAAGCCTCTAACGGCGATCTCCTCCAATGGTTACTTTACACTTTATCTTTACGGCCTTTGCATAAAGGGGCCAGGGCTCTGAGAGGCATGCAATGAGAGGTCTTTGACAGTACTAAAAGATACTTGTAGGAACATTGACTCCCGAGATCACGCTTCTCTGCCAGTCGAAAGTACCTCACACCTTGGGTGAATCCACTTGCTCTCTGGGTCCTCGACTAATCAATGCCTTCCGTCCGTTTTGACTTGGCCCCATATTCCATTCTCCCAGCATTTCCAGTTTTTAAGCTGCACCAATTGTTCGCCATACAATACCAAGTCGCCCAAGTCGAACAAAAAGATTTCGTTTGCTCGTTCCTGAATTGTGCAAAAGCCCTTCTGGCCATTTGGACTCAGCATAGCCCATATCCCCATGGTGCCCTCAACGGGCTCTCCGCCTCTGGTCACACAGTTCTCTTTGGCCATAATAGTAACGGGTCCCTCGTAAACGGCAGGCTTAATTTGCCAAATCCACTGCTTTTCAAGGTCGCTTTCGCCGGGTAGCGCGTTGACCCACAAGGCGAGAGCCCTTTGCATCCACACCCGGAACCCAGGTCCAATCTCAGCGCACATTTTTAGGATCATGAACAGTCTGTCGAGCCTTCCGCCTTCCACCACGATTTTATGGTCTTCCTGTGTAAGACGCTCAAGCACGCGAGAGTTGCGAATGAGCCGTCGAAGTAAAGAACCCGTTGCATCCGATTCATTTATCTTGCCTGATGGAAGTCGTCGTTTTTCGATGGTGTAGTCGAGCCAGGCGGGGATGGCCATCGATTCGAGGTTTTGACATTTGAGTGGGCTATTCTCACGAGCCCGAGCCCACATCTCCTCCCACTCTCTGATCACCTGAGGTGTCCCTTCATCCCGTGCCTGCACGCTCTCCAAATTTTCGAGATTGGGAAGGATCTCTCGGGCTAAATGATCCAGGTGAAAAAAATCCACAAAGGTTCTCAACTTCGTGAGCTGAGTAGATTTGATCTGGGCGTCGATGATCTCAAACGGATTGTATGTCCTGCAGGGCCCTGATGGAGGTGGTAACTGTTTGTGCGGGTCGTGTGGTACCAGGAGATCTATAACCACCACTTTAATCAGGAGGTAAAATATCAATTTGTATGGTTCAAAAGGCTCCATGGTCTTGTACTCGATCCGGTCTAGGAGCACGCTCAGGTCTGGGAGAGGAACATGCAACTGGTCCGATTTCGTGGTATTGTATAGTGCCAGAACGAGATACACGGTTGTTTCTTCCACGTGGGCGGGAACCATGCTTAGTCGCAAGAGTTCGCGTTCGGTTTCAGGCGATCGAAACAAGAGCAGCGCCTTCACCAACGGTTCGATTGACATGTAAAAGGTGCTTTTGATCTCAAAGGCCTGAGCAGGAATTTCTTTCTCCTGCAGGGTGTATGGACGGGGCGTGTCAGCAATGGTAGTAGTGGCAGACATGGATTGATCCTCTGAAGAAGTATCTGGTTAGACAGCTTCAATACTGGGTAAAGTAAACGGAGCTCTAAGTACCGCATTTCCCTAGCCTTGTAGTGCATTGATATCGATATTGATCTAGGTTCAAACTTGCCGTTGAGCCCAGGATCTGATTTCTGTCATGTGTATGGGAAGGAGCGGATAGTGACATATTGATGGACGGAACACTAGAGTGGACAAGGGACGTTCAACTGTTCATGGCGAGAACGTGTGTTGTTATAGCTGATGGACCTCCTCTCCACCGCCTTTCTAGGCGCCATGCCTGAGAGATCTTTACAGGCTCAGTAATAAGCTCGACAGGGCGCACATAATGCAGAATCCATCGATGCCTATCAACATTGATGAGGTGATAAGACAGCCGACCTTGAGGGACGGTGAGGCATCCATCGATAGGGGCTGATCAATCAGGTCTCGAGGAAAGAACTATTGACGATTGGCTCAGGTCACTGTTGGAACAGGGACCAGGATATCAGCTCCAACATGTAGCGTCAATTGTGCCGCAGAGACTATGTAGCTTACCTGAAAGAGGCGACTATTTATTCCGACTATGTATTTCTCAGCAAGGATTGGGCTGGGTCTCCAGCGGAGCCATGACTCTCCGCATCCAAGTGAATACGATCAGGGACCAGACTCTCAACCATTTACCAACTATCGTGGAGACTGGGGCTCTGAAGACTGGACCGAAGTCCGCGAATGAGCGCGAACCAGTTGCAACACAGCTCCGAGCGGGCGCCACTCTCTACAAATAGTTTTGACGAGGCGCACCAAGTACTGATGAGGTCAAGTCTTATCCAATTTACTGACGCACACGCCAGGGCCACGGACGCTCTTTACTCCACCGTGGCCTAGAAGCTCGGGGATGTCCTCCAGAAAGACTATTAGCAACTAGCGGTATGCCGGAAGATGTGTTGAGCGGTGTGTCGAAAGCGTCTCAAAGAACTGTATATGCTTTTCTTCCCATTGGAGGGAGGAGGTGTTCCACGAAGGTCGAAAGACTTAGGAGACGAAACCCAAATTCACGGTACTAATCAGCAGTTACAATACATCAAGTCCAGATCAAATAACAGAAGTCCCAGCTGTCCGCGACACAAGACGATTTCCAATGATGAGACAGACGATCACACGGTTTTGTCCTTTTATCCTTTTCGATGCATTCGTGAAGAAGCACCATCTTCCGTACCAAGATGTCTGGCGATAGTCACTGGCCCATCACCAATGGGCCTCTGATATTGAACGTTTGCCCAATTGAGAAGCCAATCGTCGGTTAATCCTTCGCATGGCAGTTCCCCAAGATGTAGAGAAACTCCCGATTTGGACTCCAGACGATCGAGAGACACAGTTTCTATCCTTGAGAGCTGACCCCCACGCCAATATGAAACTTCGAATGCCATTTTCAACGGGGCGACACGTACATCCGTCAGTTTGCAAGGGCTCAGCCGTCCGTCGGGTCCCCTTTCATAGATAGTTTCTCCCATGCACAGAGCGAGGGCCGTGACGTAGATTTCAAGAAGTTGACGAGGATTGTCCGAATTTTTCTTGCTTTGAATGAAATCAAATGCTCGAGGTCGCAGGTGATCCAGAATTTGCCATTGCCGCCAGTTCTGCACCATGGCAACTGCATCACCGATGTAGCACGATAGAGGCGAACCGGAACGAAGGTACCGAGCTTGTGTCTGGTCGAAATAAACCATTGGTCCGTAGCCGCGTTCGTCTTCATATATCACCGGCTTGAATGGGTCATATCGCTCGTCGCTGCGCCGAAGGCGTTTGGTTGATCGAATGTCAGCCATGTGACCTGAACTGTATCAAGGTGGCTTCTCCAGTTGTGAAAGCAAATGGAATGGTGAGAAGAAAAGAGGTTCTGCGCAGGGAGATGCGGTGTATTTATGCTGGACTGTCCCGGCGCTAGAAACTGGCCTTGTTGTAAAGTCCGTCAGCTCACGGATCGACCCTTTACGCGTTTATTACATCAAAACATGTCCCTCACCCTCATCAAACACTGATCATCTTCAAACATCCACCTTGGGGACTGATCGACTCAGTGGATTGGTATGTGTACACGATGACCTCCGTGATGCTTGTTCCGGAACCAAACAGTCGACGTAAGTTTTCAAAGCCTTGCGTAAATTTCTCGAACGAATCACGAGATGGATCGACCTGTGTTCTGTTTTCTCTCACGTTCAAATCCAGCCAGTGGAGATGAGCAGGCATCGCTCTCGCGACGATCAGGGGAGGCGGTTCTGGGGTCAACTTGGGAAATGACGTTGGGTTTGAGGCCGGAGATGAAGCTTCATCGATGATGACAGTTGATGATGTTGGGGGACCCGAGGAATGAGGTGGCACCGACCGAAAGTAATGATCGGGGGAACCCTGAAGAACCATGATGGCCGGGGGAAAACGCTTCTTGGGTCCTAGGGACCCCCGATTGTCCTGATGATCCATCTCGAGATGGAATACACTGGAGTTCTTGGGAAGGAATATTTGCTGCTCCCTCAAAGATAGTTATCACCTACCAAAAGCTTGCACTTAAATGTTCAGAATACTTGACAGGATATATCTAGGGCGGTCAACCGGCGATAGTACAACCCAGCCGCTCCTGCAGGCGCCGAAATGCGAGTGACCAAAAGCGTCGGATCGACAGACAAGAGCCGCATGATAGCGAAATAAACGTGAAACATTGCAGTCAAGCCAGTCGTTTCTCCCTGTCAAAGATTGGCCCAGCCTGACCGCAGAGCGCTTCCCATCCACCTTCCCCTCCTTCTGTCTCCGTGCAAGTGAAGCCTTCCCTCCTGGATCCAGCGCTGCAGTTTCCGTCGCACCTGCGTATCGAAGCCTCCGTGGTACACATGTGCAATGTAGCTGCTATCCTTCTTCACTTCTATTACACTCTCCTCCAAGATGCCCGATGCCGGCAACGGCGGACATCCGGAGCCAAGCCATCCCTGTTCGCACAGTATCTCTTCGTACTCGATGTCGATGTCGATGGTGACGGTAATGTCTCGGTCACGCGCGTTTTCAGTCGGGGTTTCGCCGTGGTGGCCTTTGGTAACCTCAGTTTCAGCGGTAATTCCAGAAGCACCGCTGGGAATAGATTTGTAGTGTGCAACTGGTTCGTCTTGATTCGTGGTCAGATGCATCGATGTGGGCCTAGTATTTTCTCCAGCAACGTAGACGTCCAAGGCAGTAACAGGGCAAATGAAAGATGGGACAGCGAAACCGGTGAGAGAATCATAGTAACGAGGCGTTTGAAGAGCATGGGTTCCTGCACTGGTTAATATGCGAATATCTTTATGAGTTCAAGTTGCAGAACAGGCTTGCGTACTTCACGCCCAAAGAGCGCCACCATGTTGATTTGGGATCCACCACAATATTGGGACATTGCCAGATGTCCCGACATTGTGCTGGGTCCCAACCAATGCCAAGTTTTTCTAACACCCTAAGATTCAGCCAGGGGTTCGCCGAAATCCCCCACCTCGTTCTTTTCCTTTGTTTCTATCATATCCGCGGTGGTAAATGATGGACCTGATCGATGCATGTAACCGGATAAAGGATGCTTATGTTGACGAATTGGCCACAAACAGCGCTTTGATCTTTGACACCTGGAGGTACTTGACCCGCGTTTTGCAGACCGGTCTCTTCATTATCACTGAAGATGGACCTGCACAAGAAAAGGCAGGACACAGTGTGGCCTCACAGCCGCAAGTGGTCTCCTGGCCCAACGGCAGTGGTTGCAATATCAGCCCGCCATCCTCTCATGTTGCTCCTGCCTGCGCAAGCCATACGCTACCGCAACCAACACTGCCTCGCCCTGAATGTTCCATTGTCCCTGTTCCGGGACAGAAGCCCATCTCGAAGCTTTCCCGTCGAGACAGGGCACTCAGAAACGTCCAACATAACGCCCAAAAACGCGAGAAAATCCTTACTAAGACCAACATCAGCAGAATTCTCTCTCGGCGGATCACGGAAAATCCAGCAGCTCGTGCCAGTGGCGATTTAGCAGGAAGAAAACGACATGACCTTGACCGAATTGCGTTCTTTCTGGAGGGGTTCTTCGGAGCAATATATCTCACCGAGAGATATGAATCCTTCAGAGAAAAATCGCGTGAGGAGAATAATGAATGGAGAAAGGGAGGAAAGCCTAAGCATGTGTACGATGAATTTGCCGAATGTGAAGGTATAATCGATTCGAACCTTCCGCGCATTCTCAGACTTGGAGAGGTCTTGCTGGCGGTATGGTCTTCCCGTGACCATGCTCTTCTCCTCTTATTTGACCAGCTTTCTACATTGCGTGAATTGAGCGTTAAAGACGCGGAGAGCCTTGTTCTATCGTTGCACGATGAGCCTTCAGTGGTGGAAATTACCAGAACGCTGAACACTTCGGTCGAAAAAGCATATTGTCAATACCGAGAGCTTAACGAAAACCTCTGCACCGCCGAAAGTAGGGCAGTCATGGTGGACGCGATCAATACAATTATGGCAGACAAATATGCAAACCGCATTGATGAGAGCGAAAATGAAGAGTTTTCTACTGCAACCGCTGCTCTTCCCGACCCTCTGGGTTCACTACCATCACATCAGACCTCAGTACAACTTGGGGACCCTAGTCATGTCGGTGTCGTCGATGAACATGCCGGTGCAGGGATGGAGTCGTTAGTTGCGGCTGCTCTTCACTCCCAGCATCTGCAACATGACTTTACTAACACACCGAAAATCATTGCAGAGAACTCGCCTGAGATGGGTTTATTCGATCAACTTCTACATCAATCAGAAAGTAATCGGCAGCAACTGTATGTGCTAGATGATATTTCGAATGGTAGGGAGCCGCCACGTAAGCGTCTTTGCCTAGGTCACCCGATCAATGGAAACACCGCCGTGCCTACGCAGAACTCCGAGTCTCAGACAGCCATAATCGACAGTTTGACGTCGATCGCCGTCCAGGGACGCCTTCATTCGAGTCAGACGATAACTCCTCCTGCGAACACTATGAGCTTCCCAAGGACCTCGATGTCTTTGCAGCAGAATGATGCGCTAGAAGACACGAGCCAAGATGTCAATGCCTATAACTGGGACGACTGGATAAGGGATCCTGACCTTTTGATCGAGCTCGAACTCTCCCTTCCTGCCAGCCACACGGACCATTGGGCATGATGTCCATCTCAGCTCGTCAATAATGGTTCTCCTTCATTTCCTACGAATTGCTCCTTGGACGATATCATAACCAGTTAAACAGCACAAACATTGCTCCAGCCAAGCCTTCCTTCGGATCGAGGTACTCAGACGCATCGAGTTCAAGGATGTCACCTACTTCCAATTCCACACGCTGCTCGTCGCCATCAAGCAACGTCGAGACCACGATCTCTGCGTCTTTTCTCAACAACTCGACGAAAGCCTGCCATTGTGGCGATGGTTCTGGTGATGCTTCGGTGGTGGTGGGAGCGATGTCATCGGTGGTTTGGCCAACCATTTTCTGATCCTCGTTTGTGGTAACAAGTTCCTCCCCATCATCTTGATTGATCTTCTGTCGCGACTTGAGAACATCTTCATCTCGAGTAACAATTCCATGACTTCTCTTGATTATTGAAGACGTTATATTTTGTCGTATGGAGGGCTTGTTAACCCCAATTGCTACAACAAATTGGTTCTCTCGTACCAGAGGAGACCGTTTCGAATGCCACATAAGATCCGGACCATGGCGGAGAGTGATGCGCTTTTCTGGGTGTTCTAGCTGTCGGCGTTTCATGATTGTGGCAAGCTTATGTAGTTAATACGCATGGTACAACCCAGAGACAAATCTTCTCTAACATACTTTTGTGTTCTCGAATAGAGAGTACAAGCGCGTTATGGATGGTATAGTTGCGACTTGCTCAAGCGGCAAATGCCATAACCCGGGCTGTCCTGGGATCATATCCTCGGCAAAGAGTTGGACAGCCTTGGCCGCCTCGAGGAATTCCGAATCATCAGCGGCGCGCGTGTGATACATATTGCGAGCGAAAGCAAAGATAGAAGCCGTGGATTCGGCTCAGTCAAAAGGGTTGAGAAATTCCGGTGTTTAAATATTTGAGACACGCCGTTTTGTCGAAGGCGTAGTGTTCTTGGTTAATGTGTAAAATGGATGCCTTGTTTATTGATGCCCAGCCATTTCGTTGGCTAGAATAGTCGGCGTAGTATAATAGTGTAGCAACAAAGCAGGAAAACGAAAGCTCAAGCCTTGTGGGTGGGTGTGGTTACAATACCACGTGACCCTATATCCACCTCCACGTCACGTTGACACGGAGAACAGCACGGTGGGGGAAGCGAACACCACGACATCCTGTCGAACAATATCAGTCTCCAGCCCGACAAGAGGAAGCCCTTTCACAGACAAATGATACCAAATACTGGGTATTGAGGGCTATAAAGTTGGTCCCATGGACCCGGTTATGGTCCACTGATGATTCATTCCAGACCTGGGCCCATTGCTACTGTTCAGCAATCACGATCGAGGCGGTACGCAGAATGGGGCCTTAATTATAATCCTACTTCCACATTCGAACTCGTCAAACAGCTAGAGAGGACGAGAAGTATTCATCCTGAGACAGTAAAAGCATTGTTCGGCAGACTACTCTCTCGAAAGGGAACGTCTCCTCGACAAGCAAAGACCACCCACACTTGATCGATTGACATATCACTAGAACCAGCCCATCCACAGACACATCGATAAGGAAACAAGCCTCTCCAAGACGGCGAATTTTGGTAACTATCCCCACCGTGATACTGTCAGAACTGAGAACATGTCAGGAAAATACGAAGGACATACAGAACTTCCAACCCTGCAGATGATGAGCTTCACAGGGCGGGGCATATCACACCTTTATTCTTTGCCCTTAGAGTCTCCATCCTTCTCCTGCCCATCCAGCCCTGGGTCCCGAATGATATCGTCCCAAGTAGGTTGCTTAACTCCGTTTTGAGTCGGAGGTTTCTTTGGCTTTTCGTCGTCGCCCGGTTGGGGAGAGCTCGCCTCTGGTTTAGGGGATTCCTTGGGAGGGTCACTGGGATTTTGTGACATGATAAGCGTGGTGTTAAAAGAGGTGGAGAGGGGTAAGAGTTCCTTTGGAAACGAGATGTCCGAGACGCAGCGAGAACAGGTGTGCTGAATTGAGCACATGCAAAAATGATGGCACTGGAGAGGCTTTCTGAAAGAGCCCGGTGGCTTCCAGAGAAGTTGGCAAGAGCAGTTCTTATACCCGATGGTCCACTATATCCTCGTGAAGGCAAGCACCTTGCGTATCACCGACCGTTCTCTAACTCAACGGAGTCAGACAGCTCAATGAACAAACCTTTGCCGAGAGACCCTACATTTCAATAGGTACATCGAATGTACTCATCTCGATTGGGGCTTGTATAGCGTTACGAAAAGCTGTACTACTGCTGACATCGGTGAGTGGCTTCGAAGGAGACTGGAAGGAGTAATACTATACACGTTTGATATGTGCACCAGTCTCGTCTAGCCGTTCTCCTCGACGGAGTCAAACAGCTCCATGAGCAATCCGGCAAGTCTCCTAATCTAACGCAGGTCTTGTGGGAGGTCACGACGGCATTGCCGTGCATTGCCGTGCATTGCAGCGAGAATGCATTAAATCGAGTATATGGTTTGATGTTTGTTGCAGTGCCCGTGATTATCAGCAGGACGCAAAAGTGTCAACCTTGCAAAAGTGTCAACCTTGCAAAAGTGTCAACCTTGAAAAAGTGTCACCCTGATAGTGTCAACCTTGAAAAAGTGGCATTGGCCGTCGAACAGTGGCGGGAACCTCGCCGACTCGGATAAAGTCACGTGGAGTTATTGATGCCCAAACCTTCTTGCTCAGAATTAACCCCGCCATCCTGCAAAGCCCCGTCCGCAGCCTGCATGATTTTACTCTGATACAGACAACAAAATATACCTTCTGATTTCATTAAACCTGATCTCCTAGTGTTTGCACTGTTCCGTTACGATTGCATTATCTCTCTCCATCTTCTGCCGGCCCCCATTCCCACCTACACCCACCATCTCCGGCTACGGCATTATTGCGAGTCATTTACGATCAGGTTCGCTCACGGAGTGATCGACATCTGAATTATTTTGATGGCAAGTCTCCTTATCCATGGGCGATGACTTCCTAACCATTCTTTAGGCCTCCACGAAAGCGCCCCTCGAGTTTCAAGATGAAGCCCTTGATGACGACGACGACGAAATCGACTTTGACAAGGATGGAGAAAGTACGCCCTGTGATGTCAAGGGTAGAGGCGAAAGAGTCTATTGGCAACGATGCGATAAAGTTACCCTTGCTCAATTACAGGGCGGGCAATTGAAACAGATTCGAAACATCAACAGGAGCACTGGGAAAGGAGTTCTTCGCTCTGGTCTGACATTGGTGTTTTGGGGAGATGGTGGACGAGTAGTGGGGTCGTCAAGTTGATCTTGATGGTCAAAATAAGGATCTCCTAATCTGGAGTCCATATGTCTGTGGAAGAGACACGTTGAGAAACGCATTCTTGCGGGCGTCGCTGCTTATCTGCATGGTGACGAGGTGGGTAACTGGAATCGCTTTTTCTTTTTCGTCTTTCCGGATAATGTCAATTTCCTGGCTCATTGATAGACCTAATAGCCTTTCTATTCCCTTAGGCCGAGCACCAGATAGCGTCAGATCTTTCCCTGGGGTAACTCTCACTCCAGTGTCCAGGATCATATAGCGAACTTCACCCGCTGTCTCAAGATGTATCCCGAATAGCTCCATCGCGATATACTCAACCTTGTTCGACTCAATAGTTAGTCCCATGAGACAAACAAGGTCGAGAGAATAGGGGAAGACCATTGAAATCCGGGCTCTTGTGCCAATTTTGCTAATCGCACCGCACAAGTAAATAGGGAAAATCTGAAGTAATTGTTCGGCAGCAGGATTTTCGATGGTCTGCGTCTGCAGCTCAGACACTTCCAGACTCGTCGAAGCCGTCAAGGGCAGACTTATTTCGGCACTCGTTGCAAGGTTGCCGTCGGATGATCCAGTGGTTGCTGTTTGAAGCGCATGATAAAAAGGTTCGGGTTGTGCGAAGGACATGATAGGCGACGATGACCTCAAATGGCTTTCAACTGAGGGCACAATCGCCGGCTGCACCGCTCTAGATGGAGCGCCTAATAGTTCGGTGTACCTCTTCCGCAACTTTTCCACTGCTACACTCACTGTAGCATGGGGTTTGGCCGCGAAGACCTGGTTCGCGACCTCCCGCTGATCCTCAGCAGAGAGCCGTCGGGTACGATCGACAGCAGTGTTAGAGCTACGTCCCGAGCGTTTTGATTGTGCAAGAAAGAATGACAGCCAGGCTCTAAAGTCAACACTCAAAAAGATCTGTTCGGTAGCATCCAGGTGTGCTCGTTGTATAGCGTCGTCAAAACCATAAGGCGTCTTCGCTCTCGTCCATGGTGATGTGAGGAGGCGCGTAAATTGAGGGATAATGCTGGTGATAGGTGGTTGGGCCATGCGCTAATCAATCAAACAATTCTCTGGAATGCGAGAGTGGATCTGGGCCTCTTCTGCACCAAGAGTAGGGCAGCTTTGCCAACTCATCAAGAATAATGGGAAGCTGACGGGGAATTCAAGAGTGCCATCTTTGTACGTCTAGAAAGTGGAGAAAACCTGCAGATTCAAAATGATGCAAGAGTGTCACCTTTGTAATGCTGCAAAAGGCGGGAGAATGTGCATCTTGGCCGCCTGGGATGGTTCCACATGTGCCCTATTCGGAGACTTTTGCCCTCTGGAGTTGGTCAATTAGCAGTGATCCTCGGTTCGGATGGAGAATCGGTGCCCAACCATACCCCTCAGTGATTACATGTGACTCGGGAAGGTTGCCTTTCTGGTGGCTCTTGTGAGCCCCGTCAGTAACGCGGCTCGGCGGGAATCGCGAATGCTTGTTAACACCATTATATGCCTGGCCTTTACAGCCCAACCTTTGACAAAGTTTACCATCTTCAAGGACTCGTTATACGATCACATTATTGAATAGCGTCCTACCTGAAAATGTAAGAGTGCAAGTTCTTATCAGTGCTTGACTACTTGCTAATCGAGAAGCAGTCTTTCAACTAATTACATTCAGGCTACCATTACAAGAATGGCCGATCGACGCTCAGACTCCTATGATGGCGTTGCTGAAGAGGCAAACATCGCTCTCAGAGTCAAGCCCAAAGACATGAGACAACTTTCTTCGTCTTCGGATGCCGTCAAAGCAAAGAGAATTCAGAAGCCGCTGGAGTCCCTCCAGAAGGCGGCTCGAAAGGCCGAAGGAGAGGCAAGGGAAGAGGGAACTGGTCAGAAGAAGCTGGACGCCCTCGACAAGCCAGCTCGAAAGGCCGAAGGAGCGGCAAGGGAAGTGGGAACTAGTCAGAAGTAAGATCATTCGCAAGGGCCGACAGGAAACTGAAATTATCCTTAACGGGGATTTTCTACTTTGTCCTCAAACGCCTGACGGAGCTTCCTGTCGTAGGCCTCCTTATCTGCTAGTTTCCTCTCAATGAACGTCCTCGTATCAATGGTCCAATATTCCATCATAATTGTGTAAAACCCATCGTTGTCTTCATGCCCGTTAGCGAGTATCGGCTGGATGTGATCGTAGAATACTCGAGCAAGCCCCATTGGACTTCGAAGAGCCAAAGTGTACCAGAACGTCCCCATCTTCCATGCTTGTTTCATGACAACGGAAAGTCTGTGTGGAGGTTGAATGGAAAGCTCCTGCTCGGTTTTCTCGAAAACATCTAGAAACTCGCGACGGAGGGGGTCGTATTTCTTCTCGTCCATCTGGTCGATTGCCTGATTCGCTAGCCAGCGGGGAGGGTGAATCATCTCGACGGGACAGGAGAAAGCCCATTCAAGATCAATAAGACAGGTGATATTCCAGTTTTCATCAACAAAAATGTTACTCGGATGTAAATCGGTCAGGCTGAAAACAAAAGGTCCATGGCGGAGGTCGCGTCGTAGGAAGAGTGATAAGGTAGCTTTCATGGCGGCCAGAGCCGACATCTGGTAGATACAGTCACCAGTGTCGCTAACGCCGTTTGGTTGATGGCGTAACCGACTATCGTGTACACAATTGAGTATGTCTATCACATATGAGTCTGCGGAAGTGTAGGTTAGATGACGAGGGATATCCACGGGGATCTGCTCATTCTCGAGCTGATGCATTACCGGCGACAGTGGCCTGTTGCCTAAATGTAAGAATCCGTTATTGTCCACGGTGAAGGAACCAATGCGCGGAAGTGGCACTTGAGCGATGTTCAACAGGATCCGGGATAGGTTTCGAAAGAGGTTCCTGCGCAGTCCCTCCTCTTGATACCTCTCGTTCCATGTGTATGACAGCATTTCACCCTCGTTTTTTTCTATGTAATCGATCAAAAGATAGCCGGAACCCAAGGAGTCAAAGCTTGCACCTCGATGACGAATGTATCTCGAAGGGACGGGGAGCTTCAGCCAGTTTCGTAGTCGGTGATAGAAATCGTGTGCCAGCCGGCGAAGGAGAGGTAGTTTCTCGATGGCAGTAAACTAAGGTTAGGTTAGTAAGTTTATAAAACCCGATTAGTCCTCTTACCCTCTGACCCGTCGAGAGTCCGAATCCATATAGGCGAGGGATTGGGACGGATGGACAGTTTTGCTGAAGCCAGATGTAGGTGCCAGCCTCGCAACGAAGCTTTTCGTCCGCATTTTCTGGGCCACCTACCTTATGCGGTAGTGGAAATCGAATGATAACCCGTTTTGTTGCCTGCCCTTTCCTACTAGAGATAAAGACCGGAATACATAGATTGAAGCTGCCATAAATCCACTCTTCTGGTTCTGATACTTTGCATAGCTTGACATTCAATCCAAGATGGTGCGCAGTAACTGCACGAAGAATAGTTTGATTTCGATATAGGTGATTGAAGAATTTGCACCGTCGATCCCACGCCGTGAGTTTGTGTAATACATTCGATTCGTCGTCCTTCACGTCCGAATAAGAGATTTGCTTATCAGACAGTTGAAGCTTTACGGGCATGATACCACGGGTTAATATCGTATCGACAGGTAGAAGAAGGGGAAAGTACAACGTAATCAGTATAGATGATAATAGTGGAATAACCCTGCGCGAAAAGGTTCGGACTGTGCGTTTAATTCACCGATTGTCTTGTGGTGGAAGGCGGTTTGGGTCCTTTTTCTGCTCGTGATCAAGGGGGTTTGAAAAGGTTGTTGGGATAGCTTCGGCTTTCAATGGCTGGGCGAGACCAACTAATAGTTGGGCTTGGCGTTACAACATGATATGTCGGATAAAAGATTTTCCTCATGGTCTCTAGTAGTAAAGTTTGTCGAAGGAAGGAACGTAACGAACCTTGACTTTGGCCAGCCACAGCTGCCAGATCGACCCCTTTGATGGAGTGGCCGGAATATTTCGTGATAGGCTGTTTGCCACCAATCGCGAACACCGCGATGTTTGATGATATAACAGCACACAAGCGCCAACATGCCTTGAGTAATCGAGCACTTGACTCGTTGTCCTTGTGGGGATGCGGAACTGCAAGGGGAGTGGGATGATGGCGAAGCTGGACCCAGACTTAACCCAATTTAGAGAAAGGAACTTTTGTAACCATGACGTCAACTAGAATTGGTGGGACACGTTAGGGGTACTGTAAGCTTGGCCGAGGCGATAAATTGGCAACTATAGGCGGGTGCCGGGAAGCCGGCCCTGGCCCAGATATGGGCGCCACTGCTCAGGCCGCACTCTACAGTGCTCAGTCACGTGCGAAAGTAACTCAGGTTGAAGCGGCGAGCCTCAGGGCCACGCTCAGGTCCAAAGATGGAAATGGAATGTCCTCGTGTCGAGATTCCGACCTCGAAATGTTTGTTTCTCTAACAAGAGGCCATGCACTTATCAACAACTCTTTCCTGCGCTTCATGTATCAGATGTCTCGTGCCCAACAAAAGGGCACATGTCCCTGTGTGTCATCACCAGTCTTTGTCCGTGAAGCAAGTTCTCTTGAATAGAAGTCAATCCCCATCACCTCGCCAGCACCCTCTATTCCACGACAAAAGATCCTATCACTCGACTATTCGCTGGCGATTTACAAAGGGCGAGGGGCCATTGTCAGTCGTTGTCAGTCGTACAAAAGGCCACAAGAACCACAGGCAAAGAACGAACAAAGCTAGCTTGTGTCACTGTCTGCTTTTAGTCCACTCGGTGACAAACACCCATTGAAGTGATTTGACAAGGCACTGCCATTCTTTTGTTTGACTGATTCAAGGTATTTGCTCGAGTGTCCTACCAAACCATTTGGATCTCTGGACTATTCTGCCAATTTCTGACACTGACAGCTTCTCATCCATCCCTCTCGCTCGACACTTCCAACGTCATCATCCAAGGCAAACGATCGTAAGTTTACACACAAATCACATCCAAAAGAGAAACAACAGAAGGTTGAAACCAAGCAATCACCATCCAGATAGACACCAGGTCCTAGACATTCCGAAACCATGGGTATCTTCACCATCTTCGCCACCTTGCGCAAATCCAACATCTTCAACCTGGTCTTCCGGTCCCTGCAACTCATCGACGCCCTCGTCGTGATTGGCATGTACGCGGTGGACCTGAACAACGCGGCCAAGGCAGACAAGTACGCCGACGCAAAATGGGTACGTACGACAGACCCCGAAACTCACGCACTCACGTCCTTCCCGCCCGAACTGGTCCGGGTACTAATCGCGCTCAAGGTCTTTGCCGTCACCGTCGGGTCGCTCGCGGCCGTGACGGCGCTCATCTTCTCGCTCGCCAGCATCTTCTTCCACTACCGCACCGTCGCCCTGCTGTTCGCGTGGGACTGGGTTCTGACCATCCTCTTCGCGGCCCTGTCCGGCATCTTCAGCTCCATGTACATCGGCGAGAAGGTCGAGTATGAGAGCGGCATTCAGCGCATGAAGACCGCCGTCGGGTTCGACCTGGCCGGGCTGGTCTTGTGGTTCGTCACGGCCGCGTTTGGCACGTGGTGGTTCGTCTCGGAGAGAAGGGGGGAGAGACGGGGACGTAGTGCCAAAGCGTGACGAGGCTAGAGAAGGACAGGTAAAGTAGCCATAAGATCAGAGATTCTCAAGTGAAGCTCGCCGTCATACCTTTTCCAAACCCAATAGAACATGGAAATGAAATGAATAGAACAGATGAATTTGGTTCGCCTTGACCCGGTAAAATACTTCACTTCACTCAAGGCGTACGTACAAGCAGATCACTTCTCGCACTAGAGTATCGTCCCTCACACTCTATCCGTTCATATCCACGGTGGTGATACGAACCAGTGTATTCATTCCAGTGCATAGTGTCCTCAGTACGAGATATGTGGTAGATGGTGTCTGGTACATAATATGGAAGTTGGTAGAAATACCACCTACCCACTATGACTCGTCGACCTCGTCGCCATGCTCCTCAACTCAATCGTCGTCCCTCTTACCCATTAGTGGAGGAGATGAGGGCACGCGTGAACACCAGTGATGGATGGGGTGCTACCGGATCGAACGGAGAAAAAAAAAAAAAGAAATCAGATCTCAAGAAAAATAGACACAGTGGGTAGAAATAGCCGATTAGGTTTTTCATTGAGGGCAGCGGGATACCCCTACTTTGGTCTTAGGTACCGACGGTGCTACTGTAGGTCAGTACAAGTAGGTCAGTAGGTCAATGCGAGCTACTACGTAGGTCTCTTAACGAGTTGTGAGGTACAAATGGCTCTCGGTCGGTCGGGTGGATTACCCATCCATGTCGGGGATTTTGTATGCCAATCACTCCCATACATGGCATGTACTCGCACCACGTACGGTAGGCGTGGGGTAGGGCAGCTTGCTTGCTTGCGTGTGTACTAGGTAGGTAGGTAGGTACTGAAGTTGTTGGGTCGTTGGGGGTACGTATTTGTCTCGCTAGGATTGTAAGTACGATGTTGATCTCCTACTCCACACGAGACGAGGACAAAAAAGAGTGACGAATCCCCCGTCTCGTCACGCACATGCTTTCGCCGCATATTATTACTACTCCTGCGAGTTGGAGCTCCCTGTCCCTAACTATCCCTGTCGTCTGTCGTGGAGCTAAGAGCTCGGAAGCTTCCAAGGGGAGCTTGGGGAGGGGCACCAAGGGGGGGATTATTGGACCCTCAAGGACATATGACGTTGACGTTGCAACTCTCCGCTTCAACGCACCTTGGGTGACCCTGCATCTTTCATCTGCCATCTCAATCAAAAATTTCCTGGAAGGGGGAAATTTACTCCCCCATACACAAAACATCTGTACACAACACATACCAAGCTGGTTCAAACTGCTTCTTGTCCTTTCGTTGCCAAATTTACAATCACTATACTCTCGCATTCTCCTGCCATTTCCTTTGACCACCTGGCTATAAAGTAATACCTCTAAAAGTGAAAAGTGACAGATTTCTGGCATAGTGTGGTTGTCCCTTCGATATTCTGTCCGACATCAAGGCAAACGTGTACAAAAGAATAAAGCAAGAGGGGGAATCTCAAAATGAACACGCCTACCACCCTTCGTCTCCTCCGGCAAATACCCCGTCTCAATCGTTTGCGGTCGACTCCATCCTTCGTCCGACCTCTGTCTTCCACATCCTCCCGCTCTTTCAGAGTCACTCCCACCCAACTGGAAAAAGATGAACTAGATCCCTACCATAAAGTCTCGACCGATGCTACCGGCACTTCGGCCGGCCCTCATGAAGGTTCCGCCGCCCGAACAGACCGAGATATCGTGGTGGAATACCCTCCAGAAGAAGAATTTCCCCCGGACAGGCCATTGCGGGGGAGAGGTGGGATACAATATGTTAGAACTTTGCCGACTTTCAGTCTCGAGGGGAGGACAGCGGTCGTGACTGGGGGTGCACGAGGGCTCGGACTGGTCATGGGTCAAGGCTTGGTTCAATCGGGAGCAAACCTGGCTATTGTTGACCTGAATAGTAAGTCTTGGATACACACCTTTTCTCCGCCATAGGGATCCTTGTTCCTGGAAAGAGCTCCTTAGACGACGCCGAGGTCCTCTATGGTTCTAGCCCTGACAGATGAATGTCCGACACCCCCCAGAGGATAAGCATGCTGACCTTTCAATCTCAATAGAGGACGAAGGTGAAAAGCAAGCTGCAGAACTCATGTCGATGATGTCCAAGGAAAACGCGGACAGCGGCTCCGACGACTATATTCCCAAGGTGACGGCTCACTATGCCGACGTTTCGGACCCAGAATCGGTGAATGCGTGCATCGCTGAGATCATCAAAGAGCACGGCAAAATCGACCATTTGGTCACCTCGGCAGGATTCACAGAGAACTTCTCTGCGGAGACGTACCCGTATGAGCGCATGAAGAAACTCTGGGGCGTCAATGTCGACGGTACTTATCTTTTCAGCACCGCCGTGGGTCGGCATCTCATGGAGCGCAACATTACACACGGGAGCATTGTCATGATTGGCAGCATGTCTGGCTCAATTGTGAATGTGCCGCAACCACAGGCGCCGTACAATGCAGCGAAGGCGGCGGTTAGGCATCTTGCCGCCAGTTTGGCCGTGGAATGGGCGCACGCTCATGTCCGGGTGAATTGTATCAGCCCTGGCTACATGTTGACAGCTCTGTAAGTAACTTGTTACCGGGTGGTTTCCCTCGACCAGCTAACGAATCATACAGGACCCGTAAGATTCTGGATGATAACCCGGAACTTAACAAGACCTGGACATCCCTGATCCCGGTCGGCAAGATGGGTTCTCCAGAGGACCTTCAGGGAGCGGTGGTATACCTGCTGAGTGATGCCAGTCGCTATGTCACCGGTGCAGATCTGCGAGTCGACGGAGGGTAAGTAGTGTTTCGTCTCCTGGTTCTGGCATGTGACTTTCGACTAGCCACATCATTGTTCCTTTGATTGTCTGGCTTGCTGACTTCGCGATTGTAGATATACCTGCACATAAAGGCGCTGATCTCCAGATGGCGAGGAAAAGACCGTCGTTGGGAATACGCGATCGAGGCTAGTCCACCAGAGCTAGTAAAGCATTCATAATTGTCGGATGCAGGTTTGACGGCGCGCACATTGCATAAAGTATTGTAGGACATGGGCACAGCTCGCCTTCCTTCTTGGGAGTGTGTATGCCTTTTAACCATTAGCCGACTGTAACCGTCAATTCCGGAGTTGGAAAGCCTGACGAGGGCCAATGTTTTTGATAACGAAATAGACCATTGGGTATGATATTGACCCCACGTTTCACGGCGTGGTGTGATGACATTTTCAATCCATTATGGCAAAGTGTAAGGCCTCAGACTTTCACATGATCAACATGGGAACAGAAGAGAAAAGGGGCACGAAGGGGGTCGGCCCCGCCAACGCGTATGTCCTCATTGCCTCGAAGCCGAAGCGGATCTTTGCTGTACTTGTAGATCCAAGCCGATTGAGTGTCAAAAGCAACTTCAAGGATCCATTAAAGTGGGGACTCGGGGGCGAGATGGGCCCCAGAGTCATGGTGATCTAGACCACCAACTTAGATATACTTGAGCCCGAGAAAGGAGGCTAGGAAAGTTGGGAGCGGGAGCGGCAGCAGACGGCATCTTGATAGCGCGATATGAGGTGATGGCCTTGTCTAGATGTCTGGCCGCTTCCCAGACCTCCGAGTAAGTAAAGTAGCATGTGGTGGAGGCACGATAATGGTTTTAGTCATGTGTGAAGTTCCTGATAAGGTGAATGAGGGTGCAAAGGAGTTGAATAGGTAGAGACTGCGTGGGGGAGGTTCTTTGCATCGTGCGTCTGGTAAATAGGAGATCGGCGACCAACGAGAAATGCAGGTTCGACTTTGTGCGCCATCGGTAGGCGGGGGGTTTTGTCTGGGTGGACTCGATTAGAGCGTTATGGGTATGTATTCGTCAACTAAGGAGCCGATTTCAGCACGGTTCCTGATACATTGTGCTTTGTACATCCGGGACGGAAGGAAGGAGACCCAGCAACGTGGATGGTGGATCCTGTAAAGGCGCGTCGGAAATGGACGTGGCTGCAGGACTAAGCCGGGGTTGGAGGAAGAGAGGGAGTGGAGCAGTGTTGGCCGTGATCCAGGCTGGTGTTTTTGTATTTGTACTTGTACAGATGATGTACCAGAGACAAGCGCAGTTAGAGCGAGTGAGGCGACTCAAGGCGAGACTGGGAGGTGGATAAGCTACTCAGGCTACCAAAGTAGCTACATCAGCAAGGAGACAACAAGGTGCAGATTGGTACCTTTGAATGCAACGTTGGTGAGAAGGTACCTGAAGCTACCTGAAGCTACCCGCCGCCGAGTACCTAGTCGTGCTAGTAGTGTAGAAGAGCAGGGGAGCAGGGAATTGAATTGCAATAATGGGAACAAGCTGCGGTGAAGAATCAAGGAGAAAAAGAGACCAATGACAGTCCAAGATCATGATGCAATGCAAGATCTGGTTGGGCTGCCATTTATTCCTCCGTAGTTATTTTATTTTCCTCGCCAAGTGCAACAGAAACAACATCTTCCTTCCCCTTTGATTTTCTTTATTTGATCTTGACTTTACGTACAAAACTCAACTGACCTTACCGAGACCCAGCCATGTATAGTGATTGGCTCTCTCTATCTCCCTTGCCGTTTAACCGTGGGATGCTGTGATGCTGTGCTGCTGCATCTCCTGGTCTCTATCTCCAACGCTTGTACTTGGGTACCAGCACTTGGTAAAAGAGATGCTGATCAGCCCCTTGTTCTCGATCCTTCTAGTGTCCCACCGGATCCATGTCGGCGGGTTGGCTCGTGGTGCCATTGTGGCCACGTTGGACCTTGTGATATTTACCCATGTCGATCACATTATTGATCTACAAGGTATCTTGGTAGCAATGCAATGGTGCCAGTATTTTAAGCCTCACCTTGTTACTCTAGACATTTATCCGGTATTAGTCGCCGGTGCCAGTGTCAGTGTCGGTGTCGGTGTCGATAACAAGTGGGGGTGGAAGCGTACATCCGTTCCATCTATCGGCATCTGGTTTGTTGCCCTGTTCGTTCGTCTCTCTCTCCCTGTCTCTCTGTCTCGGCCTCATCTCTCCGCTTTTCTCCTCCTTTCGCCCAATTCTGTCTCTTCTCGTTTCTCGGACGGGACTGCTGACTACGACGGATGTGGCATTTCGTACCGCCCACTTTTCCTCCATCATTAACCGCCTGTCAGTCACTTACTCACTCAGTCCCCCGTATCCTCCTATACGGATGCATCCACATTTCCACCTCGCCTCGTCACTCCCGTCTTGCGTCTTGCCCACCATGGAGCTTCGGAACTCCTTGTCTCCCTGTCTGCCATATCGGTTCCCATGATCACCATGGCTCCCAACTTCCCCATTTCTGGATCCTGTCTCGGCCGTGCCCTTGTCTCTTGTAACCCCCTCTTCAGTCACCCTCGTCTGTAACAACTCCCCTTTTGCCTCAAACCTCACCACCAACTGACCAGCCCAGTGGATATTTGCCATCTGACCCTGGTTCCTGCATCAATACCAAATTCCTTGAGTGAAGCTAGAGTCGAGCTTCAAGAGTCGTTTTCTTCCTTTTGGATCAAACGTCGTGGGGTCGGCTGACTACCAGTCTCTAGGATCTGTCTCGGTCGTTATCCACTTACCATTCATCACGGAGGCATTTCCAGCTTCTTCTGTCGACGTATCATTCCTTCTCTCCGCCCTCTGGACCTGCTTTTTGTCCCTCAAGGCCAACTCGATGAATGCCATCCACCGCCATTCCCGCGCTAGCCCTGTCACCAGTCATCCGGTCCTCTTGACCGCGGCCAACTTGCTTGTCACCACCGTCACCCACGTTTGTACCGTCAATTCGTCTTCCCCCCGGTTCCAGCCCAACTCAGGGCATTCAATCAACCGTCTTCCGAGAGGCTTTCAGCTGAACTGAGCCCCTTCTCGTGTTTAGTTCCTCAATCCAGTCACTCAGCGCTCCGGTTTCACCCAACGGATCCCTTCCGCGCCGCTTCACTACTGGCTGTCACTGGCTTCCCCCGTTATTTTAGGCTTTTGGCGGCGGGTCCCAGACTTTCGATTTCTCACCACATGCCCCAAGGACTCCCTCGCCCAGCGAGCCCAGGACCGCGGGACCTGACAGTTGTTTCCTCTTCCCCCCTCAAAGTAGTGAGCCTCCTCGATCGACGTCGCCAGTGGCCTTTGCTGTTTCAAGCTTTAGTGGTGATCTAGCTCAACCTCCAGCCAGCTTCCACCCGTCCAGACCAGCCGCGCCGCTTACGGTTACACGCACATTTGGGGTGCGCGTGGACGGGGACGAGAAAAAGAAACACAAAGGCCAAAAAACCTCCTTTTCCCGGTTGTGCCTTCATCTATTCTTACACACCGATCTTTGCGCTCCTTCCCGCCACGAGACACCCGGGTTGGTGGGCATCTCCAGCCCTTGCCGCCGGCCAATTTCCCTTTCACCTTACCTTCCGCTTCCCTTTCCTCCTCTTCAAGCCCTCGGTCGCTTGATCCTCATTGTGTTCGACTTGGCTGGGACAAAAGGACATGGTTTGGCCAATCCACGAGTTGATTGTCCGGCTTCGTCGAGCTGCCACCGCCGGAGACGTCCCTTGATAACCGCTTGTCATGACGGCCGTTCTACCCCAAGGACTAATTAATGCCAATCCCAATGTCCAACAGTATGCTTTGGACGATTTCCACGTCGACTTCACCAATGCAGAAGTGCTCAGCAAGTTTTGGAAAGGTCTTTTTGCTCTTGGGACCCAAATACGGACCAGCGGCTGATATTTCGTTAGTTTATGCCATCCAGAGCGCGGCGACACAAGACAATGCCTCTGCGAGGTTGCGGAATCTGTTCTGGAGGGTATGGAGTAGCCCGACCCTTACCAAGTCCATGACATCTGCACGACTGATGCGCTTATGGTCTCTGTGTACTCAAGACGTGGACTTGACCCCGATTGAAGATGATACCAACGCCAGGCGGGTCCCCGAACTTATTACACAGGTACATGTTACCCTAACATCCCACGGAAACATCCTTGCTGACAGAAATATTGAGGGTTTATCTGCGTCAAGCCAGTCCCCAAACACAACCTCTCCCTTGTCCCCTACCTCTGACATCCGTCAGACAACAGGTGCCACTCCACGTACCAGGCCAAATGTTGCACCCACGCTGCAAGAATTTAGATTTCCTTCCGTGGCGGCCAATACAGGTGACGAGGAACGCCAGCCTTCCCGTGGACAGCCCAACGGACGGGGCCGAATGCAGTCTGAAGATGCCTCAGGGTCTGGGTCTCACGCCACCTCCGAATCGTCTACCCGACCGACCTTGAGCAGAACCACTAGCGGTGGACGACAAAGGCCGCCTGTTCTGGCGACTGCTGGAAAGTCGAGGGCGAGGCCTCAAATCCCCCGCAGAAAATCCAGTTCGCAAAAATCCCCAGGAGGCCCAAGCGGACCAAAATCTCCAAGGGCAAAGTCGGGCGCTGCCACAGTCGACGTCACAATTCAGGACACCAGCGGAGGTGTCGGCGCTCTCACTAACAGAGGACCGCCTCCTGGCTTGCCAATTGTCCCTTGTACGTACATCTCGCATTTGATGGACTAGCAGGCTGACATTGGATGGCAGCAACTACCAGCGGACCGGCTTTCGCTCTTCCATCTGCGTCTTCGTGGCAGAGCATAGATTCGGCTACTGACCCCCCTTTAGCGAACACTGTCCCGCCTCTGCCCACGTCTTCGGGTGAACTGGTTGAGCCGGATTTCCGAGGCAAATTTGTGGAAACACAGAAGAAGCTGGTGAGCTCGACAAACCTTGCCGGCCTTAACCGAATCAAAAAGACAGGTAGTGTTGTCAGGTTCGCGGATGAGTTGCCCCAGGAACTGCGCAAGGGAAAGGAAAGGGAGAAGGAAGCGACAATCCCGACCCGAGACGAAGCGCCTGGATCCTCACGACTGCGCAGGAGCATATCCAGTGAAGCAGTTTCGGATGATGCCGACGACGATGACTCGTCTTTGGAAAACATGCAACTCCCACGAACCAAGAGCCAGCTCAGCCTTCTGATTCAGACCAAAAGAGATGAAACAGGGAGCTCGGATATTGGACCTGCCGGAGAACCGGAGAACAACAAGGGGAAAGAGCAGGCAAAAGAGAAAGCCCAGTCCAGAGAAGAAGATCTCCTATCAATGGGTCGACGAGACGGCGTGACAAAGGCTGGCGGCGTCCAGGGACGCAAACAGCATCGGATCAGCGAAACTGAAGACCCTGGATACTTCTCACCGTCAAGCCCTGAGCCTCTGTTCTGATTCAACCTTTTACTTGAACCCATCACGAATCTGCCTTCCTTTTTGAAGCAGGAATAAGCCCATTTTGTACCACGACATGACGTTACGACGAGACGACCGAACAAAATATGTATCAACAGTACGACGTTCTGAGCAGCAAGCATATTTGTTTTTCTTGGGGAAAGCCTATATGCGCGGCATTCACTTTTGGAGCCTGAGGGTGGCTGGCCAGGGTTTCTTCAATAGATTGGGCATGGTGTTGACGAAATACTGGCTCAAATCAGAAGCACCAGAGCATTTGGAATTACACCGGCACCAAGTTGCCCGATAAACAATGAGATCATTATTTGGCCTTTGCAGGTTTTGGTCCAATTCAACTGAATGAGAAGTCGCAGATGATGTGCCCAACGACGATCAGCGCCATTGCGATAATCAATTGTGGCATGTAAAACTGCCTTACCTGGTGTCATTCGCCAGAGGTAAATTTCCTCTGCTTTTGCCTGGCCGCTTACATTTGAGGCCGTCCAACATGATGAGCCGGGAATCAATTTTCCTTTCGTGATACTTACGCAAAGAATGAGCTCAGACAAATAAGCATACTTTGACTCCTGGATATCTCGTATTCTTCTCAAGATCGAATTTCGGCCATAAATGGCTAATTGCGAAAGACGCGTTCAAGGCGGGGCTCAAGTGACGCGTTGGTTGGCTGCATCCGTACCGGCTTTTTCGCGGCCAATGCACGTGATCAAACAGGGTTGGAGGAGCTCGGCTGATCGCAAACTGTGAGAGTCTGGATCTGGCCGCACTCCAATCCAATCCAATCCCACACGCGGAGAGACACCCTCTGCCATCGAGAACGCAACAAGGCACATACTTCGAGAATAGTTTCTCGTACTTGGATCTCGTATCTCATACTCAATCTGCCCCGTCTCGATCGTTCATTCAACTATTATGCAGGGCTTAACGTTGGAGAAGCTGGTACCGTCGGGCTTTGGATTGCTGGCAGTCAATTGGAGAAGCCACTCTTTGGAGGGGAAGACCAAAAGACCAAAAGACCATTATTGGATGCGCATTGCCCTGCACGGCCCGCTTTCCCCCCCTCTGTTACCAGCCACTCAGATGGCTTTGCCACTTGAAGGAGGCCCCGTTGGTCGGCCATTCGGTGCAAGCGAGGGTGTTGCAAGTGCGCCAGTGTGTGCAGTCACCGCCGCAGTCAGTTCTCGCCAGCACCAAAGCGAAGAGGGTCACAGCAAACTGCTCGTTCAACTTCCCAAAGAGCTCAACAATCTTCTTTCTCCCCTTTCAAGATTTCTACAACATCCACCAATCCCTCCAACGATGTGAAAATGCTGGTACTCTGCTGAAACTTGCTCTTGCCATCGCAGCACCCGCTTCTCCTCGGCGAGAAAACACGACGGAATTTGTAACCACCCACCCACGGCGCGAACTCTGCTTTTCCACAACCATTCCTCTTCCTGCAGCCGTGCGACATCTCCCCCATCCTCTGACCTGCGACAACACTGACACTCGTCTCTAGAAAGGTAGCCACGGCCAGAAACCCCTAAAATGAGCCCTCGTCGGTCATCCCGTGCTCGCTCATCGCAGCAACCCCCTCCTGGTCCCAACCACACAAACTCCACCACCTCGATCAACTCCAAATCCGATCGAGATACTCGTGCCAACATCCGTACAACCTCTCCTCACAGACCCTCCACCCAACGATCCGAATCTGCTGATGGCGCAGACTCGTCCTCTCGAGCCGAGCAGCTCGCACCGCGTCGCAGTCGCCGAAATGGGGATGACAAAGAACAAATAGTAAAACAACAGGCCGATGATGAGGAAAATGACGCTGAACCCACAGATGAGGAAGTCACTCGCTGTATCTGTGGGCAAGCTGAGTATCCTGGTCCTTCCTCTACAGTGCGACAACAGCAACCAGCCATCGACGGCATAACCGACGACACGGGTAATTTTTTCGTCCAGTGTGACAACTGTGGTGTCTGGCAACACGGTGGCTGCATGGGTCTATTGGACGAGTCGATGCTCCCAGATGAATACTACTGCGAGCTGTGCAAACCAGAATTTCACAAGATCACAAAGTCTGCAAATGGGTAAGCTTGTCCCTATCAATCCCGTACTCTGCATCTATCTATACACAACTGCCTTCGTGAACAGTCTTGTCCAGTTTAGTGGTGACTATATGTTATCACTTTTTGTGCCCACTCTTTGTGCAGAACAAGGCTGACAGACTGCCTACAAACAGACAAAAATCTTCCCGTTACCTCCCCGTTTTGGAGACCAATTCCAGTCGATCCTCTCCTTTATCCTCGAATCCAGAATTGGGCCGCAAGAAAGAGAACAAGAACAAACAGTCCGAAAGCACCAAGAGGAGAGCCACCTTCAACAGTAGGGGGGCCTACGACGAGGATGAGATGTTGAGGAGGGCCATCGAGGAGAGCAAAGAAATGGGCACTCTCGGGAAACGCACAAGAGACGAATCAGAAGAGTAAGGCTCGTTTGATATCAAATATTTACCAGTGCTGACTCGGGGGTAGACAAAAGGGTACATCCAAGCGACAACGCACGGGATCCAACTCCTCAGGAACGGTTTCCAAGCGCAGTGAATCACCTGAAGTAGCAGTGGATGATCCAACAAACAGATCAACAACCAACGGTCGAAATGCGTCCCAAAAGTTGAGGGGAGCAGCTGCTCGAAACAACCGTGAAAAGGAACTTCGAGACAAAGCAAAGGAACAGCAAGCTGCCCAGCGTGCTGAGGCGGCAAGCAAACGCAATGCTCGGTCCGAACGAAGAAGGGCAGATGGTGAGTTACATATGCTGCCTAAAATCAAAGATGCTAACCAACGGAGCAGACTCACCTCCTCCCACACCGAGCCTCTCTCCTTCCAAAGGTGGACAACCCAACGGCAAAACAAAAGCAGATACCCCCCCGTCTGGTCGGTCGAACCATACCAATAGCCGTAAACCTGGCGGAAGAGCAGCCGCACGGCGAGGGAGATTGGGCAGAAATCAATATACGCGTGACCAGAACGGAGAAGACGGGGACAATGCATCTCTGCGGGATGGATCCCATGACATCAATGGCCATGACAACAAAAATGGGGGTTCGCCGTCCGGCGTCGACAGAAAAGGGAGTGCAGGTGGAGTCGGCGCTGTACACTGCATCAATGGCGAAAGCGGACGCAGTTCAAAGGCCAAGACACACCCGGCGAGAACGAGTCTCAACGAGATGAAGAGACGAGTAGCAGCAATCCTGGAATTTGTTGGGCGAATGCAGACAGAGCGGACGACGCAGGCACAAGCAGCGATGCAGGTGAACGGTGGCAGTGGCGGGAGCTCCAAGGGCTCCACGACTCCGAATGGCGTAAGCAAAACGTCCAGCACTTCGAGCACGACGGGGAGCACGTTGCCAACAGCCAGTCTGGTGCGTGCGGTTGAGGCTGGGCTGAATGACGTAAAGGAGAAAGACGACGACAACACGGTATCGATGATGGACGAGAGGGAGTTTGCGACCATGGGCAGTGTGGACATGATGGAGACGTTGACGAGAGAGTTGGTCCAGTGGCAGAGTGTTTATGGGGTATATTCGCGATGACCACGGGAACGGTGCTCAGGTGGATCATGAAACAGGAAAAGATGGATGATGCGCTGGGATAAGTCGGTGGCGTCTCTGAGCATGACGACGATAATGAATGGGTTTTTGTTTCAGGTTACCGGCTTGCGCAACTGAGGGACTTTTGCATGGTAGGGTATGGCACACCAAAATGAGGGTTGATTATAAGGGAAAAGTGCATTCCTCGGGAGTTTAGTTGCGCTGGATTCCCATATATCATCTGACGCATGATGCATTGATGGTTTTGAATGTTGAGGGAGGGAGTATTTTGTTTTTGACACGAAATTACTCACCGAGCAAAATGAGAGCGTAGCCTGCCTGGCATTGCATTTTTACAGAGATACGACTTGGGAAAAAGAATTGGCATGGTCAAGGCAGGGTTGTGCATTGGTTACCACAGATGGAAGCAAGATACCCCAAAAGAAAAAATAATATCGCTGAAATGACGTCGTTCTTTACTACCTGTTTAGCTACAAGTAGCAGACGAATGAGGAGTGAGTATTATCTGTCCTCCAAATCATTTCATCCCACTTTTCTTTTGCTCCGTGTCTTGGCTTATTTTGCTCTGGGTATCACGTGCGGCACTCAGGGACTAGTATTTTTCGTCCAAAAAGTTGATTATTCAGCACATTCGACACTGATTGGCACCCAATTGGCCACTTGGCCAGAACCTCTGGGGGAGACTTGGAGACGAGAGTTGGCTTACTCGAGGTCCGAGGTCTCAACTCACTGGTGGCACCAGTCCCTTGGGAGTGGCTTATTCCGCCCTCCGTTTACCTTTTGAGTTGTTCGGCCGAATCTTTACTCGTGAGAAAGTAAGCCCATTCAGTCAGTCCTTGTACCCAGTTGAAGTGAGTATCTACGAGGTACACTCCTCTGAGTAGTAGAGTACCTCTGTTGTAAAGTGGTAAGTGATAACTGGTAACTTGTGTGTGTTTCCTGTGTCTAAGGTATCCTTGTGTCTGTACCGAATACTCTGGACTCTGGACTCTACTCTTTATGTATACCTACCTACCTGGAGACTTGTAAGGTATCTACCGCTAGAGGTTTATACTTTTTGCTTCGGTTGATACGCCACCGTCCGTATCCATCGATCCATCTTACCCACTCACTACCCTGCCTTGTCTGCCTGTCTGCCTGTCTGGCTGCTCGCCTTACCTCGACTTTAGCTATTTTCATCATTTGATCCATTTTACTCATTTCCTCCAACTATTCCATTCACTCTACTTTCCTCTCCTCTACTCATTTATACATACATACACGTTCTCTCTCTCCCATTCCCGCCGTAAAGGAACTTGGAGATTCGGAGAGCAAGCAAGAAAGACCACCAGAACGAAAAGGAAAAAGGCCAAAGCCGACTATAAGTACTATACTGCACAAAGGTACGAGGAACTGTTGGCTCACTCTACTATACTCTTCTCGTCACGACATCAGCCATCAGCCATCCCAACGGCGATCAGCCAACATCTCTCCTCGGACCGTCATCCACTACTCCGTCGCCCGTCAATCCAATCCCAGTCCTCGCCTGCCCAAAATTTCTAGTTCCGCGCCGCGAAGCATTGACATTGCAGACCTCCCAACCTTGACTTGATCGGGTCTGGTCTAGTCATCGACGCCGTTCCGCGGCGAGGCGTGAGACCAGAGAGAAAGCCCGGCGGCATTTCTGGGCTGCGGGACAGTATCATCAGCAGACCAACGGGAGAAGAGAGCCGCTCACAATCGACCATTGCCATTTGCCATGGCCACGGCCATGGGCGACAAGACCCGGAAATCGGCACCGGGTCCCCGAAAACCATATGTTCGACGAGTCACCGACAAGCGGAGGGAGCAGAATCGGCGCGCCCAAAAGGCCTACCGGGAGAGACTGAAGAAGAAACTCGAGGTGCTGGAGGAAAAGGCTGCGGGGTCTATTTCCACCTCTACTTCTACTCTGTCACACTCGGATCAACGCCGTGAAACCTCACAGACGTCTAGTCATGAGAGACGCTCGACGAATTCGGGTATAGTGGCTAGTATTGAGGATGTCGAGGGCGACGACTACGGCAATATCGATGTCGATATCAGCCCCGAATTTCCCATCGATATAACAGACACGACTACGAGTGTCCCCACGGTCTCTTCAGGGCCGCGGGTGATAAATCTGGCAGATGCATTTGTCGCTGCTGGTGATCTACCCTTCGCACAGAGCGCATTCCCTACCATCCAGTTGCAAGTAGGCCCGGACACACCAACGACAGTAACCGAAACCCCCGAGACTGTCGATCATACACACGATGACTATGGCGACATTGATCTGCGGCAGATCTGGTCCGTGCCGCACAGACGAGAACAACCACAACAGCAACAACCACATACACATCCTCCTGATCCCTCGCTCGGTTCCACGGCTCTAATGACCTTGACGCCGCAACGATCCCCCCTCGGCTCACGCTTCTTCACACCAAAGCCCACTGTGGCGGATCCGTACATCAACCACATGCACCTGGTCGGCGAAGGAAACCTGGAGGCATCACTTTCTGTGGCCCTTTCAATCGGCATCAGCCGCAGCCAATACTTGAATGACCACCCGTCACATTTCCCCGCCTGCTACGTCGCCCTTAACAAACCTGATGTGCGCTCCCCAACAAAGACAACCTCCCCAAACACGGTGAGCTACAAAATCGCACACACCTTCATGGACATCACGCCAGAGCTGGAAGAGCATCTCGAGGCTGTCAAGCCGGCCATGCGTCCAACACCTGCACAACTCCTCAATCCACATCCAAGTTACCTCGATTGCATTGTATTCCCTTATTTCCGGGACCATGCAGTCAAAGCATCTGTCGAAGGCATCCTCGACCACGGAGAGTTGTTCATGGACATGGTGCATGGTGGTCTGGTATGCTGGGGTGGCATGTCTGGACTCACAAACAGGCACGGGAAGTCCATCAGGAGTGGGAAAAGAGACATGAGAGGCAACGTGGCCTGGGACACGAGAAGTTGGGAGGCCAAGCGATGGTTCTTGAAAAAATGGACTTGGTTGATTGGCACAGAAGACGAGGAGGAAGCACGAGGAGATGTTCATGGCATCTGGAGAGGGAGTCGGTGGTGGTGGGCCATGCGCGGCGAAGACGATAGTGATGAAGAAACCGAGGAAGCGGATTTCGAAGGTGCCCGAGTGAGCGAAATTGGCCATTGCATGTGAGGCCGATGGCCTCCTGGCAAAACCACAACACGGGAGGAAGGTTGCTGTTGCTGCACGCGTACCTGATCCTCGTATCTATTGAGACAGGGCCTCGCCCATTCAGTGCTGGAGGAACCGTCATTGACATCTTGACCTCCACTGTGATGGCTTTCTGCTTTCAGGCCATCATTGTACGGCCTCCTGCTCATTGCCACTGAAAAGCATGCAGAGGGGTCAGCATTTATCTCGAGATTTGAGCTTGGACCACCAAAGAACTTCGTTCGACAAGTTTCTGGCCAAGAACATGGTGGAGCTTACCAGGGGCATGTGGAGGGGTGTTCGAAGTCATGCCCATTGCCCAAATGCACGATTTATCATGACAATTGCGAGAGAAGGAATGATTCCTCACCTTCAGAGCTGTCGTGACCACTGGGATTCGAATGTGACTAGCGCACTATCACGGCTCTTGACGTGTGTCCCGGTGTGAATGGAAATCGTCCACCCAATGAACGATATACGCAATGTGAGAGGTGTAGTGCTCGCTGACACCAGACGGTCAGCGACAGGCTCTTTCATTGCTCAACCTCGCACGAGTGTGGGGTCTAGCTGTTTGTCGAGTTCCAACAGCTCCGCGACTGGTCAGGCTTCCTTTTCCGGGATCGAATCGTGAGGCACGGCAGCTCGTATCTCTCTGAACACCGAGTGAACTTGTGCCACATTCTCAGGCGCAATGTCCGTATGCCTTATGTCCCCCCTAAGATGCGATGCGAGAGAGGCATCCTCGCATATAACGCAGCCCACTCGAAAGAGTAGTGCCGTAGAAAATAGTTATAATCAACCAGCAAGTCCGTTGATGGCGAAGCTGTAATGAACCAATCTGGAGCCAGTGACTGCGAGGTGGAAGACCACGCTAATGCACCCAAAAGTCCGCTGTGTCTGAAGTTGCGAGACGACTAGTACTTGGGCGGTTCTGTGGGTGACAATTGGCAGAACTGACTTTGTACCATCTCAACTCAGACTCTTGGTTGGTTGCTCGTGCAAAATCGTAACCCATTAACCATAAGAGAGTTTCTTGAGCTAGACAGGCGGAGACAACGTCCTTCGTCCGAGTCTAAGTCGTGTCCAAGAACCGAATCAGGAAGTCATTTATCTCTTCCATTTGTACCACTCTTGTAGCGATGTATCTGATTGCCTAAAGCAGTAACATTCGAGAATATTCATCAGTGGAGCTGGAGGATGGCAATTCCACAGAATACTTGAGACAAGTGTAGTTGTACGGTACTTGGTGCACGAGAACCCCATGAGGTCGGCGGGTATTTTCCATTCCCTGAGTTCGACCACCTGAGGCGCATGTATGCATGCCCTTGGGATTTTGTGGAAAAGCGCCCCCTGCCGATCTTAGTCTTCAAGCCTCATCCGTCATCATTATGTTTCATTTGATGAAGCGATGATCATAACCGTATAAGGAAGGCTTAAAAGAAGACCACAAGGTGTCGTGCATATTGCCTGACGTCCACGCTGATAGCTGGTAAAAGGGTCTACTCAGGTAGAGCTCGACAGGAGGGGTGGAATTGCGCAGAGGACAACGGAATAGTGGAGTATTGACTGATGCAGAATTCTGGTCTGATGAGAGGGGAATAGCAGCTCGCGACAAGACCGGTGAAGGCTGGACCAAGCGTCGTAGCGCCATGATGCCCAACGGCTCGAAACTGCGGCGAAGTGCGGTGAGTGCTGAATGCTCCGAGGACGATTTCTAGAGACCGCGGGTCGGCTATGCACGAGCTCCCTCGAATTCTCGATTCAATGAGGAATGATCGTCGTGGTGTTTGAGCACGCAGACTTTGACTCTGTTGGCTCTGACCTTTCGAGGCAGATTTCTCGGTTGTGACGATGCAAAGGGGAAGTGAGGGTCGTACTCCTGAGTTTCCCTCTAACCGGCTATTGATAAGATAGTCCTCATCAAGAGTTTGGCTTCCCGGGCTGGTTCACATTGCGGTTCCCCGGCCCCATGAAGTCAGGTTAGCCACCCGGAACTCATCCTGGGACCCCAACATCCAGTAGCCCAAGCTGCCTCAACCGGCCTAAGAAACCCGACTTACATTTCCGGAGTCAAGGATGTCCCTGATGGCCTCGTGGCTGGCTAGGCCTGGATATGGGCATGCTGAGGCAGGCGCAGCAGGTGCAGGCGCAGGCACAGGTACTGGCGCAGGCACTGGCGCAGGCTCTGTGGGCATCGTGCCATCTTGATCCCAAAATTCCCAGAGTCCACAGTGGTCCTCAATCGCGGCAAGAGATCCTCTCCACATCCGACTTTCATCGTTCATTTGACATGTCGAACTCACATCCTCTTACCAGCCAGACAACCTCTACTTGATACCACAAGCATCAAAATGACCACAGATATGGACAAGGACCGAGAAGGGACAGCACCAGTTTCCGCCCCGACGGTTGAGCTCCTGTCCACCCCCCGTCAGCATCGATCTTCTCAATGCTGATCTTGACCTTGTGTGCGGGACCAAAACGCAGACTAAAAATCTTCCAGACCCTCAGTTCCCATTGCCAACGACACCAAAAGAACTCCCTGCCCCCCCTTCCCCTGTCTATGGTGCGAACCGATTATGTACGAGGACTCGGTAGACGGAGAGCGGTCCACTCCTCCGAGCTCGTTCGAACAAACAAAAACATCGTCACCTCCACGACACCCAACGAACGTCATTGCCACCACTGTCACTACATCTGCTTGTACCGTTGCTTCCTGGGTTTGGCCAGGCAGACCACCTTGACCACTCACCTCCTCCATCACCCGTCCCTGCAGTGAACCCAATCCGATCAAGTCCGTCACTCGCCTATGAACCGAGCTAGTCGCCGCCCACATTGAACGCCTCACTCACTATCCTATCACCCTCACGAGACTTCTCATTCAGGGTATCGCTGCAGGCTGAGGGATTTGCACGAGGTCGCAGGTTAGGGATCAACATTCGGCAAGCAAGACACGGTTTTCCAGTAACAAACTCCAGCCGGATCTAGAGCTAGATCACGTAGCGAACCGCTTTGCCCCTTCAAGTACCAGATCCCACACAAACCGTTAAAAAACCGCCCATACCGATTTTCCTTTTGCACGACTCACCTTGCGGGCCAAGTAGCCACGAACTGGGTGCCGAGAAGCGGACTTTGAGCTTCTTCTGCTGTCCTCTCACTCAGGTGGTTCATTAAGTCATTCAGAATCTCTCTTCAAAGTGGTGGGGGATAAGGAAAGATTTTATGGTTTGAAATGTAGTCGAGACACTTTTCGAACCCAACGCACTTTTCAAACCTCGGACTTGTTTGTATAGCAATAACCGTGTCAACGGTGGCAGGTCGCGGGGTGAGCAAGAATGAGTTTGCAGCCCAGGTACGTTTTCAATTCGTCTTCCAGATCTCAAGGTTTGCGCTTTGAATGCCCCTCCTTTCTCCCAAGAGTTCGGCGCGACTGATTGAATCTCCTTGTTACCTACAGGCGAGAATATCACATTGTTGTGCTTGGTGCTGGTATGTGTGATCCATCCATTCTGGAGCCCTTCTGCCAGCTCATGTGTTCCTCGAGTCGACAAAACTCCCAAGCTAACGACGTGGTCTCGTGCTCGAAACAGGAGGAGTAGGGAAAAGCTGTCTCACGGCCCAATTCGTGCAAAATGTCTGGATTGAGAGCTATGACCCGACCATCGAGGACTCTTACCGAAAGCAAGTCAATGTCGACGGTCGACAAGTTATGTTGGAAATGTAAGCTGCGACAAGGATAAACACACCTCACCAATGCCCAAAATATCTTTGACCGTCTCAATAACTCCCGTGCTAATGTCTCCTGACCCCTTCTCCAGCCTCGACACAGCCGGCACTGAACAATTCACAGCAATGCGCGAATTATACATGAAACAAGGCCAGGGCTTTCTCCTCGTCTTCTCCATCTGCAACATGAACTCGTTCTACGAATTGGCCGAACTGCGCGAACAGATCGTCCGCATCAAAGACGACGAGGACATCCCTCTCGTCGTCGTGGGCAACAAGTCCGACATGGAAGACGACCGCGTGGTGCCCCGCGCACGGGCTTTTCAACTCGCCCAGTCATGGGGACAAAAGCCGTACTATGAGACGAGTGCACGGCGGAGGACGAATGTCGACGAAGTGTTTCTGAATCTATGCGCGCAGATCATACAGAAGGAAGGCGCAAGAAATCTCCTAGCCGAGCAGCAGGCTGCTGCGAGAAGGAGAGAGAGGCCGAACCGGCACGATCGCAGAGGCCGGCGGCAGAGAAATCGGGACAGGTGCGTGATTTTGTGAAGAATATCATACACCTGGACCTGTTGATATGGCCTTCGAGAAATCAGCTACAACAGCACACATTCCAACAAAAGAAAAGACATACATGGAAATTACATGTGACACGCATTTTGGGGGCACATCTCCACCGGCGTTGATACTGGAGGAGGGAAAAACTAGACAAAAAGAATGGGCCTGGTTTCTACAAAAAAGCACGAGGGAGGAAAAGAGGATCGGAAGCATCGAGTTTGAGAGCTCTAGACGTACCCGACTCAGGTCGACATGTGTTCGTGTGACTACTACTTACTGTATTCTGTCTCGTTTTGGGGGTTTCTCCTTCAAAAATAGCCTGAACTTGGTTTCTCGCTCAGTAGGAGATTCTCTTGCGTGTCCATTTCGTATTCGCGCGAGGGTGTCTATACCCACGAGTCTAGTGCTATTGCCGGTCGATATAGCCAGCATGCTAGGTGCGGATCTCTTCCAACGGAAAATGATGGACTGGCACCGCCGCTCAAGCCCATCAGAAACATCCACTCGTGATTACATCCTAAAGACGCCAAACTTGGTCGGCGCATCGTCTGCCCTACCACCCAGCGCAACCTTCAAGCCCATGGCCAACATGTTCCTCGTCTGCGCGGGATGGATGACGCCGTCGTCCCACAGCCTTGCACTGGAGAAGGCGGCGTCACTCTCGCGCTCGATGCGGTCCCTCAGACCCACGTCGACGCTCTTGCCCACCGTCTCCATGACGGCCGTCAACTGGTCCGGGCCCATGACGCCGATCTTCGCGTTCGGCCACATCCACAGGAAGCGCGGCGAGTAGGCGCGCCCGCACATGCCGTAGTTTCCCGCGCCGGCCGACGAGCCCACGACGACGGTGAACTTGGGGACGTCGGCACACGCGACCGCCGTGACGAGCTTGGCCCCGTTCTTCGCGATGCCGCCGCGCTCGGCGTCCGCCCCGACCATGAATCCGGAAATGTTTTGCAAAAAGACCAGCGGGATGTTTCGTTGGCAGCACAGTTCGATGAAATGGGCGCCTTTCAAGCTGGACTCGGAGAACAAAATGCCGTTATTGGCGATGATGCCCACCTGGTAGCCGTGGATCCTCGCAAACCCGGTCAGCAACGTGGTACCGTAGTCCTTCTTGAATTCGGCAAATTCGCTGCCATCGACGATGCGGGCGATGATTTCGTGCATGGGGATCTGCTTGCGCAGGTTGGTCCCTACGATGCCGGAGAGCTCGGACGGGTCGTACAGCGGTTCACGGATTTCATCTGGACTGATGGGGGGCTGTTCTCTGGGATAATTGAGGTTGGAGATGGAGCGGCGGGCGAGTACTATGGCGTGAGCATCGTCCACAGCGAGGTAGTCTGTGACCCCAGAAACAGAGCTGTGGAGTGAACCGCCGCCCAAGTCTTCGGCTGAGACGACTTCCCCGGTGGCAGCCTTGACCAGCGGAGGGCCCGCTAGAAAGATGGTGCCTTGTTTCTCGACGATGATGGATTCGTCGCACATTGCAGGTACGTAGGCACCGCCGGCCGTGCAAGGGCCCATTACCACCGCAATCTGAGGGATGCCCATGCTACTCATCCTGGCTTGGTTGAAGAATATGCGTCCAAAGTGATCCCTGTCTGGAAAGACGTCGGCTTGGTTCGGTAAATTCGCACCACCGGAATCGACGAGGTAGATACAAGGTAGCTTGTTCTGCTGAGCAATTTCCTGCGCCCTCAGGTGTTTCTTGATTGTCAAGGGGTAGTATGTCCCGCCCTTGACTGTGGCATCGTTGGCAACAATCATGCATGTCACGCCTTCGACCGTCCCAATCCCCGCGATGACGCCTGCAGCGGGGATATCTTCCTCGTAGACCTCGTAAGCGGCGAGGGGCGAAAGTTCCATGAACGGGCTACCGGGGTCGACAAGAGCTGTTATGCGATCTCTGGCCAGCATTTTACCCCTTTGAATGTGTTTCTGCCGCGCCTTCTCTGGTCCCCCTTGGGAGATCTTCTGGTGTAATGCTGCATATTTTTTCATGGCCTCACTCAGCTGGGCTGCATTGTCTTTGAAGTCTTGACTAGACTTGTCCACCGCGGTTGGGAGGACGGAGATGGCTTGGGCATGCCGTCGATGGGCGAATGTCGCCGCTGCCCTTGTTCTCGGTTTGAAGTGGGACTTGGAGCATTTACGGTGTTCTCGAAGAGCGTGGTTGAGACTTCTCAAGAGAGAGTTTGTTGGAACATATTTGGGAGCCATGATGGACTTCTCTGCAGCAGCTCATGGGGAGAATTGGGTAGGAAGTTTTGGAACAGGAGGACACTTGGTTCTTGTAGGGAGGACGTCTTCAACAATACAACCGCGGGTTGGAGATCGAGTCCCTTTCCGCAGCTATGCCGTTGATAACCGAGATCTCGGTACGGCGGAGTATGTGTTCTCCAAAGGCAGTCTGCCAGGTTTTCGCAACCACGCTGTTGTCGAGAGGTGGCGATGATATACAAATCTAGTGAGAGCTGCTCCAAGGTAGGATATTGCCAGAATATCTAGAGAGACGAGCGCAGGGGTTTCCAAATGGGCTCTCATCTACGCATCCCCCTTGTGAACCTGCGTAAGCCAATGAGCCTGCGGGGTAGAGTCACTCATTGTCAACGAGACGACTATCTATGTCGAGCAACATTTCCACAATGTTGGCGTGCTCACAATGATTTGGGCCGAATGATGCCGACCTGAATCAGTGCCCGCGATTCGGGGTGGAGTTAGAGTTGATGTCCCCCTCCGAATGAAATGGCGCCTCTCGGCAATCATCTGTGCCAGCTTCACTTCCTTATTGCAGATTCTGCGAATCCCCGTCCTCTTGCGAAGACCTGATCTTCAGCAGACTCAGCCTTCAGAAACTGTACGACTCGCAAAAAGTCCTTGCTAAATACCACTACAGCTGCTGCGCTTTCCCCCGGCAACATGGCCCAAGCAACCGAAGTTGTCTTCTTACCCCTCAAAGAGGGGAACGATCCTGACGGCCAACAATTGAAGGGAACGATTGAAACCATCCTCAAGCAGGGTGGACCATTGCGCCTCTATTCTGGTCCTCAGGTCGAACACCCCAGCGTTCACAATTTGTTCATCGATTGGACTAGCATCGGCCATCATGAGAAGTTCATGGAGTGGGAGTAAGATGACTGCAGTCACACTGGCATCCGCCACTACTGACGAGAACATAGGGGATATAAAAGCTTTCTAGATGGCGCTGTGACCCAATGCGAGAAACCGCCCAGTCTCTACCATGTCCATTTCGAACCATTCCCGCCGTCTGCGGCTTTCTCAGAGGTAACCGAATTCCTCACAATTTACTTCCCTGCCGACTATTCGGCCGAGGACCAAAAGACGTTTCACGAAAACATGAAGAAGTTTGGGGTGAACGTGACGCGTGACTGGGAAGGATGCAGAGGCGCAGTGGGCGGTTGGGTCGCAGAAGAGCTCGAGGACCCCAAGACGTCGGAGAAAGCCAGAGCCTACGTCGAGCTCATTGGATGGGAAAGTGTGGATTCGCACATGAAGTACAGGGAAACACCGTCATTTAAGGACAACGTCCCTCTTCTAAGGGGTGCTAAGGATCTGAAGAATTTGGCCATGGTTCATGTCGCAACGAAAGAGGTCAAGGCGTGACTTTACTGGAGGCTACCGAGGGCTACAGATGCAGTTATGCCTTCTAAGTAGTGGTAGGTTCTGAGATAGAAATGCGTATCTAGGATGGGGCTCAGACTTGAGGCGCTGATCAATGACGCCAAGGCGGGGCCCGTTTTCAGAGATTCCGATCTTGTGCATTTCTCTTCAAGAGCTTTCTGCTTTCCAGGTACCACTCCTCTATGCTTTAAGGTGGGAAGTGTGACGGCGAAAGCTATAGAGCATTTCATCCATACCGAAGAATTTCAGCATGGCGACCGATGTGGTCCTCGAGACCACCATGGTGAGATTTGCGCCCCAGTACCCTCACCATCTGCCGCAATCCTAAGAACTGACCCGATCACAGGGCGCAATCACTGTCGAGCTCTACAATGACCATGCCCCCCGAACATGCAAGAACTTCTCTACCTTGGCTCAACGGGGATACTACAACAACGTCATCTTCCACCGTATAATCCCCAACTTCATGATCCAAACGGGCGATCCGACAGGGACTGGCCGAGGTGGTTCAAGTATTTATGGCGACAAGTTTGCCGATGAGATCAGCCCGTCCTTGAAGCATACTGGTGCAGGTGTACTTAGTATGGCCAACAGCGGGAAGGACACGAATGGCAGTCAATTTTTCATCACCCTGGCGCCGACACCCTGGCTGGACGGGAAACATACAATATTCGGGAGGGTCAAGAGCGGAATGAAGGTCGTGCAGCGCATGGGGCTTGTCAAGACCAACAGTGAAGATAGACCGTTGGAGGAGGTCAAGATCATCAGGGCAAGTGTGGTCGAGGGGACCGAAGCTGGATGATCGACGACAACGGCGATATCCCCCATACACAACCCATCCGATCTCATGCTGTCCAGATTCAACATTCACGACCAATGCGACTCTGAAGAGGACAACCACAACAACAGGAGCCAGCTGTATCCCCAACTACCGTTCAGATCCAAGTCCTTCTCTTGCGGCATTTAGAAATGTTGCTCGGCACGGTTGTTGATGTTCTATCTAGGAGCAACGTCCTCGACAGGATGGTCTCGACGTCCAACCCCGAGCCTTTGCTCAAGCCACCGGCGCTTTGAGGCAAATATGTATCCTTAACTCTTCTACGTCGCGGTTGCACAACCCCCTGGAGATATCGAGCGTCATGAAATCAATGACGCTAGGGCATGGTTTTTTGTGGAGATCAGGTGCATACAGATCGATGCACCTCCCTGCCCTTTCCCCTGAGTGTAAGGCAAGGGTTACAGGGTGGCTTGAGAGAGGCGCTTCGTCTCGCACTTGGATTTGTCTCCTTTTCAACTCCCCCCGCAGACCACAACTGGTGTCATGCCGAAACGCCCATGTGGGAGACTATCCGAATTGGTGGTCAAAAACTCGTACTGCAAAAGTCTAACTGGTATCCAAATCTTTTTTAAGCAACAACTGCGTTGGTTGGATGGGCGCTTCAGCAAGGCCCTCCAGCTCTTGGCCCCAGATATTGCGGCATGCGAGCCTTGCATGGCATGTTGATACTCGGAAGAAGACGAAGAGCTCTTTTCCAGCTTAGCTTCAGCGTCTACCATCTGCAGCCTCGCTGAGCCTATAAGGATGAGTGTAGTCATGCTGGAATGCTTTCAATTTGGACCCCGGAATCAGAACTCCGGATCTTGAGGGGGGTTTGGGTACTTTGTATTGTACGAGCAAGGACTAAGCTATGAGCGGCAACCAGCTTCGGACGGATGTATCTGCGAGTCGAGTGCGAGACAGGCTGACGCTTACCCCGATGATCATCTGCTCAAGACCTCTACGAGTAGTTCGGAGTGTCCATGGTGAGAGATCTGCAGAAGCATCGGAAGGCCATTTCTATCTGAAAGCTCGATCTTGCGAGCCAGTCTTTTCCACTTATCTTTCACCAAGGCGCAGCCAGAAAGTGTGGCCGGTTATGAGGGAGCACATCCTTCTGTACCAACGAGCACGCGTACTTTGGCACGTTTCATGACAGGGTGACCGCAGACTGTGTTCACACAATTGCCGCTCTCGCCACGACGTGTGTGGTGGTCATCCCGAGAGTAATCAGACGAGTAAGCGCGACTTCATTTGCCAGAGAAGAGTGGCATGGAATGACATCCACGAACGATCGACAGCTGAGGGGCCAGGATCACTCAGCGCATCTACTCGGAGGATTCGGAGAATATTATGAGCTTGGCGATGAATGGCATTGTAGTCTCCTTGAGCACAACGTGGATATCACAAGTACTCGGTACTCTGCAACATAAATAGTCGTAGAGGGCTTGAAATTGGTTGAAGAGGCGGGATCCCTCGACATTGGCCGTCGCAGCGTGCCGATGTTTCCGTATCACAGCAAAAACTGCAGTCGAGAGAGGGCAGTAGAAGAGAGTGAAGAATTGAGTTGGATTTCTTCAGTGTGGGTGAGTGGAGAGTCAAATAATCAAGCTAATGTGGACAATGGGTGATGGAAGTTGGATGCTGCCCTGTGGTTGGGTGTCAGCAGGTGTCAAGGTCCCTGCAGCATCTCGGGCGCTGTTCAGGCTAGTTGGACGATTGGCGGGGCTGCAAGCACTTCCCGGGGGCGAGCTTCAGGCCGTCACACCTGGGCGGTTGCATTATACGGTCACCCATTGGCTGTGAGGATAATGCCTAGCGATGCCTAGAGTCCCCCTAGCGCCCGCCCAGGGTCGCCTAGACTGACATGGCAGCTCATCCGACAACCCAATTGCTGATCTTTGTCCGCAGCCTCGAATTCTGCGCCAATTCATGCAATTGTTCCTGGCTCGTCACCTTTTCGATCCAATCACTCGCTCTCGTGCACTGCTTTTCGTCGTGCTTTTCGCTCCTATCTGCGCCTCTTATTCGCTTACCGTGCTGTGTGACTGCTCAAAAGAAGGGACTCGGTCCGCTCCAGACCCCCACTTCGTCTGCATCGAGTCCATCATGTTTGCAACTTCTGGTCTCACCGCACAACCAATGCAAGCTCTCGTCGAAGCGCCGACTCTTCCTCCGTACCGCTGAGATGCATCACCATGCACGAAATGCAAGACCTCGGGGACTCGATAGCTTTGCTCTTCCAGTGCAACTATTGCAGTTCAACTCAGTGGCTGCTCTTGTTGTTACTCGTTTGGGTCGATATCACCGTGAGGAGAGTGAGTAGCGGGGTGCGCAAATCGCTCTCGCACGCGCGGCCGTTGCTTCTCGTCACCACACCACTACGCTGCTCAGTCCTCGACGCTGGACAATGTCTTCTTCTGCATGACCCCAGAGTTCTATATCGCAGCTTTCGCCCCCCCCTCCTTCACCATCCCTCCCCTTCCCAGCGTCCAAGAGGCTTTTGGGTTCCTCTGTCCTGCCATTCCTTACACTCGCTGCCAGTCGTTCCCTTCGTCTTCTTGAGAGAGCAGGCTTTCTCTACTTAGCAACCATTTGTGCGCGAAAACTGCAATATCTCAGAAGGCGGGTCCACTGAGCGGTCGCAAAATCCATGACCACTCTGCGAAAAAGAACAGACATCCAATAGATTCGACGGTCTGGCCTCAGGCCTCTCTTCCCTCAGCCCACGTACACGGCCACCACGACCGGTGTCTCTTGACGAGACCGCTTTCGACCAAATTTTCCAATTCTTCTACACCGGTGGAATAGCTGTTCCTCCGCGGGAGAGGTGCTCATAGTATAGCGAGGATGCCTTCACTGTCGTCGGAAGCATTGGCACAGTTGGCAGGAAGAGGGATTGAGCAGAGCATGGAGGAATTGGTCAAGAGGGTAAACATTCCAATAAACAGCACAACGCCTCCCGCCCTCGTCGCAGCAATTCAACACGATCCCTTCAACCAGGCAGGCAAGTACGGCCTCATTTTCGTTTACATCGGAATCATCCTGGTGGTGACCACAACGATCAAGCGGTTATACTACTACTGGGGAGACAAGATTCGAACTGCTCTATACAAAGAAGAAGTCATCAACTCTGCCTCGACGATCAGCCCGCTGGGAGTCTCGCCAAATCAAGGGTTTGGCGATTATGAATTGCCCAGTGCACTGAGTATCAATACCGAAGGGTCAACAAGGCATTTCTTCCCATCCTCGGGGCCTCTGGTAGCAGAGAAAGCACAGCAGCAAGCAGCTGTGTCAGCCATTGCACCACTCAACAACACAATCGCCTTCTTCCGGTGGATCTTCTACAGACCCATCCCAGCCATCAAGGTTGGGAGGTGGAAGTTTACGTTCCCTTCGTTGGGAGTTGTCGTGGTCATGGTCATATGCCTGGTGTCGTCCATGCTCTACTGTTTCCTGCCCAAGCCGCTCTTGTACGCCTCCATGTCATATGGATCTCCTCCACTGGCAATTCGAGCTGGGATGATGTCAGTCTCGCTGCTGCCATGGGTGGTTATGTTGGCCAACAAGGCCAACCCAGTGGCGTTTGTGACCGGGATTGGAGCTGAAAGACTAATTGTGCTTCACCGCTGGACAGCTTATCTGTGTGTCACCTTTGCCATCATTCATGTCATCCCTTACTGGTATCAATCGGTGTCGGACCCAGCTGGCTACGCAACGTTCAAACTCTACTTCACCCAGCAATATTGGGTCTACACGACAGGCATTGCAGCCATCGCTCCCCTGATATTCCTCACCCTGCACTCGATCCCCATTCTTCGACACAAGGCATACGAGCTCTTCGTTCTCCTGCATATTCCGGTGGCATGGGCATTTATTGGTCTCATGTTCTGGCACTGTCACAACTACCTGACATCATGGGCGTATCTCTACTCGACAGTGGCGCTGATGCTTGTATCGCTACTGACCCGCCTCTTCTTCTTGAACTGGATGAATCCGTTTCGGTCGTCGTGGCTCATTGGGGAGGAGTCCGCTGTCACCATCCTACCGGAGAACGCTATCAAGGTCACTATCCCAACACAGAAGAGGTGGCGGCCGGGGCAGTACGCATACCTGAGAATGCCCGGGATTTCGCTCCTTGAGAATCACCCCTTCACCATTGCATCCCTTTGCAGTGAAGATTTCCCCTCAGAATATGGCGAGCAATACCGGGATATGACCCTGGTCTTTCGACCTTTCTCGGGCTTCACTCGCAAAGTCTTGGATACGTCAATCAAGAAGGGGCCTTACAAAACTTACCGAGCCTTCATCGAAGGGCCGTACGGTGGTATGCAACGGCAAATGGCCTCCTTCGACCAGGTCATCTTCTTTGCAGGCGGAAGCGGCATCACCGCCATCGCCAGCCAATTGCTCGACCTGATCAAGCGTATGCGCGACGGCAAGGCCACCACCTCCAAAGTACACGTGATCTGGGCCATGAAGCGGCCCGACATCATGGAGTGGTTCAAGGAAGAGCTTCGGATATGCAGAGAATGCGCTCCACCCGGCTCGGTGCAGTGCCACTTCTTCATCACGGCGGCAAAACGCTACGAACCGTTGCCGGAGCCCAAGGAACACCGGCTCAGTGGTATCCGAGACAAGGTCGCTGACGCTCTCGACAAAGCCACTGGAGGTTCCAAGCGTAACTCGGCCCTCGTGATGATGGAGCATGAACCGGACCTCAAGCGCGAATTTGAAGACACCATCACCGCGCTCCCGCAAGCTTATGTCGCTCCTCCGCGTCACCTTGCGCCGCCTGGCACTGAGCAAGCGCAACCCTACTTTCCGCCTCCCCCAGCCGACAAACACGTGTCAACCATCTCCCAAGCGCAGATCGATGCTACACGGTCCTTCGATTTCGGCTTCCCTCAGACCCCGACGAAGTTCCAAAAGAACTTGATGCGGTTCGCCTTTCTACCTACCAACGTCACGTCTCACAGACGAGATGGTTGGCGGACTGAGTACGGGAGACCCGATATCCCGTACATGCTCAAAGGTCTGAGCAGGGAATTTGGACGCAGGACTTGTATTTATGTCTGCGGCCCGCCAGAGATGAGGACAGACGTGACGATGACGGTGGCGCGGTTGCAGAGTGAGGTATGGAAGGACTCTGGCAAGGACGAGATATTCTTGCACGCAGAGAACTATCACATTTAGCACCGTGTTGACTGAGTCTTTTTATGGGAGAGTGTTGAAGGTATGCCACGAGACGGTTGATGTAATATTGGGGGGGACAGGAGCTTAGTGGCATATACCGTGCAAGGAGGCGGAGTATATACCATATACCACACCAGCGTGGAAATGGGGTTTATCAGACCCGGGATCTCACGACCTTGAACGACAGCAGAGAACAAGTTGGGTTCTCTTGACATGTCATGGTGACATTGCGACATTTTGGGCAAAATTGGGCAGTTGCTGGGAAGATCCTGAGCTTTATGGGCTCAAGAAGGAGTTGCGACGATACCCCCTCTTGTTAGTTGGTTCCTGGCAGTAACCGCCTTTTTTTTTTTTTTTTTAAGCTCCTTTTGTACAGATTAGAGGCAGAAACTTACTGTCTACCTACCTTCCTCCCTAGCTAGGCACATGGCCCGCCTGAACGCTGAAAGCTGAGGAATGTCTTGGAATGTTCGCTGTTCACCGTACGAGGGACGAGGTATGAGTAATTCCTCGCATGGGTCATATTTCAAAATCCAAACTATACACATGTCTAGAAAGTAGATCGGCATCTAGTGAGTCGTGAGCAGGTACCGATCTACTGTAGGTATTCAAAGGTTGCAAAGTGTGTGTGGCTGCTTGGCAATGTGGCAGTGTGGCCATGTGGTAACCAGGTTTACACATAAGTACTCGGTACATACGAGGTAGGTAGGTAGGTAGGTAGGTAGGTAGGTAGGTAGGTAGGTACATTATTAAGTACTTACCTAGGTACCTACATAACTACCCGGTATTGCGAGGTACACACACCCACACACAACTCCACAAGTACTCGGTACCTGGCTCGCTGGGTCTGGTCTGGTCTGGTCTGGTCTGGTACACCAACCCATGCCATCCGGTCTTCTTCACGTGCAAACCTCCCAAATCCCCAACCGCCCGACACTCTCGCCGGCGTTGCGGACGATACATAACCGCTTGTTCCTCTCCCTCGTCGTCATCCTCGTCCGATCAATGTCCCCGTCCCTATCCCTAACCTTCTGTTTTTTGCCCGTGCCGTCACCCTCACCCTCACCCTCAGCCTGCGTCGTCAAGTCTTCCTGTTCCCATCCCTCAATGACCCGCTGGGCCCAAATACTCCCGACGGCGGTGCCACGGCCTTCGGCGAGATTGTACCCGCCACTGGTGACGAAGCCGATGAGGTCGGCCTGGTCAGGACAGGGGACGTGTCTGTCCCATTCTGTGGGGTGGGCGAAGGGGTCGATCATCAGGGAGTCGAGGTCAGGGTCTTCTCCCACTGCGCCGGCACCAGTAGGATGGTGGTGGCTGTCGCCGTCAAGGAGGGGTTTCGGCTGTGTTTCACGCTTCCTCTTCTCCTTCTCCTTCTTCTCTTTGCCCCTTCCTCTGGCGTTGTTCTTCTCCTTGGAGGAGGTCGTTGGCTGTTCCTTGGGCGGCGGCGGCGGCGGCGGCATCTCCCCATCTCCCTTTCCAAAGGCACTGTCCGGTCCGAAATCTCTCACAATCTCTTCGGGCGCGTTCTTAGGCAGCACGTTGATCTTCGCGAGCGACTCGCGTGGGTAGCTGGTTTGGCGGCGGGGCCCGGAGAATCTGTTGGTCTTGATCTTCGGGAGGCGCGAATCGCTCAGCCGGGCCTGGGCGTTGAGACCGTCATGGTCGAGAGCGAGCCAGCGGGAGCGAAGGTCGCGAGCGGTGATCGATGATGATGATGATGAGGACGTCCCCGTTAAGCTAGGGGCAGGTAGTCGTTGCGCTGGAGGCGGACCATCAGAGTCCCAGCTCTGTGGCTGAGTCTCCTGAGATGTGTCCGTTCCGACTGTCCCTGACCCACTAGGACCAGGACCGGGCGGTGGTCCTTGTTTAGGTAATGATGGGAGGCGGTAGATCCGGGCTGTTGGAGAAGGTGTTCCTTTGTCGAGCAACGTAATGCGAACTGTGACTAGGACGGGAAGTGGAGGGAGACTGATGCTTGACGGTTGCTTCAATAACGAGACGCTCTGCCCCGGTAACAGTTGGGTATATTTGACTTCCACAAGTTCTGGTATGACATCCGGCTCTGATTCACTCTCCGGACTGGATGTGTTGCGTCGGCGGGCTGGATCCTTGAGGTCACTGTCCCGGGCTGCTTGGGCTTTGGCTGCTCTGCGCTGTCGCTGTGTAAGCGGAGGGGTTGCGCTGGTCTGTTTGCTCTGTTTGGAGGTGGTGTTGGCCAGCTCCGAGTCTGTCCTGGCTTCAGCTCCTGTTGAACCTTTGGTATGTTCAAACAAATACTCCCAATCGCAAGACCAACCTCTCCCGATCTCCCCACGCCTTCCTAGCCCCAGGTCCAAAGCATCCCAGGCGATTCTGTGTTTCGGTGGCCGTCGAATCCATGAATCAAATCGCTTCTCGCTTTCAGTCCGCTCCCAGGCTTTGCCCGCCTCGGTGCCGGGGAAATCTCCTGGGAACCATGGTGATTTTTGCTCGAATGACAGCTGCTGTTTCTGGCGCAGGCCCCCGAAACGCGGGGTGCCACCGGATGACAAAGGGTAGTACATCAACGAGCGCCACACGGGATCGACGCACGTCCACGGGAGGAGAACAGTCCAAGTCCCCTGGGCGTTTTTCGAAGTGCCATTCTCCGCTCTCGACGCGAGAAGGATGACTGGGATTTTAGGGTCTTTGTCCGTTACTGGTGGTACATGGCCCGGTGGTGCGAGCACTCTTCGTCGGTTGATTGCCTTTTGGGATGGGAGCGTGTTGCTGATCCGCCAGCGTGCTTTGTGTGAGAGCAGCTCAGAGAACTTGGCCGTTTTGTCTGGTGGCCAGGCAACGAGGATCTCATCTAGAGGAGGAGCCTCTGAGATGGCGGGGATCCTGATCCGTTTGGGCGGATGATTGAGCCTGGGATCGACTGTGTCGAACGCGAGCATCGCATTCTGGGGGAGGATGCTGGGATTGTTGAGTCCGGCGAGAGAGGTCCAAGACGACGACATCGAATCCGCAGCTTCAACATGTGTGGGAAATGGCCGAATCACACCCAGCAAAGCTTCAGTCGAGCCTGGTCCCTGGACTTCGATGCTCCCGACCTCAAACCGCAGATCTTCAATCAAAACCTGCGGTTTCTGCATTTTAGCGACCTTCAACAACTCCTGCCAGCACTGATGGAATGCAGACGGATGGATTCGGATGAGAATTTGATGGCTCAACTTGGTCTTTCGTTTCGACGTCTGCGTCTTGGCCTTTGGAAGTGTAGACTGGGCTCCTTCGGCCGTCTGGACGTCCATCTGATCTTCGCTGGCGACGACTTCCGCCTGGTCTCCCCCCTGGCCATCCCCAGAGCTTGCTGTCTCTCCCCGAGGGCGTTGGAACCAGATTACCGTCACCGGCGCAATTGGACGCTTTTCGTTGTCACGTTCCGAGACCCATCCACCAGCGAACCGGGTACCGGCCTTCCACTTCTTCCACATAGCCGGCGAAAGCCCTTGTGGGCTGAAAGAAAGTGCCTTCAGCATGCTATCGAGCGCCGCCTCTGTCCCCAAGCACGCCACCGTAGACTTATAGCTGGTGTCCCAGGCAATGCATCCCAGATTGCCCGCAACTCGATGACTTGGTCTGTAACTCTTTTCCGTAGGACTCAACGGAATGGACATTCTCCATAGCGGTTCCGTGGGCCGGGTCATATGGGCACGCTTCGTATGCCACAGGTGCGTGGGCAGCCATGTCTTGTGGACTTGCCTCCTCTTGTACTTCGTCGTCGCTCTCGGAGGCTCGGCCAGTTTGTTCTTCTTCAACCGTGGCACGCGCGTGGTCAGGACATGGTTCGCCGGGTCGGGCTGCTGGGCGTTGGCTTTGGATTCTTTCTTCCTCTGGCGCACCGTCTTGCGTATCTGACCGAGCCTCTTGAGGGCTTTGGCCGTTTCCAACCGCAGTCTCAATATCCGTGACGGGGTTCGCGTTCGCTTCGTGACCGTTGGCGTGTTATCGTCTCTCATCTATGATATTCTCCTGGTCAGCTCCTAGTCAGTACGCCAGCGACTCGTGCACTTTGTCAAAGCGGGAGGGGGGGTTGGGGAACTGACCTCGCGTTCTGCCCTCTTGCGCAGCCTCCGCGGCACCTTTTTGGCATTGTGACTGGCCGTCCTCCGTCGCATGTGCCGGGGCACTTGTTGAAACGCCCGTGTGGACAATTGCTTCTTTGCCCTGCGCATGCTCCTCTCCAGGGCCTCGATCTCAAACTCGCGCGCCTTGACGAAGGAAGCCACGTTGAGTTCCCCGCCGCCAGCAGAGACAACCGCCTCCGGGCGCTGCACGGGGATGGCTCGAGCATCGTGGTTTTTCTGTCGCTTGCGCGCCGCCGCAGACTGGCCAACCTGGTCAAAGCCGACCTTGCGCTTCTGCCCGGCTTTCTGTGGTGGCGGCGCCATCGAAGCCGGAAAACAAAACCAACTCGGTAGATGTATCAAGACGCGGCACGTGTAGGGCGGGAATAATCGTGGAAATTTATTTTGGGCCGATTACATAAAGCGGCAATACAGACGGTGTATACAATTCTCCCCCCACACCATTAAGTCCCACGCTATATAAATAGTCTATAAAGACTGTACTTCTTTTAGGTATGTATCCAATGTCAACATGCGTGGAAGGGTCAGAGTCACAGTTGCACCTTCTCCTGCAGTCTCTGATAAATCTCCACTGTTCATAACTCGGCGAGATGAGCTGTTGGGATTGTGTGTCTCTATTCCCGTCACACCTGGCACCGAAGCGCAGGTTGATTGCTTCTGGACTGCATCCAAGGCATGTTGCCAGCTGTTCATTAGTCCATCTGTGAGTGGGTTGTACCAGAAAAAGCAACGCATTGTAGACTCGACGGCGTCCCAGGATGTCGCTCCCGGGAACTGCGTGAAGAAGCATCGACTAAGAGCTACTGCTGGAGGAGCCAGCGGAAGCTCCATGCCCCAAGATCTTATGACAATCATCATGATCCAGATTAAGCAGCCTCTCTGGTCCGGAGTCTGCGCCTGCGTGAAAGGAAGTGACCGCGTCAACTCTTGCCTCGAGCCACGATACGCGGCAACCCGGGAAATCGACGCATTTGGGTTATGCACGTCGAACCCGAGCATAATCACCGCAAGTATCAAGTTCTTCTCCAAGCTATTCTCGGTGTTGGCGGATGACTGCAGAGATGCACATACTTCGAACAGGTCTGGGTAGTCCTGGCCATCTGAAACAGGATCTTCCTCAATAGAACGGGGGAGCTTGGCGGTTTTAAATTGGAGAAAAGTGCTTACTCTTGAAAGGATCCGAATGGTATCCAGGCTGAACGTACCCTGTCGAGCGATGGCGGCAAATCCTGTGGGTAGTGTTCTGAGCAGTACCAGAAAATCGTCTTTGAACGGGCGCTGAGGATAAGCTCTCCGGCTTTTACGCTTCCGAAAAGGAAAGATGGTCTGGGCCCCGGTCTCGAGCATCCAGAAGTAGTCAAATTGAACGAGAAAAGCCTTCACAAGTCCGTGCAGTCCCAAGTTGCCAAGACCTCCTTTAAGAGCAACCACCATGGCCAGTCCCTTGCGATTGGCGATTCTGTCTTCGCCGTACAAAACATCAAGGCATGCCAGAGCCAGCACGGTCATGAGCACACCGTCGTCTGGAGGACCACGGAGATGGGAAAGCTGGTCATACAAGATTGACACAGCTTTTCTCCGATGGAACGTGACTTCAGAAGACGCAGTGGCGGATGGCGCTTGGCTCTTTTCCAAATAGGCCTGGGACATCGCCACCGCTGCATGATAAGCACTTCCATGTGACAGGATCAAAGGGTACATCCAAACCATCAAGGGGTTGGCCATATTGAACGTCAGAAACAATGGCTGCATGAGGGGTGAAATCGCCTGAGTATAGTAGTCGAGAGCGCGAGTGACACCAGGTGTCTCTTGACCCGGCCAGGATTTGAATGGGTCCATCCGTGTACCGCTGAAGCTGACTTCCAGTGGGGAAGGCGGGCGAGACAACGGGCGATCTGGCGACTCGTCTTGAGATTCGAGGGAGCTGTGTGTCCTCTTATGTGTGTGCTTGGGCAGAGAGTCCTGCTCTGAGCCCTTGCTGGCGTGATGTGGTAAAGCATAGCGAGGCTGAGTCTGCTGGCGAACGGCGGCTCGGTATTTGCTGGAGATGTGCGACTTGACCAGTCTTCGATGCGAGGCGCTGTGATCTGGATTGTCGTAATTTAGGAAGGTGAAGGTCTTGGTGACGTCTTGTTTGGTGGTAGGAGGCATAATGAAGCCTCACGTCTCACACTGCACGAGGGTTAAGGCATTACCAAATATTACTGACACTGTAGTATGTCTGGCGCGGGGTTCGGTAACCGCCAATCACAGACGGTTTTTTGCGAGGCCGAATCCCGCTTTCCCGAAGGCTGCGAGGGTCAGGCTTGAAGACTGGCCGAAAGTTCGAGTCCGCAGGATCAATTAGCATCGCGAAGGGGGACGTCTAGAGTCTGATCGCCAAATAGTTCGTGGTCTCACAAGGACAGCTGATTTGCTAAGCAGCACTATTCTCAATGAGGCTCGTGCAGAATGTTCTGCATGACTGAGGTAATATTCGTAGATCCAGGACCCAGTCGAATGATCCACAAGGCTGGTCAGAAGTACTAGGGGGGATTCGTAAGGAGATACGTCAAATTGAGATGCACGAAGGGAGGCAATCTCGAAAGACAGGAGATAGGAAAAGCAGGAGCGAGGGTGTCGAGAGGAGGAATCAGTAGGGAGCTCCAAGTTAGTTACAGGTGGCGCTTCATCTAAGTTCGCGAGCCAAGCAGATCTGGCCTTGTGATATCTCTTTGAGGGTTAGTGTCTGCCAAGTCCATCGAAATCAGAAAGTGGGGCGAGCTAAATGTATCAAAGCTTGCCGGAACAAAACATGTCCACACATCAACGAAATGCTAACACACTGGGTCGCCCTAAGAAGGTACGAAGAACCCTGTAACTTGGGGCTAGCCTTGGTACCTAAGTTATATCAGTTTGATAACTCGAGGTTCTGACAATTTCAGTTCTGTTCCTCATACGAGTCCGACAATGGGGGCCGATGAGGCTCTAGAGTCTGGCCACCCTGCTCAGCTCCCCGACGGTTGGATACCTTGGCCCGACGGCTATCTGGCGCCACTAGGCAAGTCGTCCAGCGTCGCAAGCAGAGGGCCAGTGCGCACGTGGAGGTGGACGTGGATGAAGAGGGTTGTTCTGACAAATAATCCATGGTCGAAGCGACCAAAGGTCCAATGGCTTTCAGCCTCCCTAATCATTAGTGACCTTTCCTCCTTTAGTTTCTGCTCACGACTAACCGGCCCCCCTCTCTCTATATATATGTCCCGGTGGTGAATGTGTATTCTCATCGATGAGCAGCTGTACTGCTGCCTGCTCAGCCCAGTACATGTTGGCCTTGGCTACGGAACCGATAAAAGGGGGTTTTTATGAGTAGGTAACCAGGATTGCGCCTCCCTTATTATCAGCATCCTTCAGAGGAACGCGGGCCACTATCTAGTGGGCGTGTCAGCGGCAAGAAAATTCTTTTTTTGATAATAATAATACATATTGGTACATGTCACAAGTACAACTCGGTACATCCCTCAAGTTCCCACTTTCCCAAGCATCCTGGGCAGTTTCATAGCAGGAATTATTCGTCAGTAGTGGTGGAATTCCACCCATGCACACAGGGAAAGGAGGGTCCTTGTGTGATCTTCTTTCGCGGGGGCTTTTCTGTCCCCCTTAGGTCTCTTCGGCTTGAATCCTTCGTTCGAGGGTCCCTGCTCCCGAACCCCCTGAGCCTTGCAAGCCTGCCGATAATCCCAGCTCAGTCCCCGACCCCCGGCTTCCATGACCTGCGCTTCGTCACTATGCTACCTCGGAAAATGACCGCCCCTTCGTAAGGTCAAGCACCGACGCGTGTTGTTCCTACCTATGGAACGGAGTGCTTCGGTATTATCTGAAGGGGGCGGATCTTGGGCAGAGTCTCCCAATCACAGCCACGGCCGGCGGCCTTAGTCATTCTCCACGGTCCCCGCCTTTGGACATGCCAAGCTTCTTACAAAGAAAGCGTGCACAGTCTTAGTTCAGCCGTTGATGCGCCTCCGAATCGGCAGAATCAGCCTGGATCGTTCTTTTGTGTGCCTGGAACCCATTCCCTCGGGGTGATATAGACCCTCCATCTGGCGCAGCAGGGTGGACGTTTTGCTCACAAAACCCTACCCTCTTTCACACTCCCGGCCAATTCGCGTAAAACGTGGGTTGCGAAGGGAGAAGAAGAGAACCACCCTGCCCACACTCTCACTCGTCTTAACCCCTTTTCAGCAGCGAAGACCGGTTCGCCTATTGGGCAAATCGCAGAATTTCAGACAATAACGAGGACTTCTCGGTACTACAGTACAAATTCAGTTGTGAGCAGATGCCGCATCATTACTAAAAAGTCACTTTGGACTTGAGTATTCGGGCCCAACCCCCTTCGGCAACAAGGGCACCGATCAACCCAATCAACCCCTCGACGCACCTTTATGTAAACCACAAGAGACCCTCTCGGATTGGCGTATCTGACCGCCCTGCATTTTTTATTCTGGCCGACTGTCGGTTTTCCCCATATCATACCTACCTACATAATCAAAGCCTGTTTGCAGAAGCATTGCAACATAAAGCGGAGAGCGACCTCTCAATTCTCTGCCGGCCCTTTTTTTTTGGCATTTCGCCCGGATCATCGGATATTACAATAGTCAAAAGAGATTCAGAGAGAAAAATCACTGAGATCAGGGAGACCTCGTCATTCCGACTTTCCAGGCAGAATACAATCTCCGATACAATGGATTACTTCGCAGTGGCTGCTGCTCACCGTGGCTCATACTTTGAGTCGCTCGTGGATGCCGGTTCATCCAACTCGAGTTCCCCAGACGTACGTCTCCCCAAAGCCGGCCCTGCCCTGGGAGCCAGCTCCTGTGCCGTGGCGGCGGAGATATTGACCCTTTGTTCCTCGACGCAGAATATGGGCGATGTGTTCCGGTATGGCGGTCTCGAGCCCGGGATGTTCCCCCCGAGCCACGGCTGGAGCCAGGCCGATCTCGACACGCTCGACGCCTTTGCCGAGTTCAAGCCCCAGACGGCCCGACAGGGCAGCGCACAGCCGTCGACCGACTCGGAACAAACGATCGTCCCCCCCTCGAAACTGGTGAGGGACATCTTCAGCAACGAGCCACGCCTGCATGCTAACGAGCAGGGCCAGCGTCGGAGGGCGCAGAACCGCGCCTCGCAGCGCGCCTTCCGCGAGCGCAAGGAGAAGCACGTCAAGGGCCTCGAGTACCAGCTGGAGACGCTCAACGAGAAGCACCAGGACCTGCTGTGCTCGTACAACAAGCAGAGCGACAGCATCATCCGACTCAACACCAAGATCGCCCAGCTGCAGGCCGACCTGGAAGCTCTGCGCTTCTCCGCCACCATGACGGAACCCCCGACCTCCCACTCCCATTACCGGCACAAATGGAACGGCCCCAAGACGACGCCGCCGGACAAGTTCGACGCCTTCCCCAACCCCGTCGCCCACCCTGTGCCCGTGCTCTACGACGGCTACGAGCTGGGGCCCGACGGAACGATCGTCAGCACCGTCGAAAATCAAAATGCTGCACAAGCGACCAAGAAGAAGCGGAGGTTACCAGACTTCGAGGATCTGCTACGCATGGGATGATTGGGCGTTTTATCTTCACCCTCTTCTTTTCCTCTGCCATGGTATATCCAAGTTTGCACATGTTGCTATCAGTTATGAGTGTATTCTTTTTCGGTTTTATTTGAGCGAAATTTCTCGTGCCTGAGGAATGGATTCCATCAGATCCCAGAGGTGAGCCAAATGAGCGCAGGCGTTAACATCAAACAAATGACGGAGAACAACGAATTGTATCTATATCTACAGTGATCTACTTCGTTGCAAGAGGCGTTCTAGTGCAGACGTTGAAGCAGAATTTGAGTAGATCCCCACCCTCTCTATCTTTGTCTGTGTTGCATCTATGCCAACCATGGGATAGCCTCTTCACGGACCCGACCCATTGTGAATGAGACCAGCGGTGATGGTCAATGCTGGCATCGAGTGCGTTGGTAGATATAGACATCTGTTTCTGGTGGACCACGTCATAGTTTGGCAAGCACAGCTGCGGCCGAGGAAACCTAGGAAGAAAGTAGGTGGCATGTTAGTGGAGAGGACCACAGGAGCGACAACACCAATCCCTGCCCAGTTGACGAAAAAACGACACTAGTACTCGGTGAAGGGTCGCGAAACTCACTGTAATATCCCGTCCAGGTTCTTTCTCTGCGTAAACGACCTTTCCATGGTCGATGATGATGGCATACCGCGCGGTTCGTTCACCGAGAGTCCAGCCGATGGACTTGGAAAATTTGGTTTCCGGGTCAGAGAGGAACAGCTGGCACGCAAAGAAAATTAGTAAAAGCTCCTAAGGGCGTCACATGAAAGCTGTTCCATCCTGTCGTTACCCCCAGGAGGTAACAGGGGCTTGTCTCGTGTCTTGATGCCGAGGTCGGAATCTCGTCCATTCTTTCTCTGACAAGCAATTCCAATCTGAACACATGAAAAGGAATTGTAACTCACAATCTCATCCTTGATACCGTTCGCCTTCCCCCAGGCGCTCATAACGAAAGCATCATTATACGCCAAAACGGCCACTATGTCCACTTTCTTTCCTTTGAGATCTTGAAGCGCGTCAATGTAACCGGGCAGGTGCCTGACACTGCAACCTGGAGTAAAAGCGCCGGGGACGGCGAAGAGGACGACCTTCTTATCCGCCCATTCCTTGGACGCATTGTAGTTTTGTGGGATGCCACAGCTGGTAATAGCAGAGCTTTCGGGGGTGTAGGGGATATAGCTGTGAGCATTGACAAGTACGTTAGTGCACGGTCCAAAAAAGCATTCTAGATAGGCATTGCAGGTGAGCGCGGGAACTCACGAGAAAACAACATCAGGAGGGAACTGGTCCCCCTCTTTGAGCCCGGCCATTGTGGATAGTAATTTGAGGTTGAAAGGCTGTCGAGCGAGCACGGACTTCTCTGACAGGAGTCTGGGAGAAAGTAGATTAAACGTTGAACGGAGCCGACCTGTGTGCGTACAGATCGTTCTGGCTTCTGGCAGGAGTGTGCGATGAATGATTGCTGACCGCGGACAGCCCCTCCTTGACAAAATCAATTTGGAGGGACCGCGGCAATGATGCGATATCGCTGCCCCGCGCGCAATGGACATAGTCGGAAGAGGCGCAGTCAGTAAGAGATCAAGTTCACAGATGATTTGTCTTCCTCGTACTCGGGATTTTGTACAAGCAGGTGAAACTATTTTCCGGCTCGCGGAATGGAAACCACCGCAGAGTCCCCTCCGGTTCTTCACTTACCCAATTTTTCCAATTTCAAATAATCAATGGTAGCACCAGCAGAAAACTATGGAGATCTTGCCGCTGCATTCTTCTCCCCACGCTGCTTTTCCCCCAACGTGAGGCCCCAGGCCAGCAAGGAGGGTTGATGTCGCTGTAATACAAAAAGCTTGCGTGGCTTACAGGAGGCTAGACCTACCCAGGATTCCGGTCTCGCTATTTTGCAGGAGTCGCGCCGCTTGATGGATCAGGCTGGCATCCCATTCGACGGGGGTTCGGCGTGAGTTTGAAGGCTTATCGTGTTTCGTATGGTGGTGGATGGTCGTAGAGCAGTTGGCCTTGCTGCTCTTGGAAGGTATCAATCGCCTCCTCCAGACCGGGTGGGATGGGTTGTGCTGCAACCTTTGTCAGGCTGCTATTGGATCGCTGCAGATCCCCTTCGATTCCGTCAGGCCGTCTGCGTTCCCAATTGGTTACACTGACAAGGCTGAGTGCAAAAGCGGAGGACTGTTGGAGGATTGACTTCTCGGAGGGGTTGAATGAATAGGCTCTGGGCCCTGAGCGGGATTGAATATTCGAGCGGAAGGTGTCCTCGGTTGTCTTTTGCTGAAGAGTCTCCAGGTATATTAGGGCTTCCTGCGTCGAGTCTTGCTTCCAGAATCCGACGCTCTTTTCCAGTATCCAACACACAGCTTCTGTAGCAAAAAGAGCTGGTCCTATCCTGTGGTATTCTCTTCTCAGATCAACCACTCTCCCAAGCTCATTCCCCTCGCATCCAAAAAGGGAACATCTCTCCCAGGCAAAATGGCTGCCCTCCGCCCTCCCTTCACACTGAAGACCGCGCATGAAAAGGTCAAATTCGCCCAAAATATGTGGAACTCCTGCAACCCAGTTCAAGTCTCTCACGGGTACACGAGTGAATGCATTTGGCGGAACCGCGCTTCCTTCATCCGTGGCACCGCCCAGATCGTCGACTTGCTCACCAAGAAGTGGGACAAAGAAAAGTCTTACCGCCTCCGAAAGGAGTTGTTTGCCTTCACGGATGATAAGATCGCCGTCCAGTTCTGGTATGAGTACCAGGATAAATATGATGGTATGAAGTGGAAGAGGTGCTATGGACTAGAGGACTGGACCTTCGACCGGGAAAGTGGCAAGATGAGAAAGAGACATATGAGTGGCAATGATATCTTACTGGGAAAGGACGGGGATGGCGTTGCAGTACCGGAAGAAGGGATCGAAGGGAGGTGGTTCGTTGATGGCGTGGACGTCGACGATGACAGTGTCACAGCGAAGATCACAGAGGCTCACTGGTGAAGCGGTCTCAAAAGACGACAGGAAAGGGTGGTAATAACGAGGGACAGACTTTGGCTTGCTGGTTATATGTTATCTCGCTTTTCTGGTGTGGACTCCATTAATGATCGTCAATCATCAAGCACAACCCCAACATGGCCAAACCGGGCCATGTGCATCCAACAGCTGTACAGATACCTTTGAGTATCCCCGATGAACATTCTCGCCCTGCCGCACGTAACAGCCCTCGCCGCTATAGCTCAGGGTCTTCCTCAACCCACTCGCTTTCTTCTGTCTCTACAAACGGTTCCAGCCTCGCTTTGAACTCGTCCAGATCCATGTCATCCTCGGCAACTGCGATTCCACCGGGGGTCTTAGGTGGTATGAGGACGTTGGGAACAACATGGATTACGCCATCAGCTGCGATACCGTCCAAGACTGCAACTCGAGCGAAACCATTGATCTTCATAGTGATGAGTCGACCATATCGAGCAATGTCGATACTCAAGCTCTTGCCTTCGAGGCCTGTAGGGAGATCCACATGAATGAACCCCTTGGGCACCTTGTGATGAGGTGGTGCAAGAGCATCCGCATCCAACTTGTAGATGGCGTCCGAATACAGGGTGATATTGTCACCAGCATGATACAGAATCAAAGCCTTGAGATACTTGAGGCCGAACCTGCTGAATAGGAAGGCGTTGATCCTTGGACCAAGTCGTTTGAAGGCAAAGTTTGAAGGCGCAAAGAGTGTGCCTCCCTTGTGACTCGATGTGTCGTTGAAAGCAGGATAGAGTCCGGTCTTTTCTAATGCGAGGTCGAGGGTGCTGAATTCACCGGGAAGAGCGGAAATGATATCAACAGCCTTGGGGGGAGGAAGCAGAATGCTGTCGATGCCATGGATTACTCCGTTTGTTGCAAAGATGTCAATGGCCACAACGCGGGAGTAGAAGTTGACAGTTAATCCTCTCAACGAGACCTGAGTGGAGAGCCGTTGTGGCACTTTTCCGATATACTTGGCTTCAAGAGCAGTTGGGATAGTCCGACTGACCAGGATACGCGGAGCAGGGTAAAATTCAGGCGAGATATGGTATGTTAGGAGCTTCTCCAAGAACTCCTTGGGTGGCTTGGGAGCATGCTTGGGGATCTTCTCAAATGCTCGATCTGTGGGAGCAAAGAGGGTATGGTTCGTTTTAGTGCTGTTCAGGAGCTCCACGAGATCTGGATGTTCCTTGACCACAGCGGCCAGCTTCGTTGTATATTTGCTCTTGGAGATCAGTTCCCAAATGGTCCCATTCGGACGGTGGTGAGGATGATGCGGGCGGCGAGGCTTCTTGCCAGGAGGGCCACGGTGAGGCGGACGGCCGCCTGGGGGCCCATGATGAGGAGGCTCTTCAAATAGATCCAAATCGTATTCTGCAGTGTCTAACCAAGCCTCACCAGCAAAGGCGTCCTGGCAATCTTCACCATAACTGATGACGGTCTCACGAGCCGAGTCAACGATATCTGTGAATGCTTGTTTGGCCGAATCAACAGCCTTTGTAAACTCCTCTTCAAGATCCTCCCAGAAGGTTTCGGCGTGGTGCTCGTTGCTCCAAAAAGGATGCTCAGAGGGGTAGTCGGGTTCTTGGTTCTCGATAGATAGGGACTCGAGAGTAACCTGATCCGGGATCACGAAGGCAGCAGCAATTGTTGCCGCTGAGAGGATGGAGATACACCTCATGATGGACTTAGGGAGGGAGAGAGCACTTTCGTGATTGCACGAAACAATGAAAAGAGACAATCGACAGAGGAGTCGTGAGGGATTGAATAAAGGTCGAGATCAATGAAACAGGCAGAAGCGAAAAGACGTGATACCAACCACCACTTTCATATCGGGATCGAGTCTATGACCTGCAGTACGCAACTGGTGATGCAAGAAGGGCGACGTAAGACGCATGCACAAAGAGAGCTTATGCTCGATCTCTCACTGGTTGAGAGGGGATCTCTGGCCTAGCGAGCCGTTTCCGGGGGCCGAATTGGGGGGTGGAAGGCTCACTCGAAGGGACTGTACGAGGCACAAGTACTAACAAGTACAAGTGAGCTGTCAGAAGCTCCCCCCCTGTTTTCCTGTTGCTCCCCCTCCATCACCTCTCCGTAAAGGGGCTGAGCCCAGTTGGCCAGCTCCCTTAGGAGCTCGACATCACCCCACCATTGGTGCCACCAGCGCCACATTTAAACATTGGCATGAGGTGATGACGGCAAAGGCGCGCCGCGCACCTCGAAGCTCTTGGTCGGCGAATTGCCAGCTCCGGTCCGACGCAGGGAGGCACACGCGACATCTAATCAGCAATAGGGTTCAATAATAGATACTCGTGCTGCGGACCATATTCAGTGTTTCGTGTTTCCCGTACCTCAACTTCCACCCATGGTTCTGCGCGGGTCTGTGATCTGCCTTCAAAAACTGACGGGATCATCACAACAATGCTCCTTATGCCACAAAACAAAATGACCGAGAGCATCTCGAGCTGCAACAAGGTTTGATAACGTGCCGCAGCACAGCTGAATGGTGGAAAGGAGTTGTTCACTGACGCGCTGCACAAATTGCCTTCTGACGAGTAGTCCCTGCCCTCTACCGCGTCAAACATGCCTCCGGTTGCGCTTGATATCAAGATGAGGACGAATATCAAGCCGGATATTGACAGAGGATCAACAAGAGAAGTGGTCGGCAGCTGCCATCCAAGGGGAATGCGAAGCACCTCCCGTTGTACCACGTTTCCCGACGTCTGTTGCAGAAAGCCTCCTTTCGTTCTCTATAGCGAGCACGGGTAGATCCATTCTCCATCGAGATCCTGTTGGCTCCGTCAAGTCGTTCTTTTTTGGATGCTTCTCTCCCATTTTGGTTCTTTGGTTCTTGGTTCTCTTTTTGGACTCACCTAGAACATTTCTCATTGTCCAGTGCGCACGCTGCGCCAGCATTCCTCAGTCTGACCCAATCATTTTTCAAGCTTGACATCAACAGTCTCCTGGCTGTGGCCAAAACAAAACATATTACTCATTGAGCAGAGTCACCATACAAGCAAAGTCACACCGACGCGAAGAAGACAGAACAACAAGGAACTGTGGTTGATTGAGGCTGTGCGACCTGTGCAGTTAACTAGGGCCCGGCAATCACATCAGAAGGGCTGGCAGAATCCGTTGTATGTCCTCATACAAATTCACGGCTTGTTGACATTGAGCACTTGCATGTGATCTCGCGGTCCATCGTTCACTCACTTCTCTCTCTACCTTCCTTTTGGCAACATCAATACCGTTAGATTCGTACGTTCATTTACCGACGACAGTGCTTTCTGCTAACAGCTAATCTGGTCTTAGGCGCGTTGCATGGAGACACCAGCCTCACAGGCTCGAGGTCGTTGATTAGAAAGGTCGCGCGCGCATGATGTCGTCTTCCCTCAAGACTTCAGCGCGACCCGGCGGACCCGCCTCGCTCCAGTCTAAGACAGAAAGACCAACTGCGAAGAGAAATGCTCTAGCTGAAATACAGCCACGGGCGCAGCCTGCATCTGTCTCACCTTACAATCGCGCCCAAGCTCCTGCGAGCTCGTCACCACGACTGCCACATCACGAGTCGCTCAAACCCGAGGGCAATCTATCCATTCGCGAGAAAGCCGCAGGCAAATGCACCGTCATCGAAAACAAGCGGCTGTCGACTGTAGCGGATGATATTGTCGCAGAGAGCAAGAGAGACTCACAAGTCTCGACAACTTCGGCAACATCTGTCACTGTGAAGGGAAAAAGAAAGACTCACGTTGGACCATGGCAGTTAGGGAAGACCTTAGGCAAGGGCGCCACTGGCCGAGTTCGTCTGGCAAAACATGCAGGGACAGGACAAACCGCGGCAGTCAAGATCGTCTCCAAGAAGTCTGCCGCACTTGTCCAAAGTGCAAGTATGGCCCGTATGGACGACGAAGACATGGCTTCGATGATTGCTACCGGTCCCCGAACCATGCCCTTTGGGATCGAACGCGAAGTTGTTATCATGAAGTTAATTGAGCACCCCAACATCATTAATCTCTACGACATTTGGGAGAACCGCGGTGAGCTTTACTTGGTCCTTGAATATGTCGCAGGTGGCGAGCTGTTCGACTATGTTTCGGGCAACGGAGCTCTGCCTGAAGATGAAGCGGTCAGACTTTTCCGTCAGATTATTGCTGGTCTTTCATATTGTCATCGTTTCAACATCTGTCACCGCGATCTCAAACCGGAGAACATTCTCCTCGACAGCAACCGAAATATCAAATTGGCAGACTTTGGCATGGCGGCCTTGCAACCCGATGGGACGTGGCTCAATACCTCGTGCGGCAGTCCACACTATGCAGCTCCTGAGATCATACAAGGCAACCAATATCGTGGCGACAAGGCTGATATCTGGAGCACTGGGATCATTTTGTATGCAATGCTCAACGGCTTCCTGCCCTTTGATGGGGGAACACTGGCCAACACTTTACGCTTGGTTAAGAAAGGAGAATATTTCCTACCTCCAAATTTGAGTATCGAAGCCGCAGATCTCATACAACGCATCTTACAAAAGCGACCAGAAAAGAGAATTACAATGGAAGAGATCTGGGCCCATCCGCTTCTCAAGAAGTATGAGAAATATCACGCAAGCTTGGTGGCACCCGCACCGCTCATCGGCGCCGCTCCACCTCTCAGTATCGAGGCACAAGGCCGGCGCGTCACCAAACGTTCCGATATCGATGCGGAAATCCTGAGAAACCTGTCGACTCTATGGCATGGCAAGAAACCAGATGAGTTGATCAAACAACTGATGAGCGACGAGCCAAACCATGAGAAGCTTTTCTATTGGGCACTGGTCAAGTTTCGAGATGATCAACTCGAGAATTACCCAGGCGACCCTCTGCACTACTCTGCCAGTGACTATCACCATGTGAGCAAGCCTACACCCAAACCTAAGCGTGCACCAAACGGTCGTGGACACAACCGACGAGCTTCTCAATTCTCCATTGTTAGCGACGACAACAATAGGCGAGATGGCTATTACAAAAACCCTGGCACTGCGGCAAGCAAGGCTACTCAGAGCAGCTATGATCCTTATCGAGCATCGAGGACGCCAATTGCAGGCGATGCTCATGAGCCGCCAACAGTCGTTGTCAGGTATCGACCAACCACTCCGGGAGCGCGGTCAATAAGCTCCGCTGGCAGCGTGAGGCATAAGGTTGTGGAGAGATTGAGACCTGATGTTCCTGCTCTCCCAACTTTCACATCAGAAGAACTTGAGAGACTGATTCAGAAGAAGCGTGCTTCATATTCCACAGCAACATCCAAAAGCTCTCTGTCTAGTGCTCGACGTGCACCTGGTATCCGAAAGTCCGTGAGCTACAAGCGACAAGTCAGTTTCCAACATCGACGACAGCATTCCCATGGTACCTCAACTCCTCACGCTCGCGCGCTGCTTTCCGACAATTACCTTGCGGACCGTCCTGGCACTCGCGGTACTACGAGCGGAAGATCCGAGACGCAGAGCAATCCGAGTCTGCCAACACCTCCCCATGCCTACCGACCACGCAAATCCAGCTCCGAGCTTGACGTGAAGAAGCCACGTGTTGCTAGCTGTTACTGGAAAGACGAAACACGCAAAGTCAGTGCTGAGCTGGGCAAAATCTGTGAAGAAGCTTTCAATCGATCGTCGGTATCTACCGTCAGCGAAGTCAGCCCAGCAACCCCGTTGGAGTCCTCGGCGACATCCATGGCAGCACACGCTTACAGAGTACCGGCTACTATCCGTGATCGCCCCCTCCCTGCGACACCCATCCTCCAAGAACTGACGGAACGTCGAGAGAAGATCATCGAGACTTGGGGAGATGCCGATCCAAATGTTCTGGCCGATATGCTGGCTGCTGTTGATAAGCGCATTGATGCCGAGTTGAGCAAGGAGGGCAAGGGTGATAAGCGAGCGGCTTCTGATCCAATACATGGGGCTGCACCAAGCAGGTATCGTCGTCCTATCTCTCCAGTCGATACTATGGAAGACCTGAAGCGCAACCGTGAGGATAGCTCTAGAGCAGCATCGGATCCCGTCAACTTGAAGACCCCTCAGGTGTCAAAGGACACCACAATTCGCCTCGTAACTCCAGACTCAACTTCGCCCTTCGCTCGCATTGAGCCACTTCGAGTCAACAAGAACAAAGCTGCCCCTGTCAACTCCCTCAGAGGTGGCCCGGCCGAATCTTATGAGCGCGTGGGATACGACACACGGTTGTATGGGAAACGAGGACTTGACACGATCGATGAGAATCCCGGATCGCCAAAGAAGAACCGTTTCCAAACGTCGTCTAACGGCGCACGCAAATGGTCCTGGCTCGGTAAACGTGGATCTGGTCCACAGGATCCCTTGGATTCTTACAAGCCTTCAGACGAGATCACACAAGAAACTGTTTCCAACACCTCCCAGATTGTACTACCAAGCGAGTCAGGCAACTCTTCCACCCTTTCGACTGCAAAAGGGAGCGAACCACAGTCGGCTGATATCGAATTGCATCTGGAAAAGAAGAGAAAATGGTTCCAGAAGATGTTCGCGAGACCACCCAAGTCGAAGGACGGTGTTCCCGCCAACCCCATTGGACATCACATTGTACGAGATCTATCAGACGGCTTAGACTCCAACGAACCGCATCTAGAGATCCACACTGATAGCACAGTCAGAGCCCAGAAGTCTTATCCTCCGGCGACCAGTGTCGATGCCGCCCTGGCAGCGGCTTCAGTTGGTCCTATTGAAATCAACCAGAACTGGTTCGCCAAATTCTTCCATATCAAGCCCGCGACTCGTGTGATTTGTCTTCAGATTAGCAAGGCCAAAGCCAAGAAAGAGCTTGTCAAGATTTTGAAAGAGTGGCGGAAGTACGGACTGAGGGATGTGGTGTCAGAACGACGAGGAGGTAGTGACGTTGTCCGAGGGCGCGTCGATGCGTCAAACTGTGAGTGATGCCTTTGGCTGTCCATTATCGCGCAAGCTGACCCGTGTGTGACCAGACCTACAACTCAAGCCCGTTCATTTCCATGCCTATCTGTATTCGGTCCTTGAACACGGTCGAAAAGCGAATTTGAGCATTATGAAGTTTACCCAGGAAAAGGGTGCAGCGAGCAGTTTTTACAAAGTTGTCGATACTCTTGAGGCCGTCTTGAAGGAGCGGCACTTGTTGGTTCCTGATACGCAGCGCAAAAAGGCCATTGAGCGCAGTCTTAAGGATGCAGGTTTGTGAAACAACAAACGTCAAACAAACATCAGATTGGATCGTTGGCGGTTTTTTTGAAACTCGAGCATTATTGGGAGCTTGGAGAGTAATGGCTGTTGGCTTTCAGCCTTGTGTACGTTCCTTTGCAGAGACAGTTGGATTCTTTGGGGACAAGGAAAGAGTCTGCTGGATAAGATACATATGGTTGTTGGGGTGTCGAACGAAAAGGCACATGCATTGTAATCATGAGCTTCTGCGGGGATATTCTAATGCTAATGAAAAGCGGAATTGAAGACATAATGCAAGTATGTAAAGCCGGTTTCTCTTGTCTGCGACTCTTGGGGGGGTTTCAGTGCTTTTCGAACCTGACGTACCACGCTCCCGTTCCAGGGGCGAAATATGGGGAGAGTTTGTCGATCTCTTCCCGAAACAGCGGCGTCTTTGTGTACGCTCGATGGTCCTGCACATGTTTTTAACATCAAATGGAACGACGCTGCGTCTGGATGGGGATGTGCATATGTTGGGGTTGGGGAAGCGACAGGAGCGCAGGAGAGACTGACCTCGACCGTTTCCCAGCCCAGGTAGTAACACGCAAGCCTGCGCTCGTCCTGGGGGATTTCTCCCTTGCGCTGCGCCGTTTCGTCCTGAGATGTGGCGGCATCTACCGCAGCAGCAGCACCACCACCAAGATCGTCGACGACAGGGACAACAACACCCTCGGTCTTGTCGACCGTGTTGAGCGCGTAGGCCCAGTTCCCGCCCACGAACCCCCGAGTGTAATAGCAGTCGGTGAAGGTCTTGTGCATGGACGTGACGAAGGCGGCGTCGCCGCGGGGGTGGTTCGGCGTGAGGTTGTTGATTGCCTTTTTTTTTTCCACTCTCAGCCTCGTAGTTCCATATCCTTGTCCTTCTTCTCCCTGGGCGTGTACCTCGCTCCGCTCCCCTTCGTCACAAGGCCGAGGATCGGATATAAACAGATACGAAAAAAAGGAGAGGAGAGACTTACGAATTCGCACAAGGGGGATTCCAGCGCTTTCTTCAGTTCTGGGACTTGCGAGTCTTCGAATCGGAAGAGCAGAGACGTCACATCCCTGTTTTTTCCGTCGGTGGTGCCGCCCTCTGAAGATGGGAGCGTGAGCTGTCTCAGTTGAGCCTTCAGCTCCGCGTTCTCGGCGAGGCTGGAGTCTTGTGGCCAGTCTGATATAGTTTTTTGGTCAGGACTCAGGAAATGTAAAGACCCCATTGAGAAAACTAGGAAAGAGAATCAAGAGACGAACGAATGACCCAACACATCTCGTCGCCCCGGACCCGCACGCCCGGCGCCCCGGTCCGGATGGTGTTTCCAAAATACTGGTCGCGGACGTTGTACGCCTGCGCGACGTGCTGTCGCAGCTTGTGGAATTCGGTGGCTTTGGCCTTTGTGGGTGGGAGGATGAAGCGGACGATTTCAGACAGGATCGCCATTTTCGTATATATTTGACCTAACCCCGGGATGAAACTTGCGGTAGTAAATGAAATAGTTGGGTATTTCCTTGGTTCACAGAGTGAATCTGTATCGACGGCCAATGGGTGACGTTTTGGTTAGAAGACGTGGTTGAAGTACATGTGCACTGGACATATATGTGGATTGGATATCTATGTGTCTATATATACATACCCGCTCCGTGCAGAGAGAGCATAAATTTTATATTCAATTCTTTACCTTTATTTTGTCATCAGCAGATTTGATGGAGTTCGAATACAAAGACAGGAGGGGACTTTGAAAGGTTGAAACCATACGAAGAGGATGATGATATGCTCAGCCAACTAAATACACCTGATCACCCGGGGCCGGATTCGGCCGAAGCATCGAAGACCCTCGGGGGTTTTGTGTGACTGGCTAAGTGGCCATTAAGTGCCGGCTTACCACATTCACGGCCAAGGCTGATCTTGGATACTTTCTGGGGTCTGGATTAATTAGGTTGTTAATTGTTTCTTTCAGCCGCCGAGAGTAGTCCGTTTGGGTAGTTGGGTGAGTGCGATTATGTGTGTGCGTCTGTGTATGTGTGGAAGGAAGAAATCAACCGGGCGCCATACGCTGGAGGGTTTAGTAATGTGGTACACAGGAACACGGATCCCAGGAGAGCAGTGGACCTCTGGTGATAATGGCATGGTCGAATGGTCGAGTTGTGCAGAGTGCATTGATACATATCGAGGAGTTTTCTGTGAAGAGTGCCTACGGCGAAGTACTGCACTCGGCTAATATACTCCGCCGTATCGAAATGCAGTCACGTGAAACCCTACATCCCGAGGTAAAATACCAGTACCGAGTATTACGATCGAGGGCGAAACTCCAGGGCTCCTATTAAGCAAGGAAACACAGAACAATGGCTAGACTCTCGAATAAAGAATTATCAATTTAGTCAATGAGCTCGTCATGCGCTAAGAGCAGATCCATGGTCAATTTGTAGGCCGCCGGTACTGATCAAACTTTGTCTCCGCAATCAACTCCCCCGTGTCGATGGTCTTGTTCGCCATGCTCCGTGTCCTCCGCGAGCTAGCTTCTACACAAGCTGGTTGTACCCGTCGCTGCGGGCGCTTCTCCGCGATCTCGAGAAGCCCAGTCTGCTGAAGACAGGATTGAAAAAGGTGTAGTAGATCCAATAGCACAAACTGAGCGGCCCAAAGATCGACATGGGCAGGGCATTGAGCAAGATATGGCCTAGAACAAGCCGCACGGTTAGTGGCGTCGTCAATAAAGAAGAGTGCTGAAATAACAGAGAAGAGAGCACTCACCCCAGACAAATGGTCGTCGCTTGATCAACTCCCACAACTCTCCCTTCATCACTCCCTCGGCCCCTTCCCACTTCCACGGGCCTATCATTCGGAATTTGGTGTTCATGTTCGCACCAAAGGCCCACACTGCAAACACTTTCCACCCACGTCTCATCATCTGGGTAGCGGATGGTGCCGCCCCCATGTCGAGAGCTACTTGATACGCGTACGACTCATGGTCAACGCCATGGTGGATACGGGCTTCAGGTGGCGGCTTCAGTCTGTACCACTCTTCCGCATCGGGATTGAGTGCTGGAGACAGTGATCGTACGTTTGCAGGGGGAAGAAGGTTGAGGATTCGCAGAACCCAGAGCTGTGCCTGGAACTCGGCCAGAGGTGGAATTGCCCCTAAGGAACCAGTGTTAGCAACCAGCGCATGGACCGAAACATGTCTGCAAGCCCACGCAGAAGCTCGGGGAATGAACACATGGATGGGAGAGCCGGGTACTTACCGATCTGTGGTCGAACGAAGCCTATGAAACCCACGGTCTCGTCACCGTCTTTCCAGATTGCGCGAACATTGGCATCGTTGGAGTGAGGATAGTCCGGACTCAGAAATGGGAACGTCAAGTGACGGTAGCCAGTTGCGAAGATGATAACGTCTGGCTTGATCTTCAACGTCTCAATGTACTTCGATTCTTGCGTGTCATTCTTCTCGAAATGGATGACCCCTTCGTCGTCAATATACTCCGGAAATGGGGCGAAATCGACGGTACGGCCCTTGGTGTCAATCTGGGGCAGGTCGATGATCTTCTCCATGAATCGCTTTATCCGGCTATTCTTGATGTAGCGCCTGTTGAAGTAGGGCTGGACTTTGGTGGACTTGACAAAAATAACTAGTGGGAAACCGGTTATGCTGGAGCCTCATACGGAGTCAAGTGAACTCACTCTCGGACATGTGATAGCCCTTTTTGATTCCCGCATGCTGACCGTACCCATACCGAGTGTTGTTCAAGAGTATCCAGGCGCCCTTTGTCCACCAATCATAGAATACCCATTGCCAGCGGGAATTCCTCAGCTTCGGATGCGCATAAGCAGTGTCGAAGAGGCAGTTCCAATTGGTGTCAATCGGAGACGGGTTGTATTCAGCTTCCCTCTTACCCATGACAACGAAGCGCTCCACATGCTGGAAGCGTCCCAGATTAGTATAGAGGAGATGACTCCTGTTTGCAAGGCATGGCTCACCTTAGGTGCCAGGACGAATCCATTCCGATGGCAAAGCGTCACTGATTTGGTAGGAGAAGTCACGGCAAAATATGCCATGTCCATTGCCGTTTCTCCTACACCTAGGACTACGACATTGCTACCTTCGGTGAATATGTCCCGGCCTTTGTACTGGGAGGAGTGAAGGACCGTCGGAACTTTCTCAATGCCGGGAATGTTGGGTGCAACAGCATCTACGTGCAGTCCTGAGCACACCGCAACGGCATCACAAGCCCATTCCTCAGTGCTTCCATCTGCAGTAGAAAGGGCCACGATATGGCCCTTGCCATCTTTGGCACGTCGTACATTCGTCACTGTGGTGTTGAGCTCGATGTGTGGTCGTAGGTTGAAATGGTCGCAGTAGTTGTTGAGGTATTCAACGTATTGATAGAGCTTGAGAAAATCGCCGCAATCAGTGCGTTCAGGTGGGATCCTGAAGTCTGAGAAAATGGTCAACTGCTTTGAAGAGACCATCTACCCCGAGTCAGCCCTGCCACTGTCTGAAATTTGGATGAGACGCCAGTAATTTACCTCGCCCTCTGGATAGGTGCGATAGCGGAATGTGCCTCCAATGTCATCTTTAGTCTCAAAGAGCCTGGCCTCAATGGGTTCAATGGGGAAATCCTTATTCGCCTGGAGGAGGTACTTCAACGTCACCAGACCTCCGGGCCCTGCTCCAATGATGGCAACACGCATTTTCACCACGGTTCACTGGAAGACGTGTGCTTGAAGGTTGAGGACAGGGAGGGTTACACAGCAGGGGGAGGTCTTCAAGACCCGGAAGATTGGGACGACTCGGCATCGATTTCATGATCTCCCCACTTCCACGTTGACATGTACCGAGCGACAACTGCTTCAAGGTGTGTGCAGGAAGCTGACGAGGGAGCGATGTCCACGTATCAAGAGTGGATCTGTTAGCTTTGAGTCTCTTTATGGTGTATCCCATTTCGGCCTCTGGCTGGAAGACCCAACCCGGTCTTGACTAGACTCCCGACGGGCCGTCGATAGCTGGATCGTGAGTGGAACATTCCAAAAAGCAAGGCTAAAGGGAACGATATAGGAGGGGGGCGCAGAGATACGAGTGGTTGAGAACGACATGTTGGCGCTGCAGTCAACTGCAGTTTAAACTGCAGTTTAAAGCGGCAATTGTCATCGGGGCATGTGGGCATCGGTGGCATCTTCGGGTGAACTCGAGAGAAAGTTTTGGCGGTGCTGGAGCTGCCAAGAGTTTTATTTCCGCAGTTGGCGCAGGTGTTGGAGCTTCCAAGGCGTGGCCGACAAGCGACAGCTAGGTCCAATCCGTCACGACCTCTACCCTGCGAGTTGACTAAAAGTACATCCAGGGTATGTCACAGTAAGGCCATTAACAAGACCATTCAACTGTTGACATTCCCACAATAGCCGCGACAATGGGTGCAGGTCAATCCAAACCCGATGAATCCACCAAGCATGTCTTCACAAGTGATACACCCATTCAATTTTCTCAAGAGTATGTTCTGGAGGCCAGGATTGAGGTGTTGGCATATCGCCATTCGAAGCATGAACTGACAAGCTTTACAGGCTAATAGACTCCCTTCAAGCATCCTCAGAAGTATGTCTACTGCCCTCGCGATCCGACAGACGTCCTTCACTGAAAGCCACCGAGAGAGTTATACTCACGTATCCTTCTTAACATAGACAAACTCGACCCGCGCAAAGACGCTAGAGCTGCACATTGCCCAACGCGTCGCCGCCGAGCTAGAAAAGATCCGAAAGCACGAAGCTTCGGTCCTTGAGGAGGCGCGCAAGAAGATTGCTGCGAGCGGAGAAGCAGCATCAGATTCCTCTTCGTCAGACTCGTCTCTTCTTCACCTCTCGCCGATATCCCCGAAAGACCTTCTTCCGGGATCTGACAGTGACGACCAAAAGAAAGCGCCGTCGAGTCAGAAAGTGCAGCAAGAGATTGAGAAACTGAAGCAAACACTGGGCCAGCGGAAAACGTTAAGAGAGCTGCCGAAGGAGGTAGAGAATGCGTAAGTCGGACATTCCTTGAATAATGTGCTGTAGCATTTTCAAGCTAACAGTTGGGCAATTAGGAGACAAGATGTCATCTCTTGCCTGCGGATAAACGACCGAAAACCGCTCGACTGCTGGAAGGAGGTGGAGATCTTCAAGCGGGAAGTACGGAAGATGGAGGATAGTTATGTATCATCTGTCCTGTAAAGCTAGGCCTACGTGTCGGAAAGCTCGTGCTCCGCCCAAGGCTTCGGATCAAGTGTATATAGGGAAAACAAGGGCGCTACCACATCCAAATGGAACCAAAAGGATTGCAAACAACCGAAACCTATGGCTTAAACGCATAATACCTGTCCCATTTCGCACCACGGGCAGGCAAATACGCTTGTCTAATATTGAATTAGATTTCCTGAGAGCACTTTGAGGGTCGACAGCAGAGTTTGCAGACGACCATCTTTCAGGATGGGTGGTCTTTTCAGACAAAACGAGGAGGCGCGTATCCGCGAGATCTTCGGGAGTTCGTTCTTGAGCTCTTGCAAAAGTTACTGGACGCGTCGCGGGCCTCGGTATTTGGTAGTAGAGTTGATTCGAGCAGTTGCTGCAATATGTTAAACCCCATGCCACATTCACTAGTCATCACTGAGACTACGCTCATTTGTGATCGTTGGTGGCATCAGCAACCTGAACCGCCAACTTCATTTCCGAGTCGGGACCGTGAATTCGCCTTCGGTCTTGCTCACAATGTGGTCTTTTCCCAATTCATGGACACAAGGCATAAGTATCGGCGAACACCTCCAAGCACGCACAGCAGATGAATTGAGAGTGCAATTCTTGTCTCCTGGCAACGTGAACGGACACAATCACATCGATGCCGCTCAATAACGTAACAGAGGGCCGGTCATGGAAGCAGAAGGGTCTTTTGCGTCAGGTGTCGAACTCAGGTTCCCTGCAATTCTTGCCGAACAATCCAAGCGCCGCTCGGTTTCAGCTTTCTGTAATACTGCTCAATAAGCATTACTCGTTTGAAGCCGCGTCTGGCGTACCACTCCAGCGCGTCCTCGTTCTTCTCCCACACGTGTGCATATATGCACACTGCGTCCATATCATGGGCACTGGCCGATGACAAGATAGTGTCCAGCAGTAGCGTTGCGAGGCCGAGACCACGGTATGGCGAGAGGAGGGCTAGAGCCTGAATATAAATCTGAGAAGGTGGAGGGTGAGACTGAGTCATGAGGGAAGTATTCGTCGAGCATGGCTCGAAGCGGCAGCGAATCCAGCCAACAGGTTCTGACGCATACAGAACGACTCGAGATACATGGCTGACAACCGGGTCTGTGACTGCTGTGGTAAAGAAAGCATCGCTGTACCGAACAGGGAGGGTCGTAACTGTGAGGCGTCGGATTGCAGAAAGGTGTTGGGGTGAGACCGGAGCAATAAGAGCCTCCGGAAGGCGAGGAATTAAAACAACGTTGAATTGCTGCAGATGGTCACTTGTGCGATCCTTAGCATCAGATCTTCTGCTTTCGGGTTGATCTTCTTCAGTTTTTGGTGTGGTGACAGCTGGATTGGCCTTTGTCTGAGCCGATTGTTTTCGTGCTGCCTCGATGATGCCCAGACCGCGGCTTTCGGTGACGGGTAGACACGTGTCGTGCTCGGTCGTCAGAAGACCGTCTTTTCTGGCAGCTGGCTGGACGGGGGATGTTGGAATCGTCGGTTTTGAGAAATACGAGAGGAGACTAGCTTGAGGCATGTCCAGATAGCATTTTCCCCTGGAGCCAGACTTCGTTATGAAGCTAGGACATTGCTCTCGAGGGACCGTGGCTACGAGAATCGATAGCGCGATGTGCAGGGGGCAGTCAACGTGTCAACCCAAAACTCCCGCTGAACCGACACGCCAGGGGCGGTAGTTACCGGCGCTAAAAACAAGGTTATCGATGCTTATTGAGTAATCTTAGCGAACCCAAGAACCCTAAGCAGAGCCCCAGAACCTGGCCATTTTATTTTCAGCGTCCTGCATCATCGGTGCTTGCTTTCGCAGCCGTTGCGAACCCTCGAACCACTGTCCGCGTCTGGCCAATATAGCTATACCCCGTCTCCTGTTGGAACACTTCTCGAGTTTGTCTTCACCATCTAGTCTCCGAACCGCTACGGACTCCAAAAGTGTGCCTTTGCCGCGCACGAGCCTCCCCGAGCGTGCCCGAGGTCCATACCCAAAGTGCGTGCGCTTCCTAGCCGGCCATCGTCAACCTTTCCTGAGCGAGACAATACAAACTGAGTGGCACTGAAAAAGATTAATGGGTGCTATTGAATGAATAAGAAGAGGTTGTAGGGTGCGGCAGGGTGTGAAGGTGTCTGAATTGGCAGAGTGCGTTGGCGCAGAAGTCTTCCACACGGTTCACAATACTAGTAAGTGAATACACAGTCGGACAATAGTGTACAGCACTATGAATCGTGTTATTCTTGCTATTGTGTGGTTTTCAATGGAGCATCAGGCTTCTGCTGCGATGCCTCTTTCTTTAAAACCACTCTCCTCTTCCTCCTCCCTCGGAGTGTACACGAACAAGAGAAGACAAGCACAGATTCTCCTTCTATCCCTGTCTTTCATCCTGCAAACTGCTGCTGGTCAGCCTTTGCATCTTTCCTCGTGTTTGCTTGTTCAAGATGGCTCCCAGACGACCATATACCTCCTTGTTCTCCAACAGCATCATCGATCACGACCTGTGGAAGCGCTTCATGGAGGATGAGGGAATCACTGCTGACTGTCCACCTCCAGTCAAGGACACTGCTGACATGGCTTCCACCAAATCGTCCAATTCCAAGTCTTCCAATGTCAGCTTGACTGCGTCTGATCAAGAGCAGGCGGTTAGTGTTCCAGGAACGCCCACCTCGCGCTTCTCCCACTGACTAGTTCCAGATCACGTATATCTTGGAACATTCAATTGAAAGCATCCTTCATGATCTTCTGCTTGAAATCCATCAAGACGAAAAGATTGCTCGGATGCAGACTGCCGTCCTTGAAGTCGAACAGAGAGCTGAGAAACTTACAAACAAGAACTCTCAAGATGCCGATACCGACCATGCCGAACAAGAAGCTGTCGAAACTGATGCTGCAGTCTTCAAGTCCGGTCAAGTTCATCTCAAGGGCAATCCGATGAAGACAGTCAAACACATCAGATGTCCGAATTGTCGTCTCCGTCGCTTGCTATACCCTCGTGTTGGTTACAATGCGCGTCCTGTCCCAGATGCCACTGAACAGTACTGCAAGACCGAACCCATGATTGTTCTCGACAAACATGATGTGCATGGCCAACGCAAAAAAGGTGTCAAAGTCAAGGGTCAGGCAAAGGGCAAGAACAAGAAGAAGAAGGATGACCCGACCTCACCCGCTGCCTCCGAAAACTCAGATCCACTGACTCCATCTTCATCCATGCCCGCTGAGTCGTTTGAATTCAAAGAGATCGATTATCCGGCTGCCAAATGTCCAAATCGCGACTCTCATCTCGGTGATCACTGGAAATCCGTCAATGTCTTTGCCACTCATCTCAACGGAAGTTGCTACCTGAAGAAGGATCGCGCGGCTGGCCGCGAAGCAAATGCGAAGATTGGTGGTACTCCACGTGACAGCAGGGCCAACTCGCCGAAACCAAGCGGTGGTGCCGGCGTCAAGAGAAAGGCCGAGGACGACGAGAGGGGCACGGGCCCTGGCACCAAGAACAAGAAGCAGAGGACTGGTGCAGAGGGGAAGAGGGGGGACAAGAAGGCTCCTCCGAGCAAGTTGAAGGAAGTCAACAATGTTGACGACGGCAAGGTGGGCGGAAGCCCGTTGAAGGAGGTCAACGGCGACACGACCCAAGCGACGCCAACCAAGGCGGCAAGAGACGCGAGCTCTGAGCCGCAAATCAAGCTCAAGCTCAAGGCGGGGGCTGGCGGCGGTGCTGCAGAGGGGCCCGCTCGCAAGAGGCCAAGCAAGGCCAACAAGAAGGAAAGATGAAATGTAAGACTAATACAATGGGCATGGCGAGGGCGGCTCCTGTGGCTTCTTTTCTATCGGCGTCCAAGGGGGAGTGTCGCCTCAACGGCACCCACCTGTGGTGGAGACAGGTGGTAGACAATATCATGATTTCATCAAACCCGATTTTTACTGGAGACGTCTGTCCCGCATCTACTCGTGTTCTCGTCGTCTTTGTTCCGAGCAAGACGTCTTGCGTCACCGCGAGACGTGCTGTTATAGCTGGAGCATGTATAGAACTCTCCTTCCTCCTGGAAGTTCTCAACGACACACTCCTCATCGCCGTTGGGGACTGCTATCATTCGATCCGGTTCGCTTCTGACACATTCGATACGTACATGATATGTTCTCAATCCAGTCGTCGCCGATTCCAGTCTTGTACTGTGCTCAAAGAGCGCTGGGTTGGCGTTAGATCTGACGACTCAATCAACACCACCACCACCACCACCACAGACACTTATGTAACCTCATGAGCCTTGGGGATTTCCCGGAGGTAACATGGCCTCGACGATGTTGCCCGTGGCGCCGCCCTCGCGACTGTGCCAGATCTTGACCATCTTCAATCCGGCGGCTTCCAAGATCTTGTTGAATCCGTCAGCGGTCCTCTCCTTGCCGCCCATCACCATGACGGTGTTGTCCATGGCGGCCGCGGGCAGGTCGGCTTCGTGCACGCGCTTGGGCATGACCATGTCGGCGATGAGGACTTTGCTGTCCGGGCCCATGGCCTCGCGGAGGGGTGCGAGGATCTTGACGCAGTTTTCGTCCGAGTAGTCGTGCACGACGCGGCGGAGGAAGTAGGCTTTGGCACCCTTGACGGGCTGCGGTGTCCAGAAGTCGTGGACCATGGCGGTGACACCTTCGGGGAGGAGTTTGGAGGTTTGGGCCTGGGCGATGGGTTCGGGTAGATCTTGAAGAACCATTCGGTCGGCGCGCAGGGTTGGGAAGGCCTGGAGGATCTGGATGATGGATTGGCCTTGGCCGCCACCAACATCGACCAGGGTAGCTCTGTCCCCGTCGTGCTCTGGGTCGTAGAGCGCAGAGTAGTCGTAGAAGCCGATGATCGGGACGGAATCCTCTTGGGACATGAAGCCCAGTTGAAACGCGCGCAGGCGATCGGGGAACTGTGCCATGATCTCCCACACAGGATGTCCGTCCATGCCATGGCGGTGGGTGTATGGATTGCGGAGAGGATCATCAGGCTCTTGCACAGGCTTGCCGTCCTGGGCTGCTCGTTCTTTCACATAGCTGTGAAAATGGACCAATGTGGCCAGGCACTCGTCGTTGATGAACTGGAAGAAGTTTCCCGGCCCGGGCACCTGGATGTATGCTCGGGAGAACTTTGTGTGCACGTACTCACATTCAGGGGTCTGCTCGACGAATTTAGTGCCAACGAGAAGTCGAAGTTGTCGTTCTTTCGAGACACAACGATCAGTCTTGCTTTGGCAAAAAGAAGGCGTGAGCCAGTACCTAGCAGTGAGTCCTGGACGCCTGTGACCCTGGACAGCTCGGCCAGAGAGATGGAGCCATCCACCGGGATCTTTTCGAACACGCCCAGGCCCATCAAGGTTCGAATGCAAACAATCTCCAGCATCTGCCATTGGTCAGCAATCCATCAGTTCACGGAAACCGGGGTCAAATCGTCACGGACGTTGACCGAGTGGTGCATTGACATGTCGGACGGTGCCATCACGAGACGAACAATGTCCTTGGCGATGGCGGCGACATTGGTCCTGGAGATGTAGCCCTGGGTGCCTGGTGCATAGTCACAGGCATTGGCGGCTACAGTGAGTTGCTGTATCAGCTCCTGCAGCTGAGCAGCTTGATCTTGTTCTGGGGAGGACGACATCATCAAACCCGGTATAGCTTTTAGAGCATGAGATGCACAGAGAGCACAAGGGTGCCTTGACAGTGAAGAGGGCGCTGTCTCAAAGGCTCAAGGAAATAGGTGGGTAGAGGAATCTTCGGATCGACAGGAATTGGATTCCGCAGTTGTTGAGGCACAAACCAGTCACGCCGGTGTCTAGCATGGGTGTGAGCAGGGGCCATCGCGGGCCAGACGCCGAACTCGTAGGCTTCATGTTGCAGTGGCCTAGTAACAAGGGAGTTAGATTTGTCGCTTGGATGTCAGGATGTGTCCCAGGTGTTCGTTGGCAGGTCATATTGGTGGCTGATAAGAATGGCCTGGACTGCGGAGAACTGCAAACTGCAACCTCACACGAGTCCTTGACCGTTTAGCCGCCGAAAACCCCACACAACAAAATCCATCTGGCTACAACAACACGTGGAAGAAGAGACCCTTGTTCGAGTGGGCTCATCTTGTGGGCTCGCTAATGCCAACCCAACACGCATGTTCGCCTGTTCGCCTGTTGTGCTCACATGCCGGGGTACCTTGAACCAGTCAACAGGCGGGATGTGGAAAGGAAGACCCTCATCAACCACGCATGAAGCTTACTCTTGCCTACCAGGTATCCCTCAGGGAATCAAAAGAAGCGCAGTACCCGCCTCCCTCCATCCTTCATCACCATGTCTTGTCCCCGCCTGCACAGCTTCTCATTCTGGAGGTACGCCCTCCTGACACGCGACCTCTCCCATTTGACCTCAAACTTGCCTCATGGAGCCTGACGAAAACAACGATTTTGTCGACGAAGGCTATGCTAGCACGTCTGCAAACACTAGCTATGTGACCAGGTGGGAGTCTCTTTGTATTCTATAGGTTTGACATTCTAACCCCGAGAGCAGTATAGCAACCGAGATCCGTGAGGGAATTGAAGAGTATGGCCGACGATGGGCGTCCTATGGGAGACATTTCTACGGTCTACCAATAGACGATGAAGAACAGAACCGCAATGACCTCCAGCATTACAAGTTCTTCCTCCTTTATGAAGGACGGCTCCATCTAGCTCCCATCGACCCGGAACCCCAAAACATCTTGGATTTGGGTACGGGAAGCGGGATCTGGGCGATCGAGACTGCTGACAGGTATCCTACGGCACGAGTTGTTGGCGTTGATATTGCGGCCGTGCAGTCCAACTGGGTGCCACCAAACTGTCACTTCGAGATTCTGGACGTTGAGACGGACTGGGAATTTCCCAGGAACATGTTTGACCTGATCCATGCCCGGGAGTTCCTTTTCTCCATCAGAGACTGGCCTACCCTTATATCGCAGGCATACGAACACCTCAAGCCGGGTGGGTATTTCGAACTCGCCATCACAGTCCCCGAGGTCGGCTGTGATGATGGCAGCTGTCCAGCTGATTCGAACTACACGGAAATGGGCAAGCTCTTCTTCAAGATAGCACAAGCAATGGGTATCGACGGTTATGCCTGTAAATTGTGGAAGCAACAATTACTGGACTGTGGCTTTGAAGACGTGCAGCAGACCATCTTCAAAATCCCGACAAATCGATGGCCGAAAGATCGAAGGCTGAAAACAATTGGGGCGCTCGAGGTCCACAACTTCTTTCAGTATGCGCAAGCTGGGTTTGAGAGAGGTGCTATTGCGCTGCTCGGAATGGATCCAGCAGAGCTCCAGGTGATGCTAGCGCGAACGAGGAAGGAGATTCTGGATCGGAACATCCACACGTATGTGCAATTGTAAGTGATCTCAATGTCGGAAGTCTGTGCGACTTGGATGGCTGACAGAAACGAACCCAGCTACAACGTGTATGGGCGGAAGCCGGGCCCACCGGGATAGACGGTACGTCCTTGGGGACAATCCCGATCACCATGGTTGATGTTGGCGTGGAAATGGGATAGGTTGACGCCTTTGCGAGAAACAACTCTGTGAACCAACTCATTGCGGCGTTTCTTCTGCTTGAGTGTGTCTAGCCAAGGTGCAAAATATACGATCCAGGGGTCAAGTCATCTCCGTCGAATGCTTTTGGCCGTCTGACCCGCAAAAGCGTCCATCCTCGCACTAGGAATCATACGAAGGGCGGTCACGGCTATGAGACGACTCCAGAATAACTCTTCTCGACCTGAATTTCTGCTTGCTTCGCCAGCACCACTCCGGGCAACTTACATATCGGCCATCACGGCGCTTCCGTGTACATATGGCTGGAGGCCAAAACCCTGCGAAGTGTGCTGCAATGGAAGATCTGGGATTATGGGGACAGACCTGTGATGCAGGAAGCCGACTTATAGGTCTGTCTGCCCACATGTATATATATCCGAGGACGCGCGTCTTTCTGGTTTGATTGGTGGTGAAGCCGAACGTGCAAGGCTGTCGGGTCAATGCCTAAACATCGGAAGCCAGTGAAGATCCACCCTCCCACCCTGCTTCAAGGGCCTGAAATTGCAATGAGGCTGTGTTGCTTCCTGAATCAAAATCGCATCTCGATACCCTTGTCCACATACCACATCTCTCTCTTGTCGGATGCTCGTGCTACTGATTTGTACCTCGTATGAATTCCACCACACGATACAATTCACTTACACGGAAGCCTACGCTCAAAGGCTTGCTCATCTCGGGTTAGATTGACCTGACACAAGTCCTGATCCGAAGCACGTCCAATTGGTATTCGACGATGGCGCAGCCGCCACCCTCTAATCCAGCGTTTTAGAGGCCACAGGCTGTGAGAGTGACAAGAGTGAAGAGTCCAAATGTCCTGATTTGAAATTTACCGCTTACTGCATACGGACGGAGCAAGTTCCATGATGATTTCCAAGGCTGCTATCAAAATTTCCAAACGATTGGTCTTCAGAATAGCGGTAAATCTGGTGTTCCTGGTCGCCCTCCTACAGGGGATCGCACGATGGTATGTCTGTGAACAAAGACCATCGATACAAAACTATGAGCGGCTCATACTTCTGGCAGGATATTTCCGAACAAAGTGGCGCCTGTTGTTGGGCGCCCGTCCCGTGGCAGAGAGCTTCTCGCCAGATACCCGTGAGTATCATTCAAGGCACACTTTCTCTTTAGAAAGGCTTCTATGCTTCAGATACATCGACCTGATTCCAGGAGCAGGACACAGAATTTTACCATGCCCGTTGACCATTTCCACAATATGTCCCGCTATGAACCCCATACGAACGCCACTTTCCAACACCATTACTGGGTTGATATCGGCAACTACATTGAAGGAGGTCCGGTTATTATCCATGCCATCGGTGAAGACAATCCCAACTATGACCTCGAATGGCTACAGAAGGGAATACTTCATGACTTGGCCAATGCTACCGGTGGTGTGGCTGTCCTCTGGGGCCAGAGGTATACATGACACTCTTTTCACAGCAAGACCAACACGACTACTTGATGCTAATCTTATGTACAGATACTACCCTGGTGGCTATGACATTGTCCCGGACCATCGGTGGACTCGGGAAACTCTTCGCTTCCACAGCACGGAACAAGCCTTAGCGGACCTCGCATACTTTGCGCAGAGAGCCACATTCACAGGCTTGGAAGACAGGGACCTCACAGCGCCAGGCACTCCTTGGATTATCCTCGGCGGCTCGTACGGCGGTGTCGTATCCGCCTTTACTCGAATCCAATACCCAGACCTCTTCTGGGGCGGCCTATCATCATCCGGAGTCACAACTGGAATGCTGGACCACTGGCAGTTTTTCGACCTCATCCGACGTCACACACCGCCGAAATGCGTCGAGGTTCAACAACAGCTCACCAATCTGATGGACAACATCTACGAAAGCGGCAACGAAACAGCCTTGTCTCAGCTCAAGGCTGCATTCAACGTCTCCGACTCCTCGACATATCCTGACCTCGCGTTTCTGCTGACCAGTCCCTTTTCGGCATGGAATCGAGCGTGGCATAGAGCCACTGCCCCTTTTGATGGTAAGTCGTCTTTCTCACCAACACGATTGCGGGGACCGAACCACAGAAACAACAAGCTAATATTTTCCCGCGCTCGGTGTCGCCCCTCCGTTGTGATATAGGTCCAGGTTCTTACTGCGACATCTTGACGTCTGCGACTTCGCGATACCCTTCTCCAGAAGCCCTACGTGCGATCGCGCGCTCGCTCCTCACCTACGCCAACGAGACGGCCACTCCAGACCCCTCGACCCTCTACCACCCACTGCTCAACCTCTTTTCGCACACCCGTAAAAGCCAGGCCTATTGCTCCGGCAGAGCCGTGCACGAGTGTCTCTCGCTCAACCGCCCCTCCCCATTCGGCTGGCTCGTCTGCACCGAGACCGGCGGCTTCGCGACCGGCTACACGCCCGGCGCCGCAGGCCGTCCGCACACGCTGCCCCTGGTCTCACGGACCCTGTCGCCAGCGTACTTCCTCGACAGGTGCCAGAGGACGTACAACACCACACGCGATGAGCCGCGGCTCGACCGGCTGAACCGCTACGGCGGCGTCAACCTGTCGTTCCCGCGCCTCGCTCTCTCCACAGGCGAGCTGGACTACTACCGCGGCCTGGGCCCGCTGGCCGAGTTCCTGGATAACGGCAACCCGAACCCCCGGCTGCGCGGCGCCAGCAACGACAGCCACGCAGGTAGCGGTGACGGTGATGATAACAACGACGACGATGATGATGCGTTGTCAACCGACACCAAAGCCCCCGAACTCGTCATTGAGGGTGCCTTCCACGAGTGGGATTTCCCAGGCCTGTTCCCCAACGAGACAACCGTGCAGATGCCCCCGGCGGTGAAACGTGCCAAGGCCACGGAAATCGAGGCTGTCATGGCGTGGTTGAAAGAATGGAACGCCACGCGTGGGTTGTGAATGTCTGCACATGCTCTCTATCTCGCTCTGTGTATGTATGTGTGTGTGTGTGTGTGTGTGTGTGTGTGTGTGTGTGTGTGTTGTGTGTG